GCGGTGGGAAGCTTCCCGTAAACAAGATGAAGTATCATAGTGAGAAAGATGGAAAATAAAGTTGGGGCAATAACACATCCCTTTTTGACACCTGATTCCATCTTAAATGGATCACTTTGGACGCCACTGCTGGCCAAGACTGTTGCCATCATATCATTGTGGAGGAGCCGCAGAATGTTCACAAATTGGTCAGGACACCCGATTTTTTGGAGGATGGTTCAGAGAGCGCTGCGATTCACTGTGTTGAATGCCTTTGCAAGGTCAATGAATGGCATGTACAGTGGTTGATTTTGTTCCCTGCATTTTTCTTGGAGTTGTTGTGCAGTAAAGATCATGTCCACTATTCCTCTGGAGGGGAGGATGACTTCTGAGACAGGTAGAAGGCAGTTTGCAAGGATTCTTGCAAGGATTTTCCCAGCAGAGGTTAGAAGGGAGATACCTTGATAGTTTCCACAGTCTTTTATTTCCTCTTTTTTGAAAAGGGTGATTATGGTGACATCCTTGAAGTCTGCTAGGTTCTTTTGGTCACCCACACTTTTTCAATTAGCTGGTGGAGTTATTGTGTCAGCTCAGGTCCTCCGTCTTTAAAAATTACAGCAGGGATCCCATCAGGTCCACTGGCTTTGCTATTTTTTTGTTGGCTGGTGGCATTGCTGACTTCTTCCAAACTAGGCAGTACTGCAAGCTCATCCCTGGTTTGTTGTGGGATTTGTGAGAGAACCTCTTCGGCCACATTGGAGCTCTTATTCAGGAGGCTTTGGTAATGCTCTTTCCGGCATAGTGCAATTGATTTTTGGTCCTTCAGAAGTTTGGTTCCATCTGATGAGTGTAGAGGGTGTATGCCATGGTTCCTTTGTGGCTTTAAAAAATCCCTGAGCATCATGGGTATCTGCAAAGTGTTGTATTTCTTCAGCCTTCTTTGTCCACCAGATGTTCTTGCGTTCTCTGGCCCTTCTTTAGACTTCAGATTTTGCACTAGCATAGATCTTTTTCTTAACAGCACAATTGGTGTCTCTCTGCCATGTTTGGAAGGCTTTCCTTTTCTTGTGAATTAACTATTGGATCCAGCTCATAGAAGGCTGGGTGACTTGAAAGACGCTGAACAGACTGCACTCTGGTGCCACTAGATGCAAAGCTAATCTTAAGAAATGGGGCCACAAAGTGGAGTCCAAAACCTGCATGTGTGGAGAAGAGCAAGCCACAGACCACCTACTGCAAAGCAGTCTGAGCCTTGCTACATACACAATGGAGGACCTTCTCACAGTGACACCAGAGACACTCCAAGTGGCCAGCTTCTTCTGGTCAAAGGAAATTTAGTATAATGCCAAGTTTTTATATTTGTTTGTGGTTTTAAATACATTATAACTGTGCCCTTGATTCACTTCTGAAATGATAAACAAATAAGCAGATCAATAGCTGTGTTGCAAAATATGTAAATGTTATGTAATGGTGAACTAAGGCTGTATGTACACTGCCCTATATCCCAGGATTTGATTCCGGATTATCTGCTTTGAACTGGATTATATGGCACTGTAGAATAGCATAATACAGTTCAAAGACGATAATCTGGATTTTATATGGCAGTGTAGATGTGGTCTGAGTCTCCACTGCCACATAATCTGGGACCAGATCCTGGGATATATGGCAGTGTAGACAAGGCCTAAATTGATGAGCATTGGACTGTATTTTGTAAGAAGTCATATGCTTTTCATTAACTGAAAGAAATTGGAAATGCTGGAGTGCTACAAAAAAAAGTATTGCATAGAAATGTCTGTAGCAGATCAGCCAACGCTCTCAACAAAAGAAATGAGTTCTAATGCATCAATATTGTGCCGTGACCCAATTTATACTACATGTACATTGTATCTAGTAAGAGATTTATTTATTTCTCGTGTCAGGGCAGCCAGTCCATTATATTACATTTCTAGCAGAACAAAGCAAACAAACAGAGAAAATACAAAATGTGTGAGTTTGGTAGTTGGTTAAATGTCCTTTGACCAGTATCTGGTCACTTGGAGTGCTTCTGATGTTGCTGCAAGAAGGTCCTCCATTGTGCATGTGGCTGGGCTCAGGTTGCATTGCAGCAGGTGGTCAGTGGTTTGCTCCTCTCTGCACTCGCATGTCGAGGATTCCACTTTGTAGCCCCATTTCTGAAGGTTGGCTCTGCATCTTGTGGTGCCAGAGCGCAGTCTGTTCAGCGCCTTCCAAGTTGCCCAGTCCTCTGTTTGCCCAGGGGGAGTTTCTCATTTGGTATCAGCCATTGGTTGAGGTTCTGGGTTTGAGCCTGCCACTTTTGGACTCGCTTGCTGAGGTGTTCCAGCGAGTGTCTCTGTAGATCTTAGAAAACTATGTCTGGATTTAAGTCGTTGACATGCTGGCTGGTACCCAAACAGGGGATGAGCTGGAGATGTCTCTGCCTTGGTCCTTTCACTATTGGCTGCCACTTCCCGGCGGATGTCAGGTGGTGCAATACCGACTAAGCAGTGTAATTTCTCCAGTGGTGTAGGGCGCAGGCACCCCGTGATAATGCGGCATGTCTCATTAAGAGCCACATCCACTGTTTTAGTGTGGTGAGATGTGTTCACACTGGGCATGCATACTCAACAACCCCCCAACGAAACTTAACCAAAATTGCCATGCCCATAACACAACCCAAAAGGTACAAACATATCTACTCAAAATGAAAAACAACACAACAACACACTCACAAAACGGCAAAACAACAAAACTCAAAAAACCCAACGAAACTTAACCAAAATTCCCATGCCCATAACACAACCCACAAGGTACAAACATATCTACTCAAAATGAAAAACAACACAACAACACACTCACAAAACGGCAAAACAACAAAACTAAAAAACCCCCAACGAAAAACACACACACACAACCCCACGCTCCATCACTCCCCCCGCCGCCGCACACACACACGCAACCCCATGCTCCATCACTCCCCCTGCCGCCGCACACACACACGCAACCCCACGCTCCATCACTCCCCCCCACCGCCGCACACACACACGCAACCCCACGCTCCATCACTCCCCCCCACCGCCGCACACACACGCAACCCCACTCCCCACGCACACACGCAACCCCCTCCATCCCCCCCGCCGCCGCACACACACACACACACCCACTCCACCCCCGGCCGCACACACACACGCAACCCCACGCTCCATCACTCCCCCCGCTGCCGCACACACACACGCAACCCCACTCCCCCCACGCCACACACACACACGCAACCCCACTCCATCCCCCCGCCGCCACACACACACACACAACCCCACACTCCATCACTCCCCTGCCCCAATCTTACCTCCTTTTACTTCACGCCACCTCCAAACCCCACCCCGCCCCTTCCCGCCCTGTCAAAATCCAGGAAAGACGGGAAGGAAGGAAAGAAGGAAGAAAGAGAAAGGGAGGTAAAGAAAAAGGGGGAAGGAAGGAAAGTTAGAGAAAGAAGGAAGAAGAAAAGGAAAGAAAAGGAAAGATGGAAGGAAAGAAAAGAGAGACAGCAGAAGAGAAAGAAAAAGGGGGAAGGAAGGAAAGAGGTAGAGAAGGAAGAAATGAGAGACAGAGGGAGGGAAAGAAAAAGGGGGAAGGAAGGAAGGAGAGAAGGAAAGAAAAAGGGGAATGAAGGAAGGAAAGAGGGAGTGAAGGAAGGGGGAAGATGTAGAGAAAGAGGGAGGGAAGGAAAGAAGGAAAGAGAGAAGGAAGAAAAGAGACCAGAAGAGAAAGAAAAAGGGGGAAGGAAGGAAGGAAGGAAGGAGAGAAGAAAAAAGGGAATGAAGGAAGGAAAGAGGGAGTGAAGGAAGGGCAAAGATGTAGAGAAAGAGGGAGGGAAGGAAAGAAGGAAAGAGAGAAGGAAGAAAAGAGACCAGAAGAGAAAGAAAAGGGGAGAAGGAAGGAAGGAGAGAAGGAAAGAAAAAAGGGAATGAAGGAAAGAAAGAGGGAGTGAAGGAAGGGGGAAGATGTAGAGAAAGAGGGAGGGAAGGAAAGAAGGAAAGAGAGAAGGAAGAAAAGAGACCAGAAGAGAAAGAAAAAGGGGAAGGAAAGAGATAGAGAAGGAAGAGGAGAAGGAAAGATGGGAGGGAAGGAAGGAAGGAAGGAGGGAAAGAAGGAGAGAAAGAGGGAAGGTTGGCCACAGCAACACGTGGCAGGTAAAGGTTGTTATTTCTATTATTATTATGCTATTGTTCCTTTTAGACCCTGGGGGAATGGGAGAGGTGTCAGGTCCCAGAGGCAATGCATTGCATTATTGTTATTGTTATGATGGTGGTGAAATAAAAAGAAATAAAAAGAGAAAGAAGGAAGCAAACAGGGAGGGAAGAAAGGCAAAGGAAGAAAGGGGGAGGGAATGAAGGAAAGAGAGAAGGATGAAACCAAGTAGTGAAAGAAGGAAAGAAAGAAAGAGGTAGAGAAAGAAGAAAGGAGAGAAAGGGGGAAGGAATAGGTAGGTACCTCTCTTTCATAATAGTCCAGATATCTACCTCAACTTTGATAAGTTTTACTATAGGCCACAGCAACGCGTGGCAGGGCACAGCTAGTACTATATATGCGAGGAATGCTGTTTAATAAAGACATATCCTAATCTAGATACATTATCTCTTACCAGATCCAGAAGCAACCAGCATCTGGTAAGAGATAATGTATCTAGATTAGGATATGTCTTTATTAAACAGCATTCCTAGCATATATAGTATTGATGAAAGCCAATGTGCATAGACACACCCTGTGAGTCAATGTATAACATGAATATATAAAACTTTACAAAGCCGCGCGTTCAGAGATAACAAGGGAGGGGGCCCTGCCACGCCTCCCTGCTCCCATTGCGGAATAAAGGCCGCGTTCGCTCTTTTCCGGAATTCTGAGTTGTGCACTCCTGGCCTCCCTCTTTGGCGTCCTGGGCCAAAGAGGGAGGCTGGGCCAATCCGGTGCGTCGGCGCTCTCCCTCCCCTGCCTAGCCCCGCCCCTTCCCATAGCCCCGCCCCCAAAGCATGTTCCAAAAGCATCCTCCGGGCGTAGGCGCGCGGCAGGAGCCGAGATGCAGGACTGCCTGGGCTGCGCGCTCGCGCTGGGCCTCGCGCTCGCCCTCCCGCTGCTGGTGCTCCTGGCCGCGCCTCGCATCAGGTCGGTAGCGGGACCCGTCGCTCTTTCCATCCTCCACTCGGGGTTTTTAAAAGGGTGACACTCTGGGTGCATCCACCCTTTCCCTTTAGAATTAATGCAGTCTAACATCACTTTTGCTGCCGTGGCTCAGTGCTGTGGAGTCCTGCTGGGGTCTCACCAAACTGCAGCCGCCAGCATTCCATGGCATTGAACCATGACAGTTAAAGTGGAGTCAGACTGCAACAATTCTGTAGTGCAGGTGTGCACCTTAGGTCTTTCTGGAGATCCTGGTTTGAATTCAGGCCCCTTCTACACTGTCCTTGTATTCCAGGATCTGATCCCAGGTTATCTGCTTTGAACTGGATTATATGAGTCTCCATTGCCATATAATCTGGGATGAGCAAATAATCTGAGATCAATGTATTGTCAAAGTCTTTCATGGCCAGAATCACTGGGTTGTTGTAAGTTATCCGGGCTGTATGGCCATGTTCCAGAAGCTTTCTCTCCAGATGTTTCACCTGCATCTATGGCAGGCATCCTCAGGGATCAGTTCCTGTGATATAAGGACAGTGTAGAAGGAGCCCCAGGGCCCTTCCAGACAGGTCGTATATCCCAGGATTTAATCCCAGGTTTTCTGCTTTAAACTGGATTATATGAGTCTGCACTGCAAATTCTACAAAGAAGGGTTTGATAGAAGATGCAAGGGGCCCCTGAGGATCCATTGGGGAGATCTTCTGGCACACTTTTCTATTGCAAGAGCCAATCTGAAATATAAGCTGAGAATCCCTTGTCTGCTTGGGACCAGATTTTTTTTGGATTTTGGAAGACCTGGATTTCGAGAGAGAGACAGATACACACACACACACACACATCAAAGTTTGTTTATATTGAACTATCAGAAAGCAAAAGTGTGATTAACTCAGACTCTTTTGTAGATTTCAATTTTGTGGATTTCAATTTTTGGGCTATTTTGGAAAATATGTGCCCAATATATGATGTACTTAAGAACCTGCAAACATGATGTATTGGTGCATCTTTCTTCAATAGGAAGTATATTGCAGGAGGCAAATGTACATCTACAGCAAAGCTGAATGGGAAGGTTGTAGTGATCACAGGCGCCAACACAGGCATCGGGAAGGAGACTGCCAAAGACCTTGCAGGAAGAGGCAAGTTGTTCATCCCCACCCCTCAGAGGTTATTCCCTCTAACAAAGGTTAATCAAGACATACCAAAAAAATGTAAATAAAGCTGTTGCCTTCGCTAACTTTTTTTCAAGGGACCATTTTTGCTTTTATTGAACAGTCAAATAATGTATTATGATCAAATTTCAATATTATCCTTTATCAGTCTATCTATCTATCAAAGTTATCTTTCTGGAAACTCCAACACCATCCTATATTTACTTAAGACAGGGTTGAATAAAGTGTTAACTTGGGTCTCAATTTTGGAAAAGGGTGTCTTGTAACTTGTGGTGATGAATCTTCCTTAGAAGCCATCAGGAGGAGCAGTTCACTATCTCATAATGTGGGGTCCTATACATTTGGTCTTACATAGGTCCCTATTTTATAAATCCGAAGTGACTTTCTGGCCTCTTCTGGATTTTCTCATATTTATGGCAGTTCAGGAAACCCACTGGAATTTCCGAAAGCAGAAAGTTGGTTCTTTCCCTTGTCTACTCCTAATGGATGGCATGATTTTAATGTAATGTCTTTAAATGTTGAATATGTGTATAATTTTAATCTAATTTAAAAAATTTTTTGGAATTCTATGTGTTTTAAGGCATTGAATAATTGCCCCTATGTAAGCTGCCTTGAGTTCCCTTTGGGGTATAGAAAGGTAGGGTATACATAGAGTAAATAAATCTTCCTTCAAACTAGGTACGCTAGAAGTCTGCACCCATGGCATTTCTTTCTGTCCCACAGTTCCTTTATGCTTGAAAACAGAGGTTTTTCCCTGTTTTCCACTGGCTCAGCAATTGTCAGTTTTGCAGAATGGAACTATGCAGTGTCAATCACATCTTGGACATCAACTTTTATCATTCTGGCATCTTTTGGTCTAACAAAGGAACATTTTTGGTAGATAAGACAAGTCTCTCTCCGTCACCATCAGCTTCACTTCCCCCAGCCTATTTACATTATTGTGGCTGTCATTTTGCAAAGAAAAGATTCAGAATGTCATATAATAATAGAAAATGTATTCTCAAAGGTTGTACCATCGCCAACAGTGATATGGGATGTAAACCTGCTCAGTAGCCATGCTATGGGAACAGATAGGAGGAGAAGAAAAACTGTCAGGATTTGTAATGAGAACAGAGTATGTTATCATATCTAGGTTCGATATGCAGAGTAAGAATGATAATGCAAATTTCAGAGGATGGTGAGACTAGAGTTTCATGATGCAACCATGGTGCAATGTTGGGATACCATGTATGGTACAATTCAATGAGGGATTAGTCATATCTAAGACAAAAGTGGGACAACTAGCATAATGACTGTAAGTGTTTATGTTGGTATTGTTGCTTATCATTATGGAAAAAGAAAGAGAGAAATCTGTCAGAATTTTTACATCATATCATTTCTTAAGTGATAATAAGCAAGTGTAAGGATCAGGGCCAACAAGCATTAAGAGTCAAACCACATGGCCAGCATTGAGTAATCTACAGCCAGGGTGGAGTAGCTGGAAGTGTACTAAAGAAGCACAAGCTTCCATGGTGATAAGAGAATAGAGTTGTTGTGTGTTGTAAAAGGTGCAAAGAGATTAAAGGACTGGTGAAGAAATCCAGAAGGTCTTTTGCAAAGAAGGAGTGAACTAATGTTGGGATATCATGGGTAATACAATTCAATGAGTGATTGGTCATATCTAAGATAAAAGTGGTACAGCTAGCATAATGACTGTAAGTGTTTATGCTGGTGTTGGTGATCATTACGGACAGAAATCTACATAGAAGAAATGCTGTGAAAATTGCTGAGAGGAGGAGAAAGTGAGAGGACTTGATTTTGTACAGAACTTTGTGTGTATACTGCTGAAACAGTAAGAGAAAAGCCTTCCTGATTGTGGAAAGAAATCTCTCCTATCATTGCCTGTGTTTGCTGTTCTAATCAAGTACCACCAGATTACTAGGATACTTCGAAAACTTTATTCACTCACAGATTGAGTATAACACATCTTTTCTCACAAAAACTTGGGATGCTATTTGTCTCAAGCTCCTGAACTGCAGAACTCAATCCTGCAACATTGTGTTGCAAATCGTGCTTGTCAATACTTCATGAAATTATATTACAGTAAAAAAGGAAGGTGAATAATGTATGGTCCTACAAGTGTTGTCGGAGTACAATCTCCATCAATCTTAACCATGGATAAGAATATTGAGAGCTGCAGATCATCATGTGCTGAGCCATACATTTTCTGTCCTCCATTTCAAGTTGGAACATATGCTATGAGCTCTTCTAAGTTAGGTCGCCATGTGGCTGTTTGTATTTAGAACAGTCTAGAAGACAGTAAAAACTGTTAGGGAAAGCTACCCTAAAATATAGCAGAGCATCCAAAAATAAACAGGATACAAAAAGTTGAGCATCAGCTCATTAACGAGCAGACCATGAAGTGCTGTTAGTTGTGGCTGTAAAGAATGTAGAGCTTAGGCAGGCAAAGATGCACAGTCCAACCTTAAACAAAAGCAAAAGGATTATTTACACTAATAAAGAACTAACTACATCTCTTAATAGTAAAGAACTGGCTCTGGGCTACTTTACCACCCATCCCTTCTAAGGTTTCAAGAGAGGGAAAAATCATCCAAGCACTACATCTTTCTGACACCCCCCCCCCCCCCCCAAGCACGCAGCACATACTCAGATGTAAGAAACAGAAGTCAGATTTTTAAAAAGCCTTGCAGTAGAAAAGTATGCATTCTGCGCAACCAATCAGAATGAGAGCAGAAACAGAGAGGAGAGAAAAAATAGATACATTCCAAATGTAATCAGGAGACATGAGGGAAGGGAAATCCTTAGACTATTCTAAGATAACTAAACTGTTCCTCATTGAGGACTTGAAACTTGGGCAGTGTGAAGTTGAATTCCAACAAAAAGTGCCGTCTATTTGAAGGGTTTCCCATTAGCCCAACAGGGAGCCTGAAGTTGCCCATCTAAATTAGGATATGTAACTGACCAATCTATCTCTGAACTACCTCATACTCATTTAATTTTTCTCTACGTTGCCCTGTTATAGGTGCCAGAGTCATTCTTGCTTGCAGGGATATGGTAAAAGCAGAGGCTGCAGCCAATGAGATCCGGACCAAGACAGGGAACCAGCAAGTTATTGCAAAGAAATTAGATTTGGCAGATACCAAATCCATCCGAGAATTTGCTAAGAATTTTCTGGAAGGTATGTCAGAGATGCACTCTTTATCTTGATCCTTTGGATGTCTGTTTCTATCTGAGAAATCGATTGAAGATAAAGCTAAATAAGAATATGATCAATTGTAGAGGCAATTTCTTGCTTGAACTTACATTGTATTTTAAACCAATGTGACTAAATTAAACATGGTGACTAAATTCCCTTCAGACAATGTGTAAAGTGTACATGAAAGTTGTGGTTAGACTTGGATTTCATCTCCAAGATATCTCAGATACATTTATTGTCTTATATTTATTTAACCAGAGACAAACATCTTGTAGGACTGCTAAACTTCTCTTTTTAATGTCTCCAGTAAATCTGTTTTTCGTGATGTGGCATTTATGATCAATCTATGAACTAGTTGTAAGTATTAATCACCTTTTTTTGGATAGGTTAATATCAAAAGTGATATTCTTTTGAACAGCAAAAATTCATAACCAAATGTTTATACATTTTCTTATCTGGAGCTACTATTTCTGACTTCAAAAACACACATTCAAATGAACTCAGTAATAGTGACAATACAAAGCAACCAGTGTATACTTCATGTGAAAACAGTTTGAAGCTAAGTTAATAGAAGGCGTGACAGTCAAATTACTAATTAATGGTAAAAGGTCAGCATGAATCTGATGTCTCACTTTAAAAACTCCACAGAACTCTTAACGGTGGTCCTATAATTATAAATTACACTGTGTGACATGATTTTTGTTCCTATGTTATAAATGTTACTTCCTAATTGGTTCTATCATAAAAACATGAAAAAAGTTTATTAAAGGCAAAAAGTTTGTTTTTGTGGGACATCCTGCAGCACATTTTGATACAGTTTTTCAATGAATACCTCAAAGAGTCTCAACCATTTCAACATAATTTGTGGCAGTCACAAAAACAAAGTTTCTGGAGTATTACAATGACTTTCAAAATAAGTCCTGAACAATTAAACTGGAAAGAATACTTTCAAACCACAAACTGATTTTTTTCAAATTTTGTTACATAGTGTTACCCATAGCACTAATTAAAACAGAGAAACATGGTTTATTTCTGCCCATATTTTATCTACTCTCATTTGCAATTCTGAGACCTCTTGCATCTAATAAAAGGAATAATAGTTTCATCTTTGTAGCAGGTGAAGAATAAGTTGAACTTTAGATAACTATTCAAATCCTGCAAGTGTCAAGATTGACAGCCGTGTCTTGACCAATGCTTCTTAAGCTTTTTTGAGAAAGAAAGAGAAAAAAAGAGATACAGATGCACAAAAAAGAAAGGAAGTTGACCCCAACATATCATTTTGGCAACCCCGTTTGGGGTCCTGACTAATACTTTTAAAAGCTTTGGTCTAGACCAGCGACAATAGACCTGAAAAACAATGAACTTCAGAACTTCATTGCTGCCATGACAACCATGGGTCTGTCCCAAATGGTTTCTGGCCTCACCAAAAATATTGGACAGAGTTTAGACTTGGTCTTCTGTTTGGGACAGGATGATGATGACGGTATTGTGGAGGAGATATCCACAGTTAAGTTGTCATGGACTAATCACTACCTGGTCAGGTGTAGACTCACTGGGGCTCTAAACTACCGCAGGGGTGAAGGACCTATTAGGAAGGTCTGCCCCAGGAGGCTTATGGATCCTGATGCATTCCTGATGGCTCTTTGAGATTTTCCTGCCTCTTCAGTAGGTGATTCTATCAAAGCTCTGGCAGACCACTGGAATACGGAGGTGGGCAGGGCAGTTGACACAATTACTCCTGAGCATTTCCTTTCACAAAGCAGAACCAGGTCAGCTCCCTTGGTTCTTCAGGGAACTAGTGGCGATGAAGCAAGTGAAATGGAAAATAGAGCAGCGTTGGCACCAAACTTGCAGCAAATCTGACCAAGCACGGTCTAGAGCTTATTTAAGAGCCTATTTCGTGGCAATGAAGGTGGCAGAAAAAAATGTTTATTGCCTCCAACATTGCATTTGCCAAGAACCGCCCAAGAGAGCTGTTCCGAGCGGTCAGGGGACTTTTAAACCCCACTCAACCAGGAATCTCTGCCCAAATGGCAGTTTATTATGAGGAGCTTGCTAGGTTCTTGCTGATAGTCGCTCAGAACATTCTGATTTAGACACCAGTTTTAATGCAGTCTCAGTGGATGTAACTGAGGCATCTGTTTATCCTTGTTTATTGGATTCCTTTCAACTTGTGCAGCCCCAGGATGTGGACAAGATCTTGGGGGAAATGAAGTCGACTACTTGTTCTCTAGACCCTTGCCCATCCTGGCTTATAAAATTGGTTGGGAGGGGACGACTGGCAGAGTGGATGAAAGTGTTGGTGAATGCCTCCTTAACTCAAGGCATAATGTCAAGTATTTTCAAGGAGGCAGTAGTAAGACCCCTTTTGAAAAAAACCGGCACTGGATCCCATTCAACTTAACTACTATAGGCTAGTATCAAATCTCTCCTTTCTGGTCAAGGTTCTAGAGAAGGTGGAGGTCTCACGACTCCAAAGGTTCTTGGATTAAACGGATTATCTGGATCCACCTCAGTCTCATTTCAGGCCTGGCTATGGGACAGAGACAGCATTAGTCACCTTGGTGAATGATCTACAAAGAAAGCTAGATAAGAGGAGTATGTCTTTACTAGTTCTCTTGGACCTCTCAGCAGCTTTTGATACCATCGACCACAGTATCCTACTAGGCCGTCTTTCCAGGATGGGGTTTGGAGGCACTGTTCTACAGTGGCTCTGGTCCTTCCTGCAGGGTCAGACCCAAATGATGGTTCTGGGAGACACCTGTTCAACTCTCTGGCTGGTGGCCTGTGTTGTGCTTCAAGCAGAATGTAGTCTAGACCAACAAAAACACAGTAAATTTGCACAGTTGCAAGAGGAAAAACAGAAACTTAACTCTTTTCAGCAAAGTCAAAACATAAACTTCTAATGTTGCGTCAAAAATAAATTTTACAGTATAACAAATTTACATAGTCCTTGCAAGCATTACAAAATGCAAAGAGCATGGCTTCTTCTTCCAAAGGAGAGAGCAGACATGTATCCTAAAACACATACAGTTATACTCCACCGGGTGTGGTCCAAACTTATTTGCTGACCTATATTTACAGTAAAAATAGTATCTACATGAGTGTCGTTACTTACCTATAGCAATTGCCCAATTACACTTCTGTATAATTCCTTTTGTTGAAAGGGCTCAGCATTTTCAATTTCATTTTCGAATCCTAAGATGGTGATCAAACTTCTTTACAGTTTTCCATATTCATTGTTCTTAATACCTGCAGTATTTTCCCTTTGTGTCTTAATACAAAAACCCCTTGTTTTGTCTTCATGATTTGTAATCCTAGGAAATACTGTATTGGCCCAAGATTTTTTTTATCTGAAATTGTTTTTTTTTTAACTCATCAGCAAACTGTTTCACTTCTTTACCAGTTTAAGCCATAAAACATAAATCATCAAAATATACTAAAATAACTTGATAATCACACTCAAAATTCCTTGTATATACAAACGGGTCCACTCTACTTATTACAAAACTCATTTTTACCAAACTTTCATTAAGACAATCATACCATGCAAGGCCTGTTTGCTTTTAGCCATACAATGCTTTGTTCAATTTTTTAGAATAAAATTGACTCCTTGTATTTAGACCCTGGTGGAGGTGTGATATAAATATCTTCAATTAAATCTGTATTGAGGTATGCTGTATTTATATCAAAATGATTAGTTTTTAAGTTTAAACATGCTGTCTGTTTTGTGAGCCACCCTTTTGGGGTGAGAAGGGCGAGATATAAATACAGCAAATAAATAAATAAATGATAGCTGATATAGAAAGATAAATTTAAATATATCACAATTGCCATAGCAATTCATTTATATTAAGTCAGTTAGGAAATCAGTCAACTGTAATGGAGTAGAGTCAAAGTAGACAAAGTCTACTTTTTGTCTGTTTATACATCAAATTTCTCCAAGAATGGCGTTCAGGATGGATTCCAATTATAATCATCTAGGACTTTGACAAAACTCACTTTGGAATCCAATCTGGTATATACCACCCAAGTCTCATTACTTTTGGTCAGCAGTGAGGGATGACAGGAATAGTAGTTCATCAAACCTGGGTGGTCACCAGTTCTATAGCTCTGCTTTGGAGGAAAGAAGAGCTATGGATCCGGTGGCTATAGATAAGTGGTTCTTAACCTGTGAGCCATAGACCACCAGTGGGCTGTGAGAATGAAAATCTGGTCCATGAATCTCCTTCCTCTTTATTAATTTATTTATTTTTATTTATTTATTTGATTTTATTTCTGCTCCTTTCACGCCACCTGCCACTTCTTCCCTGTCGCTGACCATGGCATATATTCCATATTAGAAACTAGAGCTGATATGGTATATCCAATGCAATGTTATGAATCAGCACCCCAAGCCAAATCTAAAGTTGACCAAAAACTGATTCGTAACCCTTTTGGTACTAATGTTGGAGAATGGTCCTTGGTCAACTAGTCCCTGGTCAAAAAAAGGTCGGGAACCACTGCTATAAATGGAAGTGACATTTTAGGCTTCACCTTTTTAAATGTGCCTTGTGTTGTTTCTTGCAGAAGAGAAAGAACTTCATATCCTCATTAACAATGCTGGAGTTTTCTGGGGGCCCTATTTCAAGACAGTGGAAGGCTTTGAAATGCAGTTTGCAGTCAATTACCTTGGTAAAGTTCAGAAAAATGTGTTGAGTGAATGGGAACCCAATTAAAATAAATTACTTCTGTCAGAAGGTCCTGGAAGAACTAGAAAATTTTGTATTTTGTGGGATGCGGGTAGTCTCATTGGTATGGGGTTATCTTCTAATCTGGGGTGCTTCTCCTCACTTGCTGCCATAGAATGACAAGGAGAAGTTACTGTGGAAACTATTATGCCCAGAGTTAATCATGTGGGAGAATAGCTTAAGATAGGGATGTTCAGTGTGCTTGATCCACAAGCTCTTCTTCAAATGGGCCAGTTCAGCTAATACAGAAGCTTAGTGGTTTGGAGTGTTGTGTGCTTTTTGGGCTGTATGGCTGTGTTCAGTGGTTAGGCTTTGATATAGTTATAGTGCTCAGTAGGATGAGTCCAATACTGTATTGTGGGTTTCAATTCCTGTGTCTTACTCCTTATTGTATACATCAGTTTACCTTAGTATTGTTAGGAACAAAAGGCTCACACATTCCCACACACACAGTGATAATTGTGTCTGAGTCACTATACTTTTAAAAAAGAAATGTATACCCACCTTTGTTTTATAGCCCAAGATGGCTCTTCAACCCCATATGACATATCTCAGAAATCCTCAGTTTTTCACTACTGCAATGTACAGATGTATTTGGGATGCAAGCCTGCTTTCTTTCAGAACTAAACAGTTTTACTGTATCTGAAGTCTTATAATTTCCCTCTTTGTAGGGCCCTTTCTTTTAACATTTCTACTGATTGAGTGTCTGAAGAAATCTGCACCATCTCGAATAATCAACATGTCCTCTTTGGTTCATTTTATGGGAAGTATTCACTTAGAGGACCTCCAAGGCGAGAAGAGCTATCACCGGGGTCTGGCCTATTGCCACAGCAAGCTGGCGAGTATCCTTTTTACTCGGGAGCTGGCCAAAAAACTGCAAGGTGAGCTGGAAACCAACAGTGGTCACTTGTTCATTGTCTCTCAAAGAACCATAGTATACTGTGCAAAACATAGCCTTACATTGTGGAAAATGGATCTGAGAAGAAATAGCTGTGCGGGTTTAAAGTATGACATTTCCATTCTAGCTTCCATTGTTCTCCATTCCAAATAGATCTGCAAAACTTGACAGGAGCTAAGGTTGTCAGACTGTTTGCAAGACTGGGCTCCTGTTGATGTCATACTTAGCAAATCCTTAATTAGGAAGGCTTATCATAGAGGTCCTAAGGAGTTGGCCACACTCCTAAGGGCCCTTCACTATGTAGATCTGTAGCAAGTAATACAGGGACTGCTCATCATCACAGGCGATCTCTAATGGCTGACTATGATTGTATTCCAAGTGTAGGGTCTGGGCGATAGGTTCATCGGTGACTGTAGAGAAGTATTATTGATCTACATGTCCTTTTGAAATGAGGGCCACAATTTCCTCTTGTCCCATTTCTCCCTTTTGTCCTCCATTCCTCTTCAAATTCCACAGCACTGTTGGTAACAGCTGATCTTGAATTAGAACGCTCAAGGGACAGGGCTTCCCAGTTCTCAGTGTCTATGCCACAGATTTAAAGTTAGCTTTAAGTGTATGTTTAAAGCACTTTTCCTGTCCACCAACATTCCATTTCCTGTTCTTGAGGTGAGAGTTGAGAAAGTGCCTTGGGAGACAGTGATCGGGCATTTGGACAAAGTGGCCAGTCCAGCAGACTTGATGGCGGAGGATCATAGCTCCAATGCTGGTAGTCTTTGCTTCTTCCAGAACACTGACATTTGTCTGCCTGTTTTCCCAAGATATTTGCAGGATATTTTGGAGGCAACGCCAGTGGAATTGTTCCAGAAGTTAGGTGTAACCTCTGGAGACGGTCCAAGTTTCGCAGGTGTATGACAGGGTTGGGAGGACAATAGCTTTATAAACAAGCATCTTGGTATCCCTACGGATGTCCCGAACGTAAAACATGCTCTGCTTCATTTGGAAAAATGCTGTACTCACAGAGCTCAGGCAGTGTTGTATTTAGTGTCAGTGTTGACTTTTGTGGAGAGATGGCTGCCAAGGTAGCAGAAATGGTCAACATTTTCTAACATTACACCATTAAGCTGTATTTCTGGCATTGCAGAGGGATTGGCTGGTGCCTGCTAAAAGAGCACTTTGGTTTTCTCAATGTTCAGTGATAGGCCAAGCTTTTGGTATGTTTCTGCAATTGTGTTTACAGTGGCTTGTAGGTCTTCTGAATGATCATCACCATCATCATCATATTTATTTATATCCCACCACCATCTCCCAAAAGGGACTCGGGCAGCTCACAAGATACTGCAGTGCAGCAGATAACATAAATGGTACATGTTCAGAGTGGCTTGTAGGTCTTCTTCTGAATGATCATCACCATCATCATCATATTTATTTACATCCCACCACCATCTCCCAAAAGGGACTTGGGCAGCTCACAAGATACTGCAGTGCATTGGATAACATAAATGGAACAACCACTATCAACACACAAAATAAAATAACACAATTTAAAATGCAGAACCACCTGAAGTTAAAACTAGCTGCTCTCAATACACAAAGTGCCACGGATTTTATCAGCATATTGGAGTTGTGACCTTGATTTTAGCTTTCAATCTGCTGAGGTTAAATAGTTTGCCATTTATTGATAGATGATTTCCATGTTGGTGGTAAGCTTCCCTTCAACAAAGGGCAGTATCACAGTGATGAAAATAGAAAATAAGGTTGGGACATTTAATACATCCTTGTTTGATACTTGATTCCACCTTAAATGGGTCACTTTGGGAACCTTTGCTGTCCAAGACTGTTGTCATCATGGAGGAGCCACAGCATGTTTTCGAATTTGTCAGGGTACCCAACCCAAACTTCCAGGGATCAATTGTACACTTTCAGGGACTGCTGTAACTTAGACTAACAACAAGAATCCATTTGTTATCTGCATTTCCCTGCAGCTTGAGGCAAGGTACAGCATCATTAAAACAAGAGATAAAACACTATTAAAATATATACAAGATACACGGAGTTAAATGATTGGTTAATGAACACTGGAATGGAACAATGGATGACGAATCTGGAACATGTTTTTGATGACGAGACGACAGTGAATGGGTATTGTAGTAACTGTTTATTAATTGTGTAATGTGTTAGGTTGTTAACTGTTTCTATACTGTAGCACTAAATTTTTGCTGTTCGTATTTGTTGTGAACCGCTGTGAGTCGCCTTCGGGCTGAGAACAGCAGTATATAAGTAAGGTAAATAAAATAAATAAATAAATAAATAAAATACATGTTAAAATCCACTCATGAAATGCAGATTAAAATTCACAACTTAAAACGGACTGGGTAAGCCTGCCAGAGGAAATGGGTCTTCAGTTTCATCTTAAATTCCAGCAGCTGATTTAGTTGTTGACTCTCCTCTGGCAGGTTGTTCCACAGTCTTGGGGCAGCTGGTGAAAAGGTCCTCAAAATGATGGCTGTCAGTGGGGCTCTGGCAGGCTGGAATAGCCATCCCCCTGAGGACTAAAGCATTTGTGGCAGATTATATAGGAGAAGGTCCTGTAGGTAAACTGGACCCAAACCATGTAGGGCTTTGAAGGTCAAAAACAACACCATGTACTTTGCCCATAAAGTAATTGCCAACCCATGGAATGACTTTAATATGGGAGTAATATGCTCACTCCTAGATGTTTTTGTAACTAGTCTGGCTGCTGTGTTTTGAACTAATTGGAGCTTCCGAATTTGGTGCAGAGGCTGCCCAATGTAAAGTGCATTGCAAAAGCCCAGCTTTGAGGTTAACAGCCTTACACTACCAACTTTAGGTCCTCCAAATTATGGAAGGGGTGCATCAGCCAAAGCTGGTAGGAAGTTCTCCTGACAGTTGCATCAATCGGGACTGACATTTGGAGAGACTGATCCAGGAGCACTCCCAAATGGTGGACACAGTCTTTCAGGGGAAGTGTAACCCCATCCAGAAGTAGTTGACACACCTCCAATTCTAGATTGGGACCCTTAACGGCAAACACCTCTTTCTTGTCTGGATTAATTTTAATTTGTTTTTTCTCATCCAGCCCATTACCTCTTCCAGGCATTTATTCACAGGAGACACACTATCCTTAGGCTAGTTTTTGAAGGCATGGAGAAATATTAGCATACTAATAATACCCTATCCCATGCTTCTCCCAGTGATTTAATGTAAATATTAAAAAGCATTGGGAATAGAATGGCACCCTGTGGGATGCCATATAATAGCTCCTTTTTTGAGGAGCAGCTATCCCCAAGGGCCACCATCAGGAACCTGCCTGAGAGGTATGACCGGAGACACTGCAATACAGTGCCCCCGATTCCCAACCCTCCAGGCATTCCAGAAGGATGCCATGGTTGATGGTATTGAAAGCTGCTGAGAGATTGGAAGAGCACCCATTTTGCTTTTGCCAGAATGAGTGTGTTTAATGTTTGCATGCATCATTCCTTTCCCACAGGTACCGGAATTACAGCCAATGTTTTGCATCCAGGTGCTGTTGCCTCTGATCTGTGCCGTCACTCCACTATATTGGTTTTTTTGGGGAAGCTGCTGACCTTTTTTTTGAAGACACCTTGGGAAGGGGCTCAGACCAGTATCTACTGTGCAGTGGCAGAGGAGCTGGAGTCAGTGAGTGGGAAATATTTCAGGTAACTTGAGGTTTAAGGACTGACTCTGGGTTCAAAGAGAAAAAAACAGATTTCAAAAGGAAAAAGGATTATCACTCAAGTGCCACTTCAGTCAGTTCTTGCAGTCAACAGAAACCATAAGCATTTTGAAACAGAATTGCAGGAAGATAAAGGAGCGTATAGCCATTATTCTATAAACACTTTGGGATCAATGTGTTGTATTTCTCTTATATCATAGGGCTTAGTTTGAACTATGCTAATGCTATCTAAAGGGCCCCCTGGTGGCACAGCAGGTTAAACTGCTGAGCTGCTGAACTTGCTGACTGAAAGGTCAGTGGTTGGAATCCAGAGGTGGGGGGTGGGGTGGGGAGGTGGGCAGGGTGAACTCTCGCTGTTAGCCCCAGCTTCTGTCAACCTAGTAGTTCGAAAACATGCAAATGTGAGTAGATCAATATGTACCGCTACTGCAGGAAGGTAACAGTGCTCCATGCAGCCATGCCGGCCACATGACCTTGGTGTCTATGGACAACACCGGCTCTTTGGCTTAGAAATGAAGATGAGTACCACCTTCCAGAGTTAAACATGACTAGACTTAATGTCAGGGGAAACCTTTACCTTTAATGCTATCTAAATTTCCTAATGCAAACTTTCCCTTTTCTGTCACAGTGACTGCAAACCAGCCTACGTATGGCCTCAAGGACGTGATGATGAAACAGCAAGGAAGCTCTGGGATGTCAGCTGTGAACTCTTAGGCATCCAGTGGGACTGAATCGTGGATGGCCTTACCTTTGGCACAGCTGAAGGCCTAATATCTCATGATCATTCAATACAAAGAAAAACAAAAGCGTTTAAGGATTTAGAGATTTAGAGTTGTTTCTGTCTGAGTTTGTGCACAAGATGCTTGTTTCTCACTGAAGAATAGTGTCTTTTGCAGTTTAAGGCACAAAGTTAAAAAAAAGTGTGTGTCTGGCCTTTCTTATCCAATGGGGATGTGTTCTCTTAGGACAGAACACAGATAAGTTTGAGTGCATGATATAAGCAGGGACTCTTTTCTCGCATCTAAAATTCTGAGAATGTATCATATTGAGATACAAACTGTAAATGGCCTTGGGGAACTTATCTTGAAAGATAACTAAGAAATTGATGAGTTAGAGTAAACATTTTCAAATCCTGTGTTGATCACTGCATACGTATCTGGTTGCACTGTCTTTTTAAAAAGAGCAAAGCATACTGCTGAAAGTCCCTCAGGTATTAGTATCTACACGTGGAGAAATTCTGTATGAAAAATTAGAGTTGTGTATGGTCTCTCTTTCTCTGTCTGCAAGAACAGCCATTTGTATTCAGTTGTTCTGGACAGTACTATAATTGTTTCACTGGAAGAATCATATTATAGCATAACGAGTGGCTCACAGCATACAAAAGGTTCCTTGATCAGCACAAATGCCTCCAATCTCTGCAAAACCACCCATGATAAAAACAAAGAGTCGAAAATCAGCCTATTCCAAGTTACATGATGACTCTGTTCTCTTAACTCATTTTCACTGATGATGAGGGTCATGGACACATACCAAAATTTTAAGCAATCAGTGTATAACTCTTTTAAAATAATCTTTCTTTCCATCATTCTATCTATTCACCATTCCTCCTTCCTCTCTTCTTTCACAGGGAAACACTGCTGCAGGTGTCATCTTGTGTTAAGTATTACAAAAAAGTTTTTAAGCAAACACATTCTGATAGATAGCAGCACTTGAAGTTTAGACTGTATTAGATTGGTCAAGTTGAAGCTGTTTGCTGTTAAACCCTTGAATAGATAAGAAAAATATATTATTTAAAATAACATGTGGACATAACAGAGTTAGCAATACTCTAAACAAATAGCAGATTTTTTCTGTATTAACAATACAGTCTGTGAAAGAACAATACCTTCACTGGCTAACCAACCTGCACAAGATGCATAATGCAAGCTGTTATTTATTGCCCTTGATCTCTTGTCCCTATGTGGCCAAAAAGGGATGCATTGAGGTCATAGAATCATAGAATCATAGAATCAAAGAGTTGGAAGAGACCTCATGGGCCATCCAGTCCAACCCCCTGCCAAGAAGCAGGAATATTGCATTCAAATCACCCCTGACAGATGGCCATCCAGCCTCTGTTTAAAAGCTTCCAAAGAAGGAGCCTCCACCACACTCCGGGGCAGAGAGTTCCACTGCTGAACGGCTCTCACAGTCAGGAAGTTCTTCCTAATGTTCAGATGGAATCTCCTCTCTTGTAGTTTGAAGCCATTGTTCCGCGTCCTAGTCTCCAAGGAAGCAGAAAACAAGCTTGCTCCCTCCTCCCTGTGGCTTCCTCTCACATATTTATACATGGCTATCATATCTCCTCTCAGCCTTCTCTTCTTCAGGCTAAACATGTCCAGTTCCCTAAGCCGCTCCTCATAGGGCTTGTTCTCCAGACCCTTGATCATTTTAGTCGCCCTCCTCTGGACACATTCCAGCTTGTCAATATCTCTCTTGAATTGTGGTGCCCAGAATTGGACACAATGTTCCAGATGTGGTCTAACCAAAGCAGAATAGAGGGGTAGCATTACTTCCTTAGATCTAGACACTATGCTCCTATTGATGCAGGCCAAAATCCCATTGGCTTTTTTTGCGGCCATATCACATTGTTGGCTCATGTTTAACTTGTTGTCCACGAGGACTCCAAGATCTTTTTCACACGTACTGCTCTAGAGCCAGGCGTCACCCATTCTGTATCTTTGCATTTCATTTTTTTTGCCAAAGTGGAGTATCTTGCATTTGTCACTGTTGAACTTCATTTTGTTAGTTTTGGCCCATCTCTCTAATCTGTCAAGATCGTTTTGAATTCTGCTCCTGTCCTCTGGACTATTGGCTATCCCTCCCAATTTGGTGTCGTCTGCAAACTTGATGATCATGCCTTCTAGCCCTTCATCTAAGTCATTAATAAAGATGTTGAACAGGACCGGGCCCAGGACGGAACCCTGCGGCACTCCACTTGTCACTTCTTTCCAAGATGAAGAGGAAGCATTGGTGAGCACTCTCTGTGTTCGTCCACTTAACCAATTACAGATCCACCTCACCGTAGTTTTGCCTAGCCCACATTGGACTAGTTTCCTTGCCAGAAGGTCATGGGGGACCTTGTCGAAGGCCTTACTGAAATCCAGGTACGCTACATCCACGGCATTCCCCGCATCTACCCAGCTTGTAGCTCTATCGAAGAAAGAGATCAGATTAGTCTGGCATGACTTGTTTTTGATAAATCCATGTTGACTATTAGCGATGACTGCATTTGTTTCTAAGTGTTTGCAGACCGCTTCCTTAACAATCTTTTCCAGAATCTTGCCCGGTATCGACGTGAGGCTGACCGGACGGTAGTTGTTTGGTTCATCCTTTTTTCCCTTCTTGAAGATTGGGACCACATTGGCCCTCCTCCAATCTGCTGGAACTTCTCCCGTTCTCCAAGAACTCTCAAAGATGGTTGCCAATGGTTCCGAAATGACTTCCGCTAGTTCCTTCAATGCTCTGGGGTGTAGGTGATCTGGCCCTGGGGACTTGAACTCATTAAGAGCGGCCAGGTATTCCTGGACGACTTCTTTCCCAATTTGGGGTTGGATGTCCTCCAATCCCTCATCCACTCCATCTTGCTGAGGTTGAAGACTCTCTTTTTGTGAGAAGACCGAGGCAAAGAAGGCATTAAGTAGTTCTGCCTTTTCCCTATCCCCTGTCAGCATTGCCCCATCTTCTCCTCGAAGAGGTCCTATCGCCTCCTTGTTTTTCCTTTTTCTACTGACATAAGAAAAGAATCCCTTTTTATTGTTTTTAATGTCCCTGGCAAGCCTGAGCTCGTTTTGTGCCTGAGCTCCAAGACCCCTTAATTAACAACAGAAGGAACATCATAAAGAAAATGTAGACTGATGACTCTTAACACTATCACCTTTCTTCTTCTTCTGTATGATTTTTTACATCTTTGCCTGATGAAAAAGCCAGTGGAGCTTCCAAATCTTGCATGGTGTGGCTAAAGCAAGTATTTATAATTATTCTTATGTTCACTGTCATCCTGGTTACATGTTACTGGCTGCGTCTTCCCTCCATAATATTGCCCCACTGCCAGGGTCACTGTCCCACACCAGCCACCTTCCCATTAAATACCCCTGGTGCAATTTCCCACCTTGAATGGGATGGGAGACAATAGGATGCTGACAAATCCCAAGCTAAAGTCTCACGGGGAGAGGATGTCCGAAAACCCACACCAAAAGCAAGGCTTCAGTGGATGATCTTCCAGTGTCCCCACCTGACACCAGAAACAGGAAACCTTGTTTACTGGTCTGGTTTTTCTTGTCAGAAATATTAAAAATTAAGTAGCTATTTTAAATTACAAAAATGTGAGTCATGCACTGAAAGGGTTAAGTGGATGCAATGACTCAACAAAGCTGCAGTTCAAGATAAACAGGTGTGCCTGTTGCTTAGTAATGCCTCCATCTGAGAGATCTCTCATTGTGAGAGAAGCCCCTCTGTGTGAGAGAATGCCTCCGTGGGAGAAAAGGCCTCTGGTAGTATGCTTCACTGTGGGTGAATAGACCTTAGCGTTATTAAGGCTCATAAGTGTGAGGTAGGCCTTGTATGAGAAGGCTTCGTGTGTGAAGCTCCAGTGTGAAGGTAGAACTTTATTTGTGTTATGGAAACTTTATTCTTGTAAATATTGCATATTATTTTACTACAAATAAAAGCCTCCTGTGGAAGATATAATATTTGTCTCTGTGGTTTTGTTCTTTTCATCACTTTGGGCTACTGGTGCTGGGTCACGCTGCTGCTGATAAATTACTCTACAGTGCATTTATGAAGAGGGTCTTTTGTTAATAACCCCACTCGCCCAACATTTCTCCCTTTCACTAACATCACAATGGGCACAGATCACCAGTAGGGCATAAGAATTTCTCCTGCTCAGGGTGAGCACCATCCACTAGAAGAATGTTAGCCAGCAGCTGATAATTCAGCAACGTAATACATCTAAGGACATCCGAAAACTCATCACCACAGCCTAGCCCCCCATTGCCCCATTTAGGGGGACCAGGAAATCCCATCACCTAAGGGATATTCAGTCCCAGGTGTACACAAGCTATGACTTGTGTGCCAATTATGGCAGGCCAAGGTAATTTTCTACAGCCCCCACCACTGATGTCCCACATACCTATTTCCTTTGCCTAGAAAGCCCCAGTTAGTGGAAGGGGGTGGCCACCAACAAAGCAACGAATTAGTGTTTTTCTCTAATAAAAGTTTTATTATAGTTTCTGGCATACATGACCCACCAAAAACATGACAACAATGAATGTACACCAAACCAATAAGAAAATGGATTGTAACACTGAGCCAATCAGAATCAAGTTCATTATTTTTGAACATCCATAAAATATTGATGGCTACAAACAGAGAAGGCATGTTGGATGTGGGATTCTCTCTCTCCTTGGCATCCTTCCTCAATCAATGAAACAATAAAATCAACCTCTGATTCTGCCTTCATCTCTGTGTTCCTAGATTGGGAAACAGCTGGCAGACCTGAACAGACCTGAATTTGGGACCACTGGTAGGTACTTTCTATAGTAAAGGTAAAAGTTTTCTACTGACATTAAGTCTAGTTGTGTCTGACTCTGGGGGTTGGTGCTCATCTCCATTTCTAAGCCAAGGAGCCAGCATTGTCCATAGACACTTCCAAGGTTATGTGGCCAGCATGACTGCATAGAACGCTGTTATCTTTCCGTTACCTTTCCACTGGAGCAGTACCTATTGATCTACTCACATTTTCATGTTTTCAAATTGCTAGTTTTATTAATTAATTAATTAATTTCAAATATTTGTACCCCGTCCTTCTCAACCACCCCCCCCCCCCCAGGGGGAAGGACGGACTCAGGGTTGGCAGAATCTGGGGGTAACAGTGGGAGCTCACCCCACTCCCGGATTTGAACCTGTGACCTTTCAGTCAGCAAGTTCAGCAGCTCAGCGATTTAACTGACTGCGCCACTGGGAGCTCTGTAGGTGCTTTCTATGTAATGCCATATATTGGAAATGCTGGAGTGCTACAAAATACTACAATGTATATAAATGCCTGAGTGAGATGAGCCAAGGCTCTCAACAGATGAAATACAGTTTGTAATGTCTCAATATTGTATCAATTGAGCTTTACCAAAATTATACATGTACACTGTACCTTGAGTAAGTGAGGAACCAAACCCTCCTTGCACCTCAGTGCTATGGAACCCTGGGATTTCTAGTTTGGCGAGGCACCAGCACTCTTGGCAGAAGCTAGAGACCTTGTAAAACTACAACTCCCAGGATTCCATAGCACTGTTAAAATGGTGCCAAATTGCATGCATACTACAATGTAGATCAGGCATGGGCAAACTTGGGCCCTCCAGGTGTTTTGGACTTTAACTCCCACCATTCTTAGGAATGGTGGGAGTTGAAGTCCAAAACACCTGGAGGGCCCAAGTTTGCCCATGCCTAATGTACACTCTAGTATGAATGCAATTTGTCCTTGAACAGGCCAACTTTTGATACACCAGCTAGATTTATTCTGCCAAAGCACATTCCCATATGCAAGATGACCAGGGCTGGAAACAGCATGAAACCCCACGCTTTTTAAGACTTTAGTTTTTGCCTAAGGCCTTAAGAAGTTAAAGCTGAGTGCAATGCAGCGATTTCACTTTCAAAGTGTTTTGGACTTCAACTCCCAGAATTCGCGAGAGTTGGACAACTTGAGGGACTTGGAGTCCCCAATGGATTTGTTTCCTATGGAGCACAGAACCCGGAATTGTACGCTGTGCATTCGTGGCCTCCCTCTTTGGCGTCCGCGGCGGGGCCAATCCGGTGCGGCGGCGCTCTTCCTCACCTGCTTGGCCCCGCCCACTACCCGTGGCCCCGCCCCCAAAAGCATACTCGGAAAGCTTCCTCCGGGCACAGCCGGGCGACACGAGCCGAGATGCAGGACTGCCTGGGCTGCGCGCTCGCGCTGTGCCTCGCGCTCGCCCTCCCTTTGCTGATGCTTCTGGCCGCTCCTTGCATCAGGTAGGGAGCTCCTTGCAGCCCTTGTATGCAATCGGATGAGTGTGACCACGCATGGGCAAACTTGGGCCCTCCAGGTGTTTTGGACTTCAACTCCCACAATTCCTAACAGCCGTAGCTGTTAGGAATTGTGGGAGTTGAAGTCCAAAACACCTGGAGGGCCCAAGTTTGCCCATGCCTGATAACCTGTGCCTTCTTGAGGATAGGAGTGAATCTTTTCATTTTTTTAACAAGCAGAGATACTCTGCTTGTATTCTTCCTCGGAGTGAGGCTGTATGGACATCTGTCGAGAGTGCTTCAGTTGTGTGTATTCCCACAACTGAAATACAGCTTAATGCATACAGCTTAATGGTGTAACATTAGAAAATGTTGATCATTTCCGCTACCTTGGCTGCCACTTCTCCACAAAAGTCAACATTGATACCAAAATACAACACCACCTGAGCTCTGTGAGTGCAGCTTTTTTCCCCGAATGAAGCATAGTGTTTGAGGGATACCAAGGTGCTTGTTTATAAAGCTATTGTCCTCCCAATCCAGCTATAAGCCTGCAAGACGTGGACTGTCGACAGACATCACACTCAAATTCTGGAACGATTCCATCAGCGCTGCCTCCGAAAAACCCTCAAATCTCTTGGGAAGACAAGTGGACAAATGTCAGCGTGCTGGAAGAAGCAAAGACCATCAGCATTGAAGTGATGGTCCTCCGCCATCACCTTCGCTGGGCTGGCCATGTTGTCTGGATGCCCGACCACCGTCTCCCAAAGCAGTTGCTCTACTCCGAACTCAAGAACGGAAAACGGAATCTCGGTGGGCAGGAAAAGAGGTTTAAAGATGGGCTCAAAGCCAACCTTAAAAACTCTGGCATAGACACTGAGAACTGGGAAGTCCTGGCCCTTGAGCGCTCCAGCTGGAGGTCAGCTGTGACCAGCAATGCTGTAGAATTTGAAGAGGCATGAATGGAGGGCGAAAGAGAGAAACGTGTCAAGAGGAAGGCGCGTCAAGCCAACCCCGACCGGGACCGCTTTCCACCTGGAAACCAATACTCTCACTGTGGGAGAAGATGCAGATCAAGAATAGGGCTCCACAGCCACCTACGGACCCACCAGTACACTGATCTTGGAAGACTATGCTATTCGGACAACAAGGGATCGCCTAAGTATGGAAGTATTCCACATGACAGGGGGTTAATGTGGTCTCTTCCAACTCTAGGATTCTATTCTGGGGAAGAGGCTCCGGTCTTAAAAGGACCAGTGCAAGGTCCCTGCGTTGCTACCTGATATAATTCCCTGAACCATTTATCAGATTAGATGACTCTTGAACTTCTTAGGAGAAAAAGAGCCTTTCTTGCAGCTGTCCTCAGATGCCACACACAGGACTACTATAAATATTGATTTTGAACATTTGAAACATTAAAAAATCTCTGTTTTTGAGGCAGAAAGCATGTGATTGGAAAAGCTGTGTTATAAAACAAGTGATATTTCAATAGAAATACACTATAACACTGATTCCAGAGGTGGGAAGTATCAATAACACAGTTATGTAAAGGTAAAGATTTTCCCTTGGCAATAAGTCTAGTCATGTCCGACTCTGGGATTTGGTGCTCATCTCCATTTCTAAGCCAAAGAGCCGGCATTGTCCATAGACACCTCCAAGGTCATGTGGCTGGCATGACTGCATGGACCACAGTTACCTTCCCGCCAGAGTGGTACCTATTGATCTCCTCATATTTGCATGTTTTCAAACTGCTAGGTTGGCAGAAGCAGGGCCTAACAGCGGTAGTTCATCCTGCTCCCCACATTCGAACCACCAGCCTTTCAGTCAACAAGTTCAGCAGCTCAGCGGTTTTACCCACTGTGCCACCACAGGCTCCTTAATAACACAGTTACCTGCAATGAATTGATTTTGAGATTAACGAAAGTTTGACAGAATCACATTTTTGCGGCTCCTTGTGATAGAATTGCAAGGATAGAATCACAAGGAGCTGCGGTGGCACATTGATTAAACTCTTGTGCTGCTGAACTGCTAACCAGAAGGTCAGCAGTTCGAATCCATGAGATGGGGTGAGCTCCTGTCTGTCAGCTCCAGTTCAGCAAATATGATTAGATAAATGGGTACCACTTCGGTAGGAAAAGGCAAGAGATGTTCCACGCAATCTTGTCAACCAGGAGGTGACAACACAGGCTCCTTGGCTTGAAAATGGAGAAAAAACACCTCCCTAAAGCCAGAGATGAGCACCGCCTCCAGAAGCTGGAAATGAAAGGAGAACCCTCTGTCTTTGTTTGTGTTTGTGTGTCTCATTGTATATAACTAAAGGCATTGAATGTTTGCCTGTGTATGTAAATGCTGTAATCTGCTCTGATTTCCCTAGGGGAGAAGGGCGAAATATAAATAAAGTGTATTATTATTATTATTATTATTATTATTATTATTATTATTATTATTATTTCAGAAGCGAGCAATGATGTTGAATGGACCGTCCTCTGGTTTGGTATGACATATAACATGTTATAGTTTTAAAAGACAATTTTCCAGAGGGACTTTGAGAGCACTTTCCAACTTTTATGCCAATTCCTCTTAAAACAATCTGTGGTATTTGAAGGATGAGTAAAGTGGGCAAATGTGGATATAGAAAGAAGAGAAAAGGACTGAGAGATTAGTGGCATTGCATCTAACTTGCTTCTTTCCAGATTGGTTATACTATAAATCCTGCCACCAGCCAGAACCAGTACTAACGAATTCAGTCATCACTTGATTGCGGAAGATGTCTTAAACCGACAAAGTACATTTTTGAAGAAACCAGTCCAAGCAGTCCCCAAACTACAAACATCCGAGTTACTAACTACTCATAGTTAAGAACAGGGTAATACAACATTCTGATAGATTACATTACTTGAAGGTTAGTCTGTGTTAGTCCAATGAAATTGAATCTGTTTGCTGATGAATCCTTGAATGGATGACAATATCCCTAGGGGGAGAGAAATCTACCCCTAGGAAAAGACATTCACTCCTGGAAGAGTTATCATGGGGAAAAGGTGTCTCCACTGAAGCTTTATCACCAGTCATTGTTTCTACAACAAGGATTTTTTCAAAATCCAGTTATCACAGGGACAGAAGGTGAGGTGAAGTCTTTGTCGCAGCTATCAAACTGGGGTTCCAAACATTCAACCCCTTTCTGCAGAAGTTGCGCCCTTCGTCCAAGGAGGAAAAAGCCAACAAAAACAAACTGTCTTTTAGCAAAGAAAAGTTTATATGAAGGTATTTACAAATAAAGCAGAGTCCTTGGAATATCCAGCTGCTTCCACACAATAACTTGTAAACACAAAGTCCTTATCTCCAAATAAGACGCCACAGTCTTGCTCTTCAGATGTTGTAGCAATAATACACCTCCCAGCAACTCCAGCTCCAGCCTTGGGCTCCAAACTCTCTCCCCAATCTTTAACCTTTCTCCAACCTATTTCCAGCCTCTAGTAACACAATGTACTTAGTCTCTATTAGTAGTATTTCAACTCCCACAGGTGGCTTGGTTGTTGCTGACCATACAATGATTGGACATGATTCTTACGATCACTTACCCATTTTTCACTTAAGAAATGACCTAAACAATATACAACTCTGACAATCTTCTGAACAGAGGCACAGACAGCAAAACAAACACCACACACCCTGTGCTATCCAAATCAAATATATATGGCTGGAGTTACATTTAAAAATGTACCTGTTCCGACTTACATACAAATTCAACTTAAAACTACCTAACCTTCTTTCTTGTAACAAGGAAACTGCCTGTATTTCTGGACTATTTTGGATATGAGGATGCCTCACCTCTTTTCAAGGACTTGAAAACATGATTAAGTAACATATATATTTTTATTTGTTTTTATAGGAAGTTTATTGCAGGAGGTAAATGTACGTCTGCAGCAAAGCTGAATGGGAAGGTTGTAGTGATCACAGGCGCCAACACAGGCATCGGGAAGGAGACTGCCAAAGACCTTGCAGGAAGAGGCAAGTTGTTCGTCCCCATCCATCAGAGGTTATTCCCTGTAACAAAGGTTAATCAAGAATTACACAAAAAATGTAAATAAAGCTGTGGTCCTCACTGCAGCTGTAACCTTTTCAAGGAACTCTTTTTGCTATTTTTAAATCATCAAATAACGTAAAATGACCAAATTTCAGTAATTTCCTTTAGTTTAAAAAACTATACTGTAAACCATAGTCATGGTAACTTCCTTTCTAGCACTGCATATGACGAAGAATATACCAGGCCATGTTTATGTAAGGCAGGGTTGGACAAAGTGTCACCTCAGATCCACATTGTAATCCACCTTGAGTCTCAATTTTGGTGAAAAGGTAGCATATAATTGGTGGTGATTATTATGATGTTCGTAGAAACGTAGGGCCATCCAGTCCATCCCCCTACCATCCAAGAACACAATCAAAGCACCCCCAACAATGTCCATCCAGCCTCTAGAAGTCTTCCAAGAGTTGCAAGTTACCATCTAATAATATTGAATCCCCTACATTTGGCATTTAAAAACATCTATTTTGCAAAACTGAAGTGAATTTCTGGCCCCTTCTGAATTTCCCCCCGTATTTTTGTCAGTTCAGGCAATATTTCCCAGGGTGGAAAACTGAGTCCTACCTTTGTCTACACTTAATGGGAAAAGTGTACCGTAAACTGGAAATGCTAGCAGTCCATGATCAGGACATTTGTTTCTGTCCCACTATTTCTTTGTGCTTGCAAAACAGCTTCTGCACTGCACTGCTCTGCACTTGTTCAGCAATCCGCAGTTTTGCAGAATGGAACAATTAAATGTCACTCAGGCCTTGGAAAAATTCCTCTGTTCGACAACAGCTCCCAGAACTCTCTGCAGCACAGTCATGTTGTTTGAAGAATTGTGCCATTTGTGGTCTAACAAAGGAACTATTTTTGCAGAGAAGACAATTTACTGTCCTTCACCTCCACTTCCCTCAGCTTGTTGACATGATTGTGGCTGCCCTTTTCCAAATAAAAGATTCAGAATCTCACACGATAAGAGCAAATATATTCTCAATGTGTGAATCCTTATGAAGCCAAAAATTATACCACCCCAACAGTGGCATGATATGTAAACATGCTCAGCAGCCATGCAATAGGGACTTATAGAAGAAGAAACTTGGGACAGGAGAGAAATTAAACTGAGTATTTCAGAGGATGGCATGGCTAGTTGTCTCAAACTCCTTCCTGAACAGCAGAATTCAATCCTGCAATTGAAGCCCCCAGTGACACAATGGGATAAACCCTTGTGCCTACAGGACTGCTGACTGAAAGGTCGGCAGTTTGAATCTGGGGAGTGGGGTCAGCTCCCGTCTGTCAGCTCCAGCTTCCCATGCAGGGACATAAGAGAAGCCTCCCACAAGATGGTAAAACATTCAGGCATCCCCTGGGCAATGTTCTTGCAGACGGCCAATTATCTCACACCAGAAGTGTCTTGCAATTTCTCAAGTTGCTTGACACACACACACTCCTGTAATATTGTGTTATAGCCTAAATGTCAGTATTTCATGAAAATATGTTACAGTATAAAAGTAAAGTGGGGAATTCGTGGTCCTCCAAATGTTGTCGGAGTACAATTTACATCAACCTTAACCATCATAACCAATAAGGGATGGGGAGAGCTGCGGATCGTAATGTGGAGTTATAGAGTCTTTGTCCACCATTTAAAATTGAATCAATTACTTTGAGCTCTGCCAAGTCAGGTTGCCACATGTCATTTTGTACACAGATCAGTTCTTTTTTAAAAGATGCCATCTGTTTGAATGGATTCCTATTCAAAGACTGATTTTAATATAAAGAACCATATTCTGGACAGGGAACTTGAAGCTGCCCCTCCAAAAGTAACAACAACAACAACTTTATTCTTATATGCTGCTACCATCTTCCTGGGGGACTCGGGGCAGCTTACATAGGGACCACATCTGACATAGGCAAAATTAGAAAATAAATGCAATTTTATAACAGATAAACAACATAATTAAAAAACATATAACAGATAAACAACATAATTAAAACAATGCAAAACCAGAAAAATAAAAACACCATGTAAATACATCAACCAACATCGACGACCAGTAGCTGGAAAAAGTGGGCATGTTCAAACTTGGGAGGACAGGACAGGAGCTTGTACAAAATGCAGACTATAGGGGTAGGGCTGGGAATAAAGTGCTGGAAAAAGTGCTGCAAAAAATGGAACCATAGATTAGGGTTGGGCAGATCTGTTCAGGAGCTAAACTGTAGTTTTTCAAAGGCACATTGGAACACGGAAGGTGGACAGTGTGGGAGCTAATGTAATCTCCATGGGGAGAGAGTTCCAGTGCTGGCGGGCCACCACCGAGAAGGCAATCTCCCTCAGCCTCACCAACCGTGCTTGTGATTGAGGTGGGAGTGAAAGAAGGGCCTCCCCGGCAGATCTTAGAGCCTGCATTGGTTCATAGAGGGAGATACAATCATGAAGATAAACAGGACCTGAACTATTTAGAGCAGTGGTTCTCAACCTGTGGGTCCCCAGGTGTTTTGGCTTACAACTCCCAGAAATCCCAGCTAGTTTACCCGCTGTTAGGATTTCTGGGAGTTGAAGACCAAAACCTTTGTGGACACACAGGTTGAGGACCACTGGTTTAGAATTTTATAGGTAATAACCTGCAATTTGAATTGGGACCAGAAACTTATCGGCAGCCAGTGGCCAGTGCTTCAGCAGAGGCATCATCTGCTCCCTGTAACTTGCTCCAGTTAATAACCTGGCTGCCGGCCTTTGCACCAGCTATAGTTTCCGGGTCATCTTCAAAGGCAGTCCCACGTAGAGTGCATTGCAGTAATCCAGTCTTGATGTAACCAAGACATGGACCACCATGGCCAAGTCAGGGTTCTCGGGGTACTGTTGCAGCTGGTGCACAAGTTTTAACTGTGCCAAGGCCCTCCCAGCTACTGCCGACACCTGAACATCAAGTGTCAGTGAAGAGTCCAGCTAACTCCTGGGTTGCTAGCTAAACAGCCACAGTTGGTCATAGCCTTCCTCTCTTGAGTGACATTATTTTCACCTGATTTTATTTTCCTCTCTTCTGCTTTTGCATTCTCACATGTAAAGTAGTACACAACATTTTTCTTCTCTTAAGGATATGTAACTGCCCATCTATCTACAAACTACATTGCTTCTGTCATACATTCATTTGTATAATTAATTTCCCCCTACATTTCTTTCTTGCAGGTGCTAGAGTCATTCTTGCTTGCAGGGATATGGTAAAAGCAGAGGCTGCAGCCGATGAAATCCGGACCAAGACAGGGAACCAACAAGTTATTGCAAAGAAATTAGATTTGGCAGATACCAAATCTATCCGAGAATTTGCTGAGAATCTCCTGGAAGGTATGTCAGAGAGATCTTGATCCTTTGGATGTCTGTTTCTGGCAGATAAGTTGGTTAAAGATATAGTTGAACATCTGAATATATAATAAGGTTTTGAATAAACCTGCAAGTTGTTTTTTGCTTAAAGCTTTGCAGTTCCTGAAACCACTGTGATTTTCTTCTGAGCAGCAGGAATTCATAATCAAATATTTATAGAAACTCATTTTCCTTACCAATTTTCCATTGGCACGAGATTTTAATTGTCAAGTTAATTTTCAAGGAAAACAATTTAAATATATTTAAAAGTTTAAAGTAATCTCTTTGCTTTTTTTGAAGGGGGGGGGGTCTTTTGTTTTAGATCCACAATAATCTTGCTACTCTTAATACATATCCAATTAGGAAGATTACAGTAAGTTTATGGATTCCCCAAAACCGCAACAAGAGCCAAGCTTAAACATTGCAGTAGAGTCTCACTTATCCAACTTAAATGGGCTGGCAAAAATCCAAAAATGTTGGCTAATCAGGAGGGATTAAGGAAAAGCCTATTAAACGTCAAATTACGTTATGATTTTACAAATTAAGCACCAAAACATCATGTTTTACAACAAATTGACAGAAAAAAGCAGTTCAATACACAGTAACTTATGTAGTAATTACTGTATTTACGAATTTAGCACCAAAACATCACAATATATGGAAACAGTTGTGGATCCGGACAGGAGGCAGACTGTGTTGGATAATACAGAATGTTGGATGAGCGAAGGTTGGATAAGTGAGACCCTTGGATAAGCGAAACATACATGCTGTTTGAATTGCCTTGCTCTGAGGCTGTAAGAGAAGAATCACGAGAGGCTCTGTTGTTGAACTTTGGTTTCCATTAATTTTGGCCAGTCATGGGGGATGATGGGAAGAGTAGTTCATCAAAACTGGGTAGTCACCCATTCTACAGCTCTGCTTTGGAAGAAAGGAAGCTGTAGATCCTGTGGTTTATCGACAGCTGTGAGGCAGATCCAGTAGTATAAGTATTAAAAAAATTAGGCTTCCCTTTTTTTAATGTGCCCTGTGTTGTTTCTTGCAGAAGAGAAAGAACTTCATATCCTCATTAACAATGCTGGAGTTATGATGTGTCCCTATTCGAAGACAGCGGATGGCTTTGAAATGCACTTTGGAGTCAATCACCTTGGTAAGGCCCTGAAATATGGGTTGGGTAAATGTCTTTTTCCTCTCACTGAAACAGATTTTCCCCCATTAGACTGTAGTACAGTATGTCCCCATCCTGTCCCGTTCTCCCCCTACTCCCCATGCCATGCATCTGTGTGGGAGAAATTCCCGAATGTACTGTGGTATAGTGAAACCTATTGAAATGAATTACTTCTGCCATGTTACCATAGAGTCAAACAACAATGGGAAGTTACTGTGAAAATTATTATGTCCAGTATTAATCATGTGCAAGAATAGTTTAAGATAATTCTTCTTCAAATGGGCCAGTTCAGCTAATGCACAACTGCAGTAGTTTGGCTTTGAAATATGTATTACAGGACTACATTGCTATCGCCAGAGAATTAGTGATCTTGCTCGTTAGGATGAGAAGACTAATGGACTGTGGATTATGTGTGTGTGTTAAATCCTGTGTTTTGATGCTGATTTTACACATTCTTGTTAGTTATTTTATTCATCTACTAGCTGTACTCGCCACACATTGCTGTGGCCAACCTTCCCTCCCTCTTTCTCTCCATCTTTCTTTCTCTCCTTCCTTCCTTCTCTTCCTCTTCCATTCTTTCCCCCCATTTCTTTTCCTTCCTCTTCCCCCCCCTTTCTTTCTCTATCTATTCTTGGATTGCAACTCCCAGCAGTCCTCCTCATTGATCTACCTACCTGTCAGCATGTGCTGTAGCGTATTTTTGCTTTTTTGGCTTTTAAAGTCCCTTCCGCTGTGTTTTTCAATGTTTTTTGAGTGGTGGTCACTCATTGGCCTGATAGATGCATTGCGTCCAAATTTGGTGTCACTTCGTCCAGTGATTTTTGAGTTAGGGTTAGGGTTAATCCCACAAACCAACATTACATTTTTATTTATATAGATATCACTTTTCTCACAGTAGTGGGATTCAAGGCAATTAACAGCATATTTAAACAATACAAATTAAAAATGATACAAAGTCTTTATAAGTCAGCACAAGCACCCCCACCCCCAAACTTGGGTACATATTCACAAGGTTAGTTGCTAGATCATGCTAGGAATAGAGGTGGATAAAGTTGGTTTGTTTGGGCTATAGTGTTCAGTGACATGTTAGCTGTTAGGTTCTGTGACTTGCAACTTGGAAGAGTATTATTTCTGAGCTCTACCAGGTAAGTACCTTCTTAAGCATCCAGTTTTTCACCCATTTAGCAATATACCTGAGAGAACTTTCTTCTGCCTACATATATAGGCCACTTAGATGGATTTAAGGAACAAAAATTGCAGCAACTCTCACTACCCTTGGAGAAACACAGCAGAAGCATGCCAGCCAACTGCTTAAAAACCCAAAGATTAATAAAACATTACAGTCCATTCACTACACAGAACTGCTAATGGCTAAATACTACAAATACGTTTGGATTTTTGTGCAGGAAGAGGCCTGCGCTAGATGGCATTTGAAATCCTTGTAACTCTGTGGTTTTATGTATAACCTCCCCAATAATTGCTATGGCTTTGATGCAGTGTTTATTATCATGTTAAATTTGGTTTGTTCACCTCCTCCTTTTAATTTTTTCAAGTGTTACCATGAAAAAATTACAGCTTACAGCTTAAGTAGATTGTTTCTTAATTTGAATTTTTTTATTACAAATAATTGCATCCTATTAAAAATAAAACCCTACCTGCTTTGTAATGGTGCCACAGCTGAATGCCATCAAATTGGCTTCCCCTTACAATCTTTTAATGTCTTTTAAAAATGAAAATACTTTATTAAGTTCACCTGTGTTTTGGTTTTATATGCATAAAGAACCATAGGCCAAAGGGTGGAGAATAAATGTTTGAGAAGTGAAGATTGCAAATATAGCATGGCAGCTTATAGTACTGTGGGGACCAAAGTTTCAGGCATTCCTGCACACACGGAAACAATTGCATTTGAATTGCTACACTTGTTAAAAACATTTCCTTTATAACCCAAGATTCAACACCATGGGTTATAACATCTTTCTGAAACCTTCAGTTTTTTATTAATGCAGTGTACAGATATGGGATTCAAGCCTGTTTTATTGCAGACCTTTGGTGAAGAAACAGTTTTGCTGTATCAAAAGTATTATGATTTCCTCTTTTGTAGGACACTTCCTTTTAACATTCCTGTTGACTGAGCGCTTGAAGCAATCTGCACCATCTCGAATAGTCAATGTGTCCTCCTTGGCTCATCATGGAGGGAGGATTCGCTTTGAGGACCTCCAAGGCGAGAAAAGCTATCACCGGGGCCTGGCCTATTGTCACAGCAAACTGGCGGGTATTCTTTTTACCCGGGAGCTGGCCAGACGACTGCAAGGTGAGTTGGAAGCCTGGCACCATGGTCTTGTTCTGTGAAGCACAGTGAACATACCCTTACATTGTGGAAAACGGCAATCTGGGCAGAAATGGCTGCGTTAAGTTTAAAGTATGGCATTTCCTCTTTAGCTGTCACTGTTTTTCATAGAGGTCCTTAGGAGTTTGCCACATACTATTCCCATTAAATGTCCTTCATTGTGCAGATCTGTAGCCAATAGTACAGCCTGTCTCTGCCCAGTGATAGGAAATCACATTCATATAAGTACTGTCATCCTAAGCATGGGTCTAAACATCAACATGTGAATTTTTCAGGGACCAATTGTACGCTTTCAGACTAAAAATAACATCCTCTTTGCTTTTGCCAGGTCAGGGTTCATTTTTGCAATGTGCTTAATGTTTACATGCATGGTTAATCTCCCTAGGTACTGGAGTTACAGTCAATGCTTTGCATCCAGGCACTGTTGCCTCTGATCTGACCCGTCACTCCACTATAATGAATTTTTTGTGGAAGTTGTTGCCTTTCCTTTTGAAAACATCTCAAGAAGGAGCCCAAACCAGTGTCTACTGTGCGGTGGCAGAAGAGCTGGAGTCAGTGAGTGGGAAATATTTCAGGTACGTTGAGGTTTAAAGACGCCCTGGGTTCAAAGAAGTAAACAAGAGGGGGGGGGGGGAATCACCCAAGTGCTACTGCAACTAGTTATTGCAATCAACAGAAACCTTATACGCACTTTGAGAAGGAATCTCAATAATATAGTGTACAGCCATTACTTTATAAACACTTTGGGATCAATGTGAAGATTAAATTAGATTTCTGCTACATCATAGAAAGAAAAAAATGGCCAACTTATAATGCATGGGTTAAATAGAGGGGTGACTATGAGTTCTAGACCACTTTCTGCTGCAGTGGGTATGCCTGCCTCTCTTGTAGTTCTCACAGTGCGAGAAACCACTAAAACAGGGAGATACGCATGTACAATAAATGGCTGGGACAGGTTGAGCATCCCTTATGTCCAGGGTTCCTAAATACTGCAAAATTGCCCATATGGGTAGCTGAGATAGTGTTGGCTTTACTTTCTGACATTTCAATTGTACAAACCTTGTTTCATGCACAAAACTATTTAAACTGTAATGTATAAAATTCAGGCTCTGTGTATAAGATGTACAGTATAAGAAGCTTCCGTGAATGTTGTTTTTCATCTTGGTTTCAATTTCCAAGGTATCTTATTTGCAAATACAGTTTTTCTAAAATCTGAGGGCAAATTGGTATCTCAAACACATCTGCCCCAAAGCATTTTGGACAAGGGATGCTCAACTTGTAGTTGTTGTCAGCAGCAATAGTCTCTTTCGAAGGCTTATAAGCGGGGTATAAGTAAGTGAAATAAAAGGCTTAGAAGTTTGAATCTATCATGTCTGCCTAGAACAATGACAACATCACTTTGCACTCCCCATAGTCGGTGCTGATGATAAAGATCTGTACTAGAGTGCCATGAGTGCAGCACTCTTGTCTGTTGGGTTTCCAGTCTCGGAGCCCAACTCTGGCTGAAGAATCCCAGTGTAGCATAAAATACATCTGGCAGTTAGGATATAAAGGTAGTCTCCAAGATCCTGCAGAATTATTTGAGACTTGCAAAGCACGTGTTCAGGAACTCTCCAAAGTGCATATGTATAGAAATTTCTGTGTTTGGAGAAAGGGATGAATGCCATTAATTTGTAACAGCAAATGAGAAGGTGCAAAGGATGGAAATTTCAGTAGGTTTTTACACATCTGCCTCTCTTCTCATCTGGCTGGATGTTGGGTAGTTTGGAACTATGGTAATGCTGTCTGAATTTCCTATGCAAACTTTTCCCTTTTTGTCACAGTGACTGTAAACCAGCCTATGTATCACCTCAAGGACGCGATGATGAATCAGCAAGGAAGCTCTGGGATGTCAGCTGTGAACTGTTAGGCATCCAGTGGGACTGAATAGTGGATGACCCTTATCTGTAGTTGCACCTTTCAAGAGAGAACAAACATTGGCAGAACTGAAGGCCAAATATTTCATGCTCACTGAACACAAACAAAAATCAAACCAGATTTAGAGATTTAAGGCTGTTTCCATCTGAGTTCATTCTCAAGATGCTTGTTTCTAACAAGAGGGCAGTGTGTTTTCTAGTCTACATTTTCCACAAATGTACAAGTAAAAAAAGTTGTAGTTATCAACTATATGTATCTGACCTTTCTCATTCAATGTGGAGATTTGTTTAGACAAATCTGAATGTGTTTAACCAGGATGGAGGAACCATGTTTTTGCAACTTGGAAAACTTCTGTTTATATGCTTTTCACACCCTAATCTTTTGTTAGGTCTGATCATAAAGGAGTTTTGGCTCTAATAAGCTAGTTTATTTATATTGTCAGAAGCAAGTTGAGGGTACAGTTAACATGTATTTTAAAAACACAAACAGCTTTTAAAAACTTGGCATTATCTTAAATGTCTTTGACCAGAAGCTGGCCACTTGGAGTGCCTCTTATGTCGCTTTGAGAAGGTCCTCCATTGTGCATGTGTCAGTGTTCAGGTTGCATTGTAGTAGGTGGCCTGTGGTTTGCTCTTCTCCACACTCGTCTGTCGTGGACTCCACTTTGTAGCCCCATTTCTTAAGATTAGCTCTGCATCTCGTGCTAGTGATCCAAGCATAACATTTTGATTTAGGAGAGGGGGCTAGACCTACAGAAAGTAAGGAGCCAGAGAGAAAATGCTCCAGTTGGAACTGACTTCAGGCTGTTAAAGGTTTCCGGCATCTGCTGTTGGCATTATTTAACGCATAAAGAGCAGATTTCTTCAATAGAGGAGTAATGCTTACAGTAGCTGTAGCATTTATTGCAAGAATAAAGTTAGGGATTCTTACGTTTACATATTAAAGCCATGTGGGCTGTGTTTCTCTTAGAGCAGAACACAGATAAGCTTGAGTGCATGGTTTAAGCAGGGACACACAGGTCTTACGTAATCTCTTTTCTCACATCTACAATTCTGAGAATTTACCAGATTGAGATATATGCTATAAATGGCCTTGGGAGACTTACTTTGAAAGATATCTAAGAAACTGATGAGAGATTTCATCCTCCTTGTAGACCAGCCATCATTATTACATGTAATATAAATGTGCTATATCTTTATAGTTTTGGTCAACTTTAGATTTGGTTTGGTTATTTGGGGTGCTGATTCAGAAAACTGCATTGGATAGACCACATCAGTTCTAGTTTCTGATATAGAACTTATGCCATCCAGTAGTCATCATCTGCTCGCCTACAGAAAACCATATTTAATAATTTAGAGCTGATGTGGTCTATCCAATGCAATTTTCTGAATAAGCACCCTAAATAATCCCAGGAACAGGCCTAAAAATGAAGACATCAGGGTGTCCCCACTTCCAGGTGCCACATGGAACAGCTCCGCTCAGGGGGAGATAGGAGGATGAGAAGCAGCAGTCAAGAGGCTTGTTGTTGCGCCTTTTGTGGATAGTCAGCTTCCCGACATCCCTGTTGCCTCAGACTATAAGAGGGGTTTGCAAGACCAGATGTTCTCATTGCAACAGTGTAAGAACGGTGAGGCTGCGGACCATATTTCAGTTCTTGGGGACCACTGGTGGTCCAGGGACCACAGCTTGGGAACCACTGTGTGAGGTTATAGAGGACTAAACTTTAAATTTACACCCATTTTCTTTGGTTGAAAGGTGCAGTACAGGAATTTCTCAGAACATTCCATTAAATAAACAGAATGGCTGCTTTGTCTTTTAGATGTTCCTTTTTGAGGTACGGTAGAGGGAGCCTCCAAACGATTTAACCTGTTGCTTTTAACATATGTTAGAGTTACACCAATAGTAATGACCAAATGCATTTTATTCTTGTTGATTGGTGGCAGAGGCTCATTTCCCATCCATGCTTTTAACACATGTTCATGTTTTGAGCTCCTTGATTGAAATAGTTATGATACAGGGCAGGTTTTGCTGGTAAGAAAGTGATCCTTAGCAGGAATTGCTAAGGAATGTTGAGATACAAACAGTGTAAAGTGCGTAAAGTACAGTGCAAGGGGAAACACAGATTAACCATTTATGCTCATTAAATACAACATGTTTTCCCGGTGTGAAAAATGTCAGAGATATCTGATGAGAGTGGGACATATGCAGCAAAAGCTTCAGCTATTAAAGAACAAAAGTGACTTAAGATACACAGTGCTTCTCTTCTCTTCTTCCTTGGAGAAAAGCATCACAGTAACACACCCAACTAGATTAGAATGGAAATTTAGCTCAGACAGACAACAAAAGCAGCTTGTGTAAGCCTTGCATTCCTAATGAGATAAGCTTCAAAATCTGGGAGGTGGGAGAATCTGGAAGCTAAATGTAGCCATCCCCAACAGCGTAAGCTGCAAGCTATTTCTGAGCACCAGATCCAATGAGCCAAAGCGTAACTGATGTCTGTGGCTGTGACAGCACTCATAAGACATGAGGTCAATCAGGACCTTGGTTTTACTGGAAACTGGGCTCACAATCACTGAGATTTTCAATCAAGGTCAGTGGGAAAACAATAGTCACCTAACAAAACGACACACACTCAAATCATAAAGAATGAACATATATGAAGAACTTCTTACATTCCAAGACACAGAAAGAAGTACTATTCCTTAACTCACATTTGCGATGGATAAAATGTCAGATAATAGTATCGGATTCCTTTTACTTAGAACAAAGAGAAGGGACACAACAGGAAGATCTCTTGTTGACTCCCAACAGCTTGTTATAGTCCTCGGCAACTGACAAGAGAAAGAAAAAGGCGCACTGCCACACCTTGAAGTACCCAGAAATGGCAATTTGTCTTGTGAAACCACATGCTGCCTTTTCCCATATTTTTATAAAACCATGAACAGCCTGCTTGGCTAATTGTGGTTCCACTGAGAATGGAAAACTGGCTCCTGGTCCATGTCCTTTCTGCATTAGGGATTGTTCAATCCCTCTGAGAAGACATAAAAGCAGACCTATGTACTCTCAGTGGTATCTTCACCCAATTTGGGAAAGGATGACAAAAGATGAGTATTAGACAAGACAATCCTAAATTCAGAAGGGTATATATCAATTTCTAAATTGATTTGGAGCACACAAATTATTAACTTTTAAAAAATTTAAAATGTACTTATTTTGAGAATGAAAATTGGGATTGGGTGGCAAAATACCTGGGGAAATATGCTGTCCAGGGACTGCACATTCCCCACCTGTTTGAACATATTCAGCTAATTGAGTTGGGTGATCAGTTACAAGATCCTTAACATTCCTTCCTTTCCACTGCTTGAAGAGGCTGGGCAGAACATACAACTGTGAGCTTTTCAGCCACATATCTTATGCAGCACCTATTTTATCCAGAAGAGTCAAGCTACACACACAGGAGCCAATACGACTTTCAGGACCTGCTTCTCAACTCAGTGATACCTTTTCCAAACAGAAGAATGCAATTCCTCACTGTAAAGTAGATCATTGTTTTCTAGTTCCTACTAAAAATGGCACATATTATACTTTCTATGCAAAAGTAAACCATAGCAGATAACCACAATCTGCAAAGTGTAACATCTGTTTCTTAATTAGAAAGGAACATTATTCTGTTTTATGACTTCCTGTGTTAGACTAAACCAGCTACAAATTAGCAGATATGGCTTTTGAAATAATGCTAAGCAATACGTGTCTTAAAAAATCCTTGGCTAAAGCAAGACTGAAAGGTGTGGATGATGGAAGAGAAGGAAGGAAATGAATGACTAAACACTTCTGGTAGAGGTAGTTGGTTGTCATCAGGATATGATTGGCACTTTTAGGAACTGGATCCTTTCCCTTTCATCGGAGGCATTTAAGTAGAGCTCCTTTCCAACTTGCTACTAAATGTAGACTAAGGTGTACTAACCAGCACACATAGTCTTCCCTTTATAGAAACACCAAACGACACACTAGTCATTTCTTTGAGGTTTGGGTGAGCCAACTTCTTGGTTTGGTGTGATGCACTGAAAGCCACTGGGTGCAAATGGCCTGCACAACATCTTCTCCACTATCCTCAGCCAACTGTCGGACGTGTTGGACCAACTGCACAGCCCTCGTGTTTTCCTGTTTCACTGAGACCAGGTAGGCAGACCGTAGCTTGTGGCATCTCAAGTATGCTTGGATCTGAAACAGCAAATACGTCACAGTAAGAGTTCCACTTTCAGGTTGGGATTCTCTAACCTCCCTACTTAATGCAAACAGAAGTACATGCTCATTCAACATGCCATCTGTTCCTGAGTGTTAGGGAGAAAAACAGCATGGATGAAAACCAGGGCCTACTTGCACAAATGGAGGTCCTTTCCTGTGCTTACAGATCACTTTTGCATCAGAATCAAAAGGTTTTCCCATGTTTCCCAGAACAACACTATACAAAAGGCCCAAATTTAGAAGAAGTGATACGGTTGCTTCATTGGTCCGATCCTGAAACACACTGAAAAGAACTAATATACTATGCTTACTGAGAATTAAGATAGCTCTTGATGATGATCTGCATAGATACTTTCTTAAGATGGGTCCCACTCTGGGAGAAGAGTGGTATACAAATGCAATAAAATAATCTGAACTTTATGAAGCCATCTCCCTCAAATTAGAGTAAACTAGTCTCAAATATACTAGATATCCTTCTTTTTCAGTACTTAATGTTTTTTCCAGCCTCATAAAAAAACCATACTCCTTAAAGTTCTCCCAGGTTTTAGCACCTATGTATATCAAAATTCAATGTGAAAAATATATGGAAAAAGCAATTTGTGGCATGCTCTCTTTCTCTCTGAAAAGAACAGCCATTTATATTCACTTGAACTGAAAAATACTGCAATTTTTCCACTGGAAGAATCAAATTATAGCATAATGAATGCTTCACAGAATACAAAAGACTCCTTGATCATCACAGATGCCTCCAGTCTTTGTGAAAGCATGCATGATAAAACAAAAGAGGAAAATAATTCCTCCAGGTTTTCTTGTTTTCATCGGTGGGAAAGATCATGGGGGAAACCTAACAAAATTTTAAGCAATTATCCTACAGTCATTTTAAAAGGAAGGAAGGGTTCCAAAGCCATTTATTGTATGATGGCAACAAACAGTTTAATGAGTTATTAAGTTTTACTAGCCATTTTGAGCCAGAAAAATCCAAAAAATAACTCCACAAAAGGGGAACATCTCATTAGGCCTTATGTTGCAGGGTCGCCATCTTGCAAATGACAGGTTAGAAGCTGTTTGTGTGCTGGGAAAGGCATCTAGCAGTAATCCTTTGAAAGACTATGCCCCACTCCTTCAAGGGAAATGTTTCATTCATGGGTGGTTTGTGTTGCAGAGATGCAGCAATATTAAGTTGGGGTCATTTTCTAAAACACACTATAGTCTTTCTATCTTCTAGCATCCTTCCTTCTTTTGCGGGTAACATCATTCTAAGCTTCACATTATATTGTCGAAGGCTTTCATGGCTGGAATCACTAGGTTCTTGTGGGTTTTTTCGGGCTATAGAGCCATGTTCTAGAGGCATTTCTCCTGACGTTTCGCCTGCATCTATGGCAAGCATCCTCAGAGGTTGAGAAGGTCTGTTGGAAGTAGGAAAAATGGGTTTATATATCTGTGGAATGGCTGGGGTGGGGCAAGGAGCTCTTCCCTGCTACAGTTAGGTGTGAATGTTTAGCTGATCACCTTCATTAGCATTTGAAGGCCTGCCTGAGTCCTGGGAAAATCTGTTGCTGGGAGGTGTTAATCTGTGCCTGGTTTTTTCCTCTCTGTTGTTTAGCTGTTATTTAGAGTTTTTAATACTGGTAGCCAGATTTTGTTCATTTTCATGGTCTCTTCCTTTCTGTTGAAATTGTCCACATGCTTGTGGATTTCAATGGCTTCTCTGTGTAGTCTGACATGGTGGTTGTTGGTGTGGTCCAGCATTTCTGTGTTCTCAAATAATATGCTGTGTCCAGGCTGGCTCATCAGGTGCTCTGCTATGGCTGACTTCTCTGGTTGAAGTAGTCTGCAGTGCCTTTCATGTTCCTTGATCGTGTTTGGGCAATGCTGCGTTTGGTGGTCCCTATGTAGACTTGTCCACAGCTGCATGGTATACGGTAGACTCCTGCGGAAGTGAGAGGATCCCTCTTGTCCTTTGCTGAACGTAGCATTTGTTGGATTTTCTTGGTGGGTTTGTAGATTGTTTGTATGTTGTGTTTCCTCATCAGCTTCCCTATGCGGTCAGTGGTTCCCTTGCTGTATGGCAGGAACACTTTTCCTCTGGGTGGATCTTCATCTTTACTCTCGTGGCTTGTTCTTGGTCTTGCAGCTCTTCTGATGTCTGAGGTGGAGTATCCATTGGCCTGGAGAGCCCAGTTGAGGTGGTTCAGTTCATCTTGGAGGAGGTGGGGTTCGCAGATTCTTTTTGCACGGTCTGCCAAGGCTTTAATGGTGCTTCTTTTGACTTGGGTGATGGTTGGAGTTTTTATGTAGATATCTATCTGTGTGTGTGGGTTTTCTGTAGACGGTGTGACCCAATTGTTGATCTGGTTTGCGGATGACTAGGACATCTAGAAAAGGCAGTCTTCCTTCATTTTCTTTTTCCATGGTGAACTGGATGTTTGGGTGGATGCTGTTAAGATGGTCCAGGAACCTGTTGAGTTCTTCTTCTCCATGGCTCCAAATGGTGAAGGTGTCATCCACATATCTGAACCATATCGTGGGCTTTTGGTTGCTGTTTCCAGGGCTTGTTCTTCAAAGTGTTCCATGTAGAAGTTAGCTATGACCGGGCTGAGAGGGCTCCCCATAGCTACTCCATCTTTCTGTTCGTAGAATTCATTGTCCCACTGAAAGTAACTGGTGGTAAGGCAATGGTGAAACAGAGCCGTGATGTCTTCTGGGAACCTCTGGTTGATGAGTGCCATGGCGTCAGTGGGACAATGAATTCAGTTTCAGTGGGACAATGAATTCTACGAACAGAAAGATGGAGTAGCTATGGGGAGCCCTCTCAGCCCGGCCATAGCAGAGCACCTGATGAACCAGCCTGGACACAGCATATTATTTGAGAACACAGAAATGCTGGACCACACCAACAACCACCATGTCAGACTACACAGAGAAGCCATTGAAATCCACAAGCATGTGGACAATTTCAACAGAAAGGAAGAGACCATGAAAAATGAACAAAATCTGGCTACCAGTATTAAAAAACTCTAAAATTATAACAGCTAAACAACAGAGAGGAAAAAACCAGGCACAGATTAACACCTCCCAGGAACAGATTTTCCCAGACTCAGGCAGGCCTTCAAATGCTAATGAAGGTGATCAGCTAAACATTCACACCTAACTGCAGCAGGGAAGAGCTCCTTGCCCCACCCCAGCCATTCCACAGATATATAAACCCATTTTTCCTACTTCCAACAGACCTCAAACCTCTGAGGATGCTTGCCATAGATGCAGGCGAAACGTCAGGAGAAATGCCTCTAGAACATGGCTCTATAGCCCGAAAAAACCCACAAGAACCTAGCTTCACATTATATTTTGCTAAAGAGTTGTTAATCTGATATTTGTTGCTGAATCTGAAAAGCCCTGAAAAGCCTAGACCTATGAGTTGAGGAGAGGAGATGGGGGAGTAATAAAATGAATTGTGGGATTCTAGAAATTGTTTCAGCTTCAGGACCGCTGCCTCATGTTACACTGCACTCACCTTATTTTCATCACTCTCCATATCCTGTATCAGATTGTCTAATTCCTGTATTAAAGAAAAATAAAAAGTACACTTGAAAGAGCAATGTGACATAATTTGTGAACCACTTTGTTCATGTGTTATTTGCATGGGCTGTTGATAATTAAATGTTTATATGTGCTTGAAATAATAATAATAATAATAATAATAATAATAATAATAGTAATAATAATAATAATAACAATTTATTTTTGTACCCTGCCTTCATCTCCCTGAAGGTACTCAGGCCAGCTTACATGGGGAGAAGCCTGAGATTCAATATAGTTAAAATATAACCTAAAAATTAATAGAAACATTTCAAACAATATAAAACAACCACAAAATACAATACATAGCCAACATCTAGCAACCTTCAGTGGTCTGAAATATTATATACTCTATCATTTGAGGCTGTTTGATTACATATTATGGTATTTTGGGGGTATGAATTAGATTTTAGAAATGAGAAAAGTCTGTTGGAGCAAATCAAAGAGTCCAGTAAACAAACACTTATAATCAAGCCCTTTATGTAATAAAACAAATGTTTATCAGAATCTTCACAGATGTAAATGGTTATCTCTCTTCTACATCTTCATGGAAGACTTCCTAACATTTTGAAAAGGCAATCAGGAAATAAATTCCTCACAACTAGGACTCCCTGGGTATATATTTGTAGACCATTTGGACACAACATCAACACTAGGAAAAGAAGAACAATTAAGTCTGAAAGGCAACGGAACTTTTGTTTAGCTTTCTGCTATGCTTAGAGAAAGTGAATGTCCCTTTTCTTTCCCAGACAGTCTGCAATTACCTCAGCAGGAACAGACTCAAAATCATCTAGGCAGTTTAGGATGACATTGTCCCCATCATTTTTATTTGCAGCACCAGATTCCTTGATACATTTGAGGAGCTGTCTGATCTCGCCGTAGTTCTGCTGCTTCACCAGCTGCCTGGCCACTTTATTGTACACTGCAGCAGCCTCCAGCTGGAAGTCCTAGGGCACAAGAACCAGTGTCATTTCAAAATGGTAAAAATGCCTCCCTACAACATAAAGCTGAGCTTTACTGAAGGAGGAAAAATATGGATTTGTGGTAGTTGAGCTATCATACAGTATAGTAGACAATCACAAGGAGGTTGGGATCTCAATCAGGTGTTGGGCATACTCTCCCTCTCTCTTTAAATCTCTACTACAGCCATTGTTCAGCCACAGCAAGCCCAGAAACCAAAAGGTAGTGTGTTTTCCTCCCAAACTGTCCAGCTGACCAGTTTTAAAGACTACACAGAGCATAGTCCCGTGACTCTCCATCTTCTATACAGAACTACAGCCCCATAGCAAGGGATCATGTCATACCAAATGCTGCTATCCTTTACAAAATGCTTGGCTGGGTAAGAGAACAGAATTTTTTTCTTGTAAATGCCTTCATTCTGTATCGTACTTACTTTGGTTTACTATCCCTAATCTGTCTTGTTTTGTAAGATTTGATAGATTAGCTAGTTGTCTTTAAGACTCCTTCCATAAATTTGAATAAAATCCCAAAATATCTGCTCTGAACTGGAATATATGGCAGTGTGAATTGAGATAACCCAGTTTAAAGCAGATATTGTGGGATTTTCTGCCTTGATATCCTAGGTTATATAGCCGTGTGGAAGGAGACTAAGACTACAACATTTAAATTACTTAATAATAATATAATAATAAAACTTTATTTATAACCCATCACCATCTCCCCAACAGGGACTCGGGGCGGCTAACATGAGGCCAAGCCCAACAATTAAAACCAATCAAAATGGGACGATTGGATTAGAGGAATGGGAAACGATTTGGAAAAAAAAATTAAAATACCTAAAAGCTTATGATATGAGAGAAAATTGGTGGAAAATTTTTTTTAGATGGTACCTGACACCTTGCAAATTAAATAAATATTATAAAAACTTAAACTCAAGATGTTGGAAATGTGGAACAGTAGAAGGGACACTATACCACATGTGGTGGAAGTGTAAGAAAATAAAAAACTACTGGAAAGAAATACAGACTATATTACAGAAAATTTTAAAAATTAAGATACCCCTAAAACCGGAAATATTTCTATTAGGCATTACAAAAATTAAGATGGATAAGAATACAGATAAACTACTATTTCTCGCAATAACAGCGGCCAGGTTATGCCTGGCGAGAGTCTGGAGGAAAAAAGAAGTACCCAGAATTGAGGATTGGAAGAAGAAAATGATGGATGTCAGAAACATGGACATCCTAAGCTACATAATTCAAAGAAGTAAAGGAATTGAGGAGACAAGAACTGATTGGACAAAATTTAAAGAATATTTGAATCTAGGTAACTAACAGCTAGATATATATATATACATAGATATACATAGATATATATATATAACATAGCAAACAGAAAGACAGGCGAAATGGCCTGATCATTGAAAAGTAACTACATAACAAGAATTTTAGTCAATAAGAATTATAAAATACGAGACGAAGAGAAGAAAGTGTACGAAAGAAGAGGAGAAGGCCGACCCTCACAGAGTCCTGGAAGTCGTACTGATGGAAGAAAGAACTTTTTCCTGATTCTTTTCTTTTAAATTTCACTTTTTTAGCCTTTCACCTTTTCCTGTTTCTTACCTTCACTATTGGTTCCCCCCCCATCCTTTTTCTCTTCCCTTGCTATTTTTTTTCTTTATTCTTATATACCTTTACATGACAAACTGTGCTATCTATATTCCTTTATTTTTATCGATTGTACATTTTGAAAATCTCAATAAAGAATATTTATTAAAAAAAAACCCAATCAAAATGAAAATATATACAGCAAATAATAACATCAAATAAAATATAATCAAAGCAAATTAATACAAAATCAAATACAGGAAATGAAATAAAATAATAAAAATGTCCACAGCAGGTTGGGCCACGTTAAAAGGGTAGAATTAAAATATAAATATAAAAATCCTGGGTGAGATGGATGAATAGGGCAGTGTTCCTGGTGGGGGGATTTCAGCTGGGAACAGCAATGGGGTGAATTTCATTGAAGGATGATATAGTGCATATAGTGCTGTGCTGGTGATGGTGTGGGGAAGGTATTTATTCCTCAAAGGCACACTGAAACAGCCAGGTTCTTAGGCTCTTCCTGAAGGCTGCCAGGGTGAGCACTTGCCTAATCTCTCTGGGTAGCAAATTGCAAAGCCAAGGGGCCACCACGGAGAAGGCTCTCTCCCATGTCCCCACCAGTCGCACTTGCAACAGGCAGAAGCGAGAGGAGGGCCTCCCCAGAGAATCGAAAGGGGAGGAAATAACTAAGGCCCCTTCCACACAGCTGTGTAAAATCTCACATTATCTGCTTTGAAGTGGATTCCATAGTAGTGTGGACTCAGATAACCCATTTCAAAGCAAATATTGTGGATTACAGCCTTGATATTCTGGGTTATATGGTTGTGTGGAAGGACCTTAAAATTCAAGCAGTTATGTCTGGTCACAACAGCCCCATGTAGACCCAATCAGAATCAGCATACAGCATATAGCACGTAAGCATTGATATTTCATCCCACACCATGACCTTTCCATAGACTATAGAATCATATTTGCAACAGTATGAATCCTCAGTAAATATACATTTCATATATGCCAAATTCCTACTTTGACATTAAGATATAACTTTAATGTAGCACTGTGACCTTTCTGCTCCATGTAGTTTGTAACTGCTTGCACTGACTGGTAAAAGCTCTCTATACATTCACTTAGAGGCCTTTCTCAGTCCTCCCTGGGAAATGGCAGAAGATAAACATCTGATCATTTGCAAGCAATGTGTACATGACTCTTTTAGCTTAGTTTTTTTTTTAAATATGAGAAAATGCATAAAGCACATGAGTATCAACACTATTAGTCATGGTGGTCATCCATCTCACAGTTTTATCTCGGTGAGCCTGAGCCAGAGAAGCAGCAATTCTAAGAACCTTTGTACAGCAGTCTTCCAAGTGCTGCTTTCAGTAGACTGTCAACAATACAACAAGCCAAACAAGACAATAGGACAAACAGTCTTCAACTAAATAGTTATAATCTGATATTTTAGATCTGAATTTGCTTCAGCTTTCTTTGGTGTCTCCCCTTACTTTGTTTTGCTATAGAGCTGAAAGATACCAGTTTACAAATTATTAATCTTCTTTCTGTGGCAAACCCAGGTCTAAAAAACAAAAAGACCATTCAGGAATTTCAAAACCTTAAAATGCAATTGTAGATTTTCACAGAAAAAGATAATGCTTTTGTCTTTACAATATTGTCGACCTTCTCTAAACAATCAAAGGCAGAGTGAAAACAAATGCAATTATTAAATATAGCAGCTTAATTCAAGTTTTATAGATATCCAAAATAACCAAGATAGGAAGCTGAACGAAATGAAGTGATTTTCAACTGCTTTACTGATGTCCACAAGGGACCAGCGTTAGCTATCACAGCTTCTTAGGTGCACCATACCTGTAGAACTCTGAATGCAATCCCAAAGCCTTCTTCAATGTTTTTGCCTTCCAAGATGACCTGGAGAAAAATTGCAGCAACTTAAAAATTGGGTGGTAGTGGTTAAATATTGTGTTGGCAGTTAACAGGAAATGACCACAGAGTTGTGATAAAGAACATACAGACATCCTAGGGCAGTGGTTCCAAACCCTTTTTTGACCAGGGACCATTCTCCAACATTAGAACTAAAATGGTTATGAATCCATTTTTAGTCAATTTTAGATTTGGTTTGGTTATTTGGGGTGCTGATTCAGAAAATTGCATTGGATAGACCACATTAGCTCTAGTTTCTGATACAGAACATATGCCATTCAATAGTTGTCATCTGCTCACTCACAGAAAACCATATTTAATAAGCCTCGGCATTATAAGAGGTTTCCGCAAGACCAGTAGCTCTTATTGCAACAATGTAGTATTTTAGTTCTTGCAGACCACTGGTGGTACATGGACCACAGGTTGGAAACCACTGTCCTAGAGAGATGTTCTCTCAAGTTTAAAAGACAGCATTTTTTTTATTCATGTCTTTTTCACTTTTGCAAAGGTCTTGAATTCCTAACTCCAGCAAATATGGAGGGCTGCTTGTGTACAAATCATATGTAGCATGCAGTCAAAATTGGATAATTTACTGTCTCCTTTTCCATACGTTTCAACAGATAATATATAACTTCCTTGCTACTGTAATGGTGTGCTTTTGTTTTTTGTTTCTACAGTTTCTATTTGTACTGTATTTGTAATTTGTAACTTTATTAAAAGTTATTTTAAAAAAACAGAAAAGAATTGTGCAACAGAGTCTCCCTTTTTCCTACATTACCCTTTTGCACTCGCACTGAGAGTAGGAGATGGAGGAAACTTCTACGTCAACACAGAGACCTCCTTACTAGATCTGTTTATGTGTTAAAGTGACCTTCAGTTAAGAGACCTCAAATTAATTCTAAACACAAAAGACTGGAAAGGAGTTGGAAATGCGAAAGAAAAAGAAAATTACTTAGGCATTTTTTCTCCCCAGAAAACACTTGCTCATTCTCACCAATTCATAATTTATCTCCATAAAATGTGAAAGTCCAAGAAAAAACGTGAAAGGGATGCTTTTCCCAAGGGCTTCCTCCTCCCCTGCCATTCAGATCTGTAGTTATGCCCTTTGAAAGAATCTTAAGACTGGCTACACCTTAGCAGCCCAGTAAGCAGGTATTTAGGTTAAGCATGGATAATCCTAGGCATGCTTGGTGTTTTGTTGTTGTTGTTGTTTTGTGCCTTCAATTTATTTTGTTACTTATGGAGATCCAAAATGGGCCTACCACGGGGTTTTTGTAGCAAGGTTTGTCCAGCCTTCCTATGAGACTGAGAGGATGTGACTTGACCCAAGTCCCCCAGTGGGTTTCCATGTCTGAACAGGGATTTGAACTCTGGTTCCCAGAGTCACAGTCCAACTCTGGAATCACAACATCAAGCTGGTTCTTCACGTGTACTCTGGACTAAACCCTAAAATGTCTAGAGGGGTTTACAGATGCGTCTCTATGATTACAGCCATGGGCTTCCACTGTTATGATTTGTTCAAGAAATAACTCCGACAACAGATCGAGCACCTTAAAAAAAAAAGACCAACCTGCTCTACTCTACCACTTGGGTTTCAATTCCACGTCCTTCCTCACCTTATATTAGTAAAGTCCTTCCCAATCAGAGTGATGAAAACTTTACATGGTATGTGACCAGTCAAAACAATTATTGTTAGTTTTTTTTTTTAAAAAAAAGCCCTACATGATTTTAGGGTCATCTACACCCAATCCTGCTCATTTTATATTTAAAAGCCTGCCGTGACTTTAAGTGGAGCCCAGTACCTTGCAAGCAACTTCCATCTTCATTTGATTGTTCCCAAAGAGTGTGGGTACTGTAAAGGTGGCTGTGGATGAGGCCCCTTGTTTCTCACATCGATGCAGGAATTTTGTAACTTCCATCTGAAGTTCAACTGTATTGATGTGTCTAATTGGAAGACAAATAATAAATATAGGAAAACCATAGATTGGAAGGCCATTTCTAAGCAGCGCTTTAGCTGTAATTATCAGCATGACAGATGGTTGTACTCTGGCCTTTGAGGTCCCTTCCAAATCTATGATTATAATGATATCACTGTGCAAAATTATTTGAGTATGACAATGATTTCATAATGTACTGCTTAGCTTATTATGTGGAGGTTGCAAAAATGCCTTTTTTGGGGAGGTGGGGGGGACATGCTAGCAGAATTATTCTGGCAAGTTGCACTCCAATAAGAAGTTAATGTTTCTAGAGGTACACTCTGTAAGTTAAATTAATTATTTGCCTTTCTTTTTGTTCTCCTTTTACCAGAAAAACATCTTTTATCACTGTATGACCAGACGTATTTTAAAAAATGTCAATTAGTGCAGTTCAAATAAACACAAAATATGGAAACTCATCTATTAATTCAAAACAATAGAGAGGTTGGAGGTGTATTTTAATATATTAATACTGCTAATATTAATACATTAGAACACCAGTGATTAGTATATTGGAGCATAACACCATGCTCTATTTTTAATGTTAAAATATTGTTGGAACTCAACTATATCCTTCACAAGTTTATAGTCCTCAACAAGTAGATAGGCAGACAGGTTAGCTCAGACATGGGCAAACTTTGGTCCTCCACGTGTTTTGGACTTCAATTTCCACAATTCCTAACATACGGGCTGTTAGGAATTGTGGGACTTGAAGTCCAAAACACCTGGAGGGGCAAAGTTTGCCCATGCCTGGGTTTGCTGGTAGGGAAAGCCCTTCCCCCACTGCCCTATTTGTCTGCCTCTCTCTTCTCTCTTCTCTCTTTCCTCCCACTTCTCTGTTAGACTGATATTTCTCAGGGACACACCTCTTTTTATTCAAATAGCAAGCCCTTCTCTTGTGAGCACTGAGAGAGACAAAATGTCATCAGAGAGGTAGACAGAAAGATAGCCAGGCCCTTACTTTCCTATATAGAAATATAGCTCTTTCAATAAAGTATTCTGTAACTTTTAAATCTTGATTCTGCTCCTGTAATTGCTGAAGCTCATTTGCTCTCCTGTTATGACCAAGAAGCTTCTGATCTGCTAAAACCCCTGTTGCTGCTGCTTTACTTTTAAAAATGCATTTTCCTTTTGATCACTGCTCATTGTCTATTGAGTTGGTGGGGTGAACAGGTCAAGACTTTGCATCAGAAGCTATGATTTGTAATTTTATCATGTCATAGCTACACCTCTGATAGAACGTAAATCCATCTAGTGAATTGCAATAATTCCTATCCAGGTGTCTTTTATGGTGTTCTGTTGTGCAATGGGAGAGCCCATTGTGCAACGTGTTCCATAATGTTCTGGTGCCCTTTGTGAAATGGGCCCCATAGCGTTCTCACACCCATTACACCATCAGACCCATGACACAAATGTCACACTGCTGGCTCCTTTTGCACAATAGTTCTAGAAATGTAGCTATGCCTCAGCCCCCCCCCCCCCCCCGAGAAATCAATTCATTTTTAACATTGTGTATCAGACAATGACATAACAGGTCTAACAGGCTGCCAACCGTAATAGTTAATGCAAAAATGATTCTTTTTTTAAAAAAGTGTTTCATGAGCACTAGAGCTGGAGTGCCTCAACTTCACTGAATACAAATTACCTCATTTCTGAAGTATACCTTCACATATTATCTGGATAAAATTAGATAATGATAAAAACATTGTCAAACAGCCATTTCTTTGTACCTTGACACATCAGGAGCAGACATTTTCTTACGGAAACTGCACACAGACTTTTTCCTTCCTGAACTACGTGAAACTTCCTGAAGGTAAACTTTGAGGTGATCCTTGACCTTCAAGAGCCACTTCTGCCTTTCTCCCAATTCAGTGTAAGATTTTGCCTTGTGTGTGAAAAACCGAATGCAGGTCATAGCGGCACGAACTTGATCCTGGGGTGGGGAGGAGAAATGTGTAAGCATGGCTAAACTTTAAAATGAAAGGATCAGGTGAAACTGATTATCACACTTGCCAGAAAAAAGGCAAAGCAGCTCTGTTCGAATGATTCAAGAAATGAACCAAAGAGTAAAGCTCTATGGTTTATTTAGCTATTTCCAATTCAAGAAATGTATACCAAAAACCTCTGCTGCTGGGAAACAAGATAAATCACATCCAAAATCCCTGCAGATTCTTGTGAAGAGCCTCTACAAAGGTCCTCAACATTTACAGCTACAGCAGGATAGTATATCAAGTCTCTTACCTTCATAAATTGCTGCAGCTCATACAAAATGTGGTAGTAATTCTTTTTCTGCAAATGTTTGCAAGCTGCAATGAGATAGTCACCCCAGCTCTCTAAGCCTGGATCAATGGTTTCCAGCAAGTTTTCCAGCATATGAAGCTTTCCACCTTTATAACTTGGGACAAAGATTCCTTCGATAAACACTTCCTGTGGGCTCTCCTAAAACAGAGGGAAAATGAAGGTTTACTTATACCATTACTTTTGGCAGAGAAGCATACAACCCCTTACATTACCGTTGATGGCACTGGGACCCCTTAGTTCCCTAAATAGAGCTCAATCAGAAAAAAAGTGATTGCATATGAAAGCAATTTAAAAGAAACTGTCAAATCTAGAGAATACTAGATTCTGGACAGTTCAACAGGTTTCCCTTCAAATCTTGTGACTACCTGCCTAACAATTTGCTTTTTCAATAGGTTTATAAAAAATTTAGGAGGTGAAATGTCTCCAAGCTTTCTTCACTCCAGTTCTATGCTACAAATCCAATCTTTTCAAGGAATCCGAACCAAACCTCTGCCATTTTATGAAATGAAACATTAAAAGGGCATCTTTGAGGCAAATGAGAACCCAGCACATATTATTATTCACAACATGAGAATTAGGCAAGGTTTTCATAAAACAGGATGATGTCAGTAACTGATAGAAATCTAGGTCCTCATAATATTACAAGAACTGGTTGCCATAACAGGTCAACACACTCCTCTGGGAACGTAGCCAAGTGGCAAAGCAAATGATAGAGATCCCTCTTTTGAATGCAACTTGAGACAACAGCAACATAGAAACCTTGATGTGCACTCATTAATGCAATCATCAAGGTGTCTATCCAAGGAAAATGTTTGGATCCAAGGAACTACTTTAGTCTGCCCTCCTGTTTGGTTATGGACAAAAAGCACAAATCATATGACCCAGACCCAATACAGACAACAGCAGGTCGCTGTGCCAAACCACAAACTACACTGGAAAAAGGGGCTGCAGTAGCACAGCAGGTTAAACCACTAGCTGCAAAAAAAAAAAAAAAACCCCGAAAAAACTTGCTGACCGGAATGTTGGTAGTTCGAAGCTGCGGTTCAGGGTGAGCTCCCGGCTATCAGCCCTAGCTCCTGCCAACTTAGCAGTTTGAAAATATGCAATGTGAGTAGATCAATAAGTATTGCCTTGGCAGGAAGGTAAAAGGCGCCCATGAAGCCATGCCGGCAAAACACAACCAGAAGAGTCTATGGACCACAGGCTCCTCAGCATGAAAAATGGAACAAGAGCACCTCCCCATGGCCAGAGTTGAGCATCACCTCCAGATACCAGAGATGGAAAGAGAAACCTTTGCTTTTCTTTGTATATTGTATGTTATTGTTCAATGTATAAAAGGCAATTAATGTTTGCCTATATATGTGTATACTATAATCCACTCTGAGATCGCACAGGGAGATAAAGTGGAATATAAATAAAGTGTGTTATTATTATTAAAATTTGCAATTTGAGGGGAGGGCCATTGCTAAAGCAATTAACCTGAAAAGTCTACATGACAGCCCAAAACGAGGTATATCGAATGTAGGGCACCTTTGGCATTGCAGATGTTGTTGTACTCCAGCTTCCATAAGCCCCAGAAAGGTGAACCAGCAATCCAGGATGATGGGAGTTATAGTCTAGCAACTCTTGGTTTCCTATTATTAAGATGTACATTTTTGTGGCCCTCAGATAAACACTGTGAATCATGACAATGACATGACAAATAAAGGCCAATGGATGTCCTGATGGGAATGCTGGACAGCAATCCCCATTAGCCCTAGCCAGAACAGTCAATAGTGAATTACAGGAGTTGCAGTGCACTAAAACTATGAGGGATCTCTTCCATATAACTTTACCCATTTATAAAGTAAGTGGGTTTATTCCTTCCTTTGGAGACTAATATGCAGAAAAAATATAGGGTGGAAAATAAGAAGTTCACAGACAATAAAAAACATTACGATATATAATGCATATGGGCACAGGTGTATGGTCTGCTTCAAATTTGCTAAAACAATTAGGGATGGCCAAAATGTGGCCTGTGATCCTGATTTAGCTCACAAGAACAGAAATTATTTACTGTTACAAAGGGCTTAAAAATAGCAAAATTGCTCCCCATACCTCCCACAAAACTTTCGAGGCATTTGGATGGATGGATGGATGGATGGATGGATGGATGGATAGATAGATAGACAGACAGACAGACAGACAGACAGACAGATGAATTGTGGGGATGTTTGGTGACAAGGAACAGCCTTCCAATGTCTCTGGCTGGGAGGGGAGTTTAGCCTCCTACAATTGCCCACCCTTGTTCTACATCCTTATAAAGCAAGTGTCACCTTATTCAATAAATGCAGGAGTGCTTCTCGCATGCAGTCATGTCTCATATAGAAACTAATGATTGCCAGGTTGGTGCCATAATTATGTAAATAAAAAAGACACTCTTGATAATAGGTGTTATGTTGAATTTTCCCTTCAGGTGTCATCTCCAGGGACAGGCTTCGCGTCCGTAGCATTGCTTCCAGTTCTCTCAAAGTTGCAAAGTAGTCATCATCCTGCTATTAAGGAAGAATCAAGAGTCACAGGATGAGACAAATGGAATTCTGCCAACCAAACACATCTATTAGAGCCAAGGGAAAGAGGACCTTTTCATCCATTCTTTCTTTCTTTCCTCTTGTACCACCTTAAAAACTTGGCCCACAGGAATGGGTGGTCCTTCAGCTTCAAATAGTGTGGCTATTCCCCTTCACCACTTCCTCCTGATGGATCTCTCCTTTTTATGGAGATCACTCGGAATTCAATCCCTATTGCAGATGTAAACACTATGCTGACAGCTTCAAGTCATGCAACGAACACTGCAGAACTCAGGGAAGCTTATATGATTTCAGAGGAGTTCCAAGCCTCTGAATTGTTGTATGTACGCATGCATAAGACTTCAAATTTGAGCTAAAAAATCAACCCACAAATCTTGGTAGAATTATCCACAGACCAATTAAGTACTGTACCTTAATACTTATCAAAAAAAGGCACCACGAGATGCAGAGCCAACCTTAAGAAATGGGGTTAAAAAGTGGAGTGCATGACATGTGATTGTGGAGAAGAGCAAACCACAGACCACCTATTACAATGTGGTCTGAGACCTGCCACATTCACAATGGAATACCTTCTTATAGCAACACCAGAGGCACTCCAAGAGGTCAGCTTCTGATCAAAGGACACATAGAAAAAATGCCAAGTTTTTTACTTTGTTAAATACATTACAACTGCACCCCCAATTTGCAACTGACATAATAAATTTTTAAAAAGGAACCAGCGCCTGAAAAACAAGGTTTTTGTCCATTCCAGGAGGTCCTAAAAGAAGCATCGACTCCTTCTATCTGTTGCAGGACTGCTTCTGGCTTTATTGAATGCCTGGGTGGGAAAATGGTGGCTAGGGATGAATGGTCAGGGATTTTGCCATCACATTTGAAATGCTTAAGGCTTTCGGGGCATTTGGATACATAGTTTTAAAACACTGCACCATTAGATGTACTCTGACCCCACGTTCACCCTACAGAAAGCATCTATCTGTTATGCAAGAAGGAGGCTAAGCTCTTACCACAGACAGAATGGGCTTTACAGTGGATTCCAGGTACTGTACCACATCTTGGACCAGTCTTGAGCCCAGATTTAGTTGATTCAAGTCAAGCGGGGCTTTTAGGCATCGGTTGAATTTTTCTCTGGCAGCATTCAGGTTGCCAGCTTTAAGGCAAGCCATACCCCAAGCATGCCATGCTCCAGCTGGATCCAAACCAGTCTTTGTTGAAACCTAAAGGCAAGGTCAAGTCATAAAGTTAAAGTCGGACAATCTTAATTGGCCACCATTGTTCTTTGTGTAATCAGTGTGACAGTTCTTGGACATCCCAGATGTACCAAATGATTATATTGCAAAATGGGAGAAAATAAAACTGTTTCCCTTTACATCATGGATGAGAAGTTTCCAAGGGTTAGAGGATATGGCATTGTATCCCTATCTTCATATAATTCCATTAGGTTAGCAGCCTTCTGAAAACCTGCTGCTGACGTTCCCACAACGTCACACATCTCAATGATTCTGCTTGGAAAAGTGGCTGCACTGCCAATCCCCATGTTGTCAGAAGAATAACTGGGATACTGGTAGTGGTTGAGGGCTCTCTCAAGTCATTTCTGACTTCTGGGGATCCTAAAGTGATCCTTTCATAGAGTTGTCTTGGCATGATTTTCTCAGAGCACATTTGCCCTTGCCTTCTCATGAGTCACTGGGTTTTCATGGTTGAGCAGGAATTCGAACCTTGGTCTTAGTCACAGATCTGTGCTCAAACTGATATGCCAACTCTTGCCTCCTCCAACCTATTTTCCTCAGAGGTAATTTCCAGATAGACAAAATAATAATGTTTTAAGGCATTTATGGGTCGTGTTTATGGCTACATCTTCCCTATTGCATTACCTCCACTGCTAGTTGATAGTATTCAGCTTCCAAAAGTTGATTCCTTAGCCTTGTAACTGCTGCAGGTTGCAGGATCTGATCCAAAGATGGTACACGACGATATGCAGCAGCTACTAAAATATTCAACACATCCACTTTGCTGATGTAACTGTTGGAAGTTGGAAAATATAAGTTAGATGTGTCTTGGATTCACAGATGAAAAGTTTAACACAAACCATATGTAAGAATAGAGGACCCTTGGTATCTGCTGAGATTTGGTTCCAGGATCCCCAATGAACAATAAAATCTGAGAAGCTCAAGTGATGCAACTAGTGGTGTCCCTTCTAATGGCAAGATCAAGGTTTGTTTGGTTTTTAAATAATATTTTGGTGTGTGTGTGTGTGATATTTCCAAACCACCTTTTAATATTATATAGTGATGTAACTAATGGTGTCTCTTATATAAAGTGGCAAAATCAAGGTTTGTTTTTCTGGATTTGGGGTGTGTGTGTGTGTGTGTGTATAATATTTCCAAGCGACCCTTAAATATTTAAAAGGATGTCATAAGGAAGAGGGATCACTTTTGTTTTCTGCTGCTCTGGAGACTAGGACTCAGAAAAATGGGTTCAAATTACAGTTTCCATCTGAACATTAGGAAGAACTTCCTGCCCGTAAGAGTTGTTCAGCCGTGGAACTCTCTGCCTCCGAGTGTAGTGGAGACTCCTTCTTTGAAGGCTTATAAACACGAGGCTGGATAGCCATCTCTTGGGGGTGCTCTAATGGTACTTTTCCTGCATGGCAGGGGGTTGGATTGGATGGGCTTTGGGGTTTCTTTCAACTCCATGATTCTATAATTGAAACTATTCCTTCTCCAAATTGCATGGGTGTCTTTCTTCATACCAACAAAGGTGCCCAGTAACAGCCAGAACTCTCCAGAACTCTGTGGTTGCAGGAAACAATGACAAAAAAGGGTGAAAACACCTTGGCAGAATCCAGTGCTATTTGAAAAGCAATGCTTTGCACCAGCCATTAATGCAGGTGTCCATGTAGATGGGCCCCAAATCTCTTTTAATTTCTTTCCAGACTTTTCATAATTTTCTCCTGTTCTTTGAGGACTACAGTTCTTTGTAATTCTCAGCTATTTAATCCTCCTTTTCCCACTTTAAAATAGGAAATAGCAGTTAATTCATTTCCTTTTGCTGCCATATTTAGTCAAGTTTTATCACAATTCACTTTAAAATCCAGAGCATGACTGAAAACACCTTGTTTTTTCACCTAGAAAACCTTCATTTAGTCCAATTATCACAAGATCACCTGCATAAACCCTCCGCATAAGTCATAACATAGAAATCAAACCATTTCCATGCAAACATCTCACATGTTGAGATCGTGTACAGTTGTGGCACAACAAAGAAATGACATGGGTCTCAGTTGCAAAAGAAATGCACTATTCTGAAAGGACTGAACATGACGTAGCCTCCTACCATGGCACATCTCATGCAGTTACTAATAGTACACAAGTGAACAGGATCAGTATGGATGTTGTATATCACAAGGAGTTTTTCATAACCTGGGGCCCTTCACATGCACTTGGCAACTAAGTGCTCCTAATATTCCCTAGACCCCATGGCCGATGGCATCTTCTGAAAGATACCAGGTTGGGGAAGACTGAGGGAGAGACACCACAGGGGAGACCATTGCCAATGTTTTATATGTCCTAAAGTTTTTCTTAGTTTTATGCTTATGAGTGATTTTAGAGTTACACTCAACATGTCTATTGTTATTTCTGCTTCTTGGCAGGGGGTTGGACTGGATGGCCCATGAGGTCTCTTCCAACTCTTTGATTCTATGATTCTATTCTTCTTTCCTATGTATTACGATTTGTCTTTACTTTGTTGATTTAATTCTCCTGTATTGTTATGTGCCTACTTTTATTTATATTGCATTCCTGTTCTAAGCCGCTCCAAATCCTCAAGTTCAATTTTGATAATGTGTTATTATGTAGATCTAAATTTGTTTTTGGAATCCGGTGGGTTGGTATTTTGTCTTTGGCCAGTCTCTTTATGGCATTGAATATTTGCCAACATTTGTTGTCAACCGCCCTGAGTACCTGTGGGGAGATGGGTGGGATATAAATATAAATTATTATTTGAAACACAACAAGGTGAGTTCACCGTAGACAAGATCACTCTGCTGGCTGTTGTATTGGATCACACTTCCCAAGTGTCTAGAACTATGTGATGTATCAGCGAATAATGTGTGCAGATCCCAGTAAGGTGGCTCTCTGCAGCTGGCAGATGGTAATTTTGTCAGCGCCGATTGTGTTTAAGTGCAGGCCAAGGTCTTTAGGCACTGTACCCAGTGTGCCAATCACCACCCGGACCATTTTGACTGGCTTGTGCCAGAGTCTTTGCAGTTCAATCTTTAAATCCTCATATCGTGCCAGCTTTTCCAGGTGTTTATCATTATCATTATCATTATTATTATTGCATTATTATTATTATTATTTGAAACACAACAAGATGAGTCCACAGCAGACAAGATTACTCTGCTGGCTGTTGTATTGGATCACACATCGGACACTTCCCAAGTGTCTAGGACTGTGTGATGTATCGGCGAATAATGCATGCAGATCCCAGTAAGGTGACCTTCTGCAGCTGGCAGATGGTAATTTTGTCAGTGCCGATTGTGTTTAAGTGCAGGCCACGGTCTTTAGGCACTGCACCCAGTGTGCAGATCACCAGTGGGACCACCTTTACTGGCTTGTGCCAGAGTATTTGCAATTATTATTATTATTATTATTATTATTATTATTATTATTATTATTATTATTATTATACCTGTCACAAAGAGCTAAATCCTGGCTCCTACCAGCTTTTACAAACATCATTTTGGCACTAAAAAGTAGCTGTTTCATGACATCAGTGAGGAGACCAGCATCCACTTCAGGGTTTGTCAGACCTCGGGACAGTTTGCAGCAGTGCTCTATCAATTTGTGGCCACAGGCTATGCTGTCTGAGTGCAGATTGAAGATGGCAATACATAAGGATGCACTGGGAGCCTGGAAAAGGAAGGAGGAAAACAAAGGCAAACATGATCATGACTCAACTGAAACAGTCAACCTAAGTCAAGAAAAGAAGCACAACAGGACAGTTACAGAACAGCATTGTCTCCTAGAATAAACAAAAGGTATAGGACTGAAGACTTTAATTTTCTGACTTTGTTCATGCGCAGACATTGAATGACTGTTAACAGCTTTACAGGCCATCTGATCAGACTATGATGAAAAGACATGCTAAGACAGATGTAATTCTGCATGGTAAAGAGGGAGTGCCATTAAATCCAATGGCTCCCGGTTAAGGAATATCACAAGGACCTCTTCACCATTCTCTCCTCCAGACATCTCCTTTCATAAGCTCTTCTACTTTTTCCTTCTGCCCCATATCCCTCCTCCTCCTGCTTCTCTTACTGTGCCATAAAGTAGTGTGGTTCTTATTTGACGAATGTACAAAATATTAATAACATGAACTTACTTGCTCATAATAAAACTCGCCACGCACAATTTCATTCTCTTCATCCCTCAAAGAGAGAAGCCACTCAAGTTCTGCCACCCTTGGTATTTGGACCACTCCATAGAAATCTGAGCATTCATTATCAGAGGCTGCTGCTGTTGTAGACAGGCATTCTAAGTTATGAAAAATTCAGAACAAGAAGATACATTTCAAAAATTACTCTAGCATAAAAGGACTGCGAAATGAATAAATACTTGTTGGTCTTTTAAGATATTTTTTTTCTATGCTGCTCACAAACACATAGAAAGAGTAAGAGATAGAAGTTTGGGAGCCTGGCCCTATTACATGCCAACAAAACTTGGTTCTTCTCACCTTCTTCTTGATCTGGAGCCTCCTCTTTTGAACTGTAAGAAAAGAAAATAATGCTTCATTCTCATTCTAAACTGCTTGGGGAAGTTCATTTATAATCATTTGCTATTACAAGTTAATTTGCAAGTTTATTTGTTAATAAATGCCAGCAAATATTCTTAGCTGCAAATACTGAGAAATAGAATACATTACTTCCCCCATTGGCTTCACAACTTAAGCTAGAATTCTAAATGAAAAACCAGTAGCAAAGCATTAAGAACTTGCCTACAAACAGGCTAGTAAAATCCAGTGACTCATACTACTGCCCACTTTATTTGCTGTTCATTCGTTCAGTCGTTTCCGACTCTTCGTGACCTCATGGACCAGCCCACGACAGAGCTCCCTGTCAACTGTCACCATTTCCAGCTCCTTCAAGGTCAATCCAGTCACTTAAAGGATGCCATCCATCCATCTTGCCCTTGGTCAGCCCCTCTTCCTTTTGCCCACTTTATACTGACTTTCTATCTAGGGTCACTGCACAAAGACAGTTGTAATGCTTTCTTGCTCTGTTCTAGCAGGCCCTCTATGCAGTTCTCTCTCTCACACATATACATAATGCACACACACACACATACCTTCCTGCCTAATGAAATAATCTTTGAAGGCACTTCCTATCACAAGAATGACCTTTAATATTGATCAAGAAGAGATATTTTTTAGGGGTGGCATCTAGGCTTTGCAGCCTTCTTCCAAAAAAAGGCATATCTTGCCCAATTGTCAATGGCCATTTTTAAAATTACTTTTTACAAAGTGCTTCAGATTAGATGTGGCTTTAGCCATTCCTCTTGGAGGAGCTAAATGCTCCCATGTCAGTGGTGCAGTGAATCCACTCCATGTTTCATTTATTTATTTACTTACTGTATTTATATACCACCATTCTCACTCCTGGGGGGACTCAAGGTGGTTTACAACATACTAATGCCAAAAATTCAATGCCAACATACAGTAAAACAAAGAAATCATAATAACTAATCACTACATATAACTATGACTTAAATTCATTAAAACCATTAAACATAAAAATAAACAAAATTTAAACATTCAGACAAAGCATTAAAATCATCTCAATATAACTATTAAAATCACATGATCCATTTCAGACTTTAAGGAAGTTATCCAAGGTGCCGAAACTATTTTGGAAATACACTTCGACACACCGCCTATCCCCTTTAAGGACTAGAGTAGAACCTAGAGAAGAATCTCAGTGCCCCTGATGCTACTGTTGTATAACATTTGATACCACTTTAACTGCAATGGGCCAATGCTATGGAAGCCTGGGATTTGTAGCTTGGTGTGATACCATCATACTTTGGCCGAGAAAGCTTGTAAAACTACAACTCCCATGATTCCATAGCAATGAGTCTTGACAGTGAAAGTGATATCAAACTGCATTAATTCAACTAATTAGAAGCCGAGTTCTCAAAGGACCCACTATGTAAAAATAAAATTATTTTAACGGATGTTGTTCACATAATTATCCCAAGTGCACCACTCCAGATACATTTTCTAAAATAAAAAAACAACAAAAAAGGGAGACGATCTTCATACATTTTCTTATCATCAGACAAGGTGGCTGGACTTTCCTTGTTGCCATAAGCATAGCACTGGTCACACACACGAGCTGGATTTTCTCTGTAAGTTTCCACCACCATTTTTTGGGTAGAACAGGAACTACACACCAGCCTCCCACAACGTCTGCAATGATGCCGTCTATTAAACTGAAAGACAGAGGAGAAAGTAGTGAACAATAATATTTTAGTAATTCCCATTTAGACAATTCAAGAAACCTCAATTGTGCATTTTTGAAACCTTCAAAGATATGACTGGCAAAAGCTATCCATGGGCCACTGAACAAATATCTATTCAAGACCTTGTCATATCTCAGATGTTGTTCCTGTTTCCCCTTACCATAGAAAAACGTTCAGTTCGGCAAACCATACACGTGTCTTCAGTTTCATCTGGAATCCATTGCTGTTTTGGTGGGGGCTTATCAGGTGGCACAAACTCCTGAGGGGAGACAGTCTGCTGCTGGTTTTTCTCTCCTGGGCTGGAAGAATGGGTTGTGTCTTAACAATAAAAGAATGAAAAGGTAACATTAATGGAGGATGGAATTATTGCTAACTCATTAGAAAACTGTGATGATTTATGTTTTCCAAACCACAGACAGTATTCAGTATGGGCATCTACAAAATTACCTTCACCAGGATGGAAATGTTTTACACACAAATACTTTAAAGAGTATTATTATTATGATGGGAAGGTCATATAGCACGAACAAAAGACAAATGATGGACATGTTGACTAACAAACTGGAGACCACAAGCGGCTGATCTCGGATTTGAGGGGATGAACTAATGGTTAAGCTATTTGGCCAGAAATGGAAAAGAAAACACAGGACTATATATTGTGGCAAATGGTAGATTCACGTGAAGCCCAAAGGAGTGGATCGATGATAAATCATATAGGATAGATTATTATTATTATTATTATTATTATTATTATTATTATTATTATTATGTTTATTTATGCTTCACTTTTTCTCTCCACAAGGAGACTCAAAGCAGTTTTATTTTTAAGGACCTTTATTATTTAATATCTTGCTTGGAGGAACCAGAAGTGATAGGTGGCAACTTTGAGCAATTCTAGAGATGTGATGGCCCAGGGCAGAAATAGATTATGGGATTTTTTTAGAGTTATGACTAGTGGCTAAAATGTTTAAGAAAAGGTACATATACACACTTATATAATGCTATGTTTAGTTATGTTATGGCAGATTTTTATGAAAGATCACATATGGTAGTACTACTGAAAGTGTTAGTCTTTTAAGCAATATCAGTACATAGTCTACAAGCTGTCAGTCTGTAGTGTGTTTCCTGGAAAGAAAGAAACAGGTACAGCTAAATGAATACAAATATTTTACAAATTTCTGGCACATGAGAGGGGTGGGGGGGGGATTCAGTTCCCACATCAGATTATTGCAATTCCTGGTGTTTGTTAACTTTTCTCAGTTCATTTTATGGAAATGAATACATTAGGTCTAGTTGACCCAAAGCAACATAGTTTTCTTGGTGGTTTCTTCTATTCTTGCTTGTTTCTTTAATTGTTTGGAGTGGGGTTTTTTTTTTTTTTGCTTTATATTCATAAACTGGAAAAACCAGTTCAGCTGTTTCTTTCAGTCCAGGACCATGTGGCTCAATTTGTAAAAAAAAAAAAAAAAAAAACACACACATACACACACACACACATGAACAAATAAAGAAATAAAGAACATTTAAAGAAGCAAGTTCAAATTGTAATTATTTTCTGAATTAACTGCATTATAACAAATAAAATAATTGTACATCAGCTCAAATGATACGTCAAATATGGTATGGCCCTAAAGTAACAACGGAGCTTCCAGTCTGTAAAGGGTGCTAACACTGGATCCACCCTTCCTCCCATTGTTGTCAAAAGTTTCATTTTACTTGAGGAAAAGAATATATCATGGCTTCAACATGTGAACAGAACTTTCCCTTCTGGACATTCATATTCTGTTCCCAAATGCCAGGGTTTTCAACATCCACTATGGGATCTTAGAGGAGAGACTGCAGAGCACAGACCCATTCTTTTGTGTCCAATTTAGTGGATTAATTAATACTAAGTAGTTCTCTCGTGTATCCCAGGAATTTGGGGGAGTGGGGTGGGAATAACAAGCATAACTAAAACATACTAACTAAAGTACCATATCAGTTAAATGTTTTCAATTTGGTGTAATTATCTACAGCATTTTACCAATTTTTATGATGTCTTGAGTGCTTCCTCATACAGGGAGGAAGAACTATAAAGCAAGGTCTGAATTCTATCAGTAGAGACAACTAAAGCAGATCTATTTAATCAACTGTTGAATGTTAAGTTACTTATAATCCAATTGATTGAACAGGACCAGTTCATTTGAAACTAGAATAGGATTCAGGTTTGTATGAAAACTTGAATAGCATCCAATGTCAGAAGAAAAGCACCACATTTAACAAGTAAGCACAGAGAGAAGAGTACTCAAATAATAAATCTACATCGGTGTATCTAAATAGTATTAGTAAAGCAATTGGGATACGTATTGATCAGCCGATCTTTCAAATGTGCATCACCCTAGGCAACAGAAGCTCCCAATCACATTGTTTGTACACTCCCTTTGGAGTAAGTAAAATACAAAAATGCATTGTTTCAGCATTGCAGAGAGAGATAACATTCTAATTGGACATTAGACCTTTTTTCTCTCACCAGGAAAACTGGCTGGAAATTGATCTGTTGATTCTGATTTGGACAAGGTATCAGACTCCGATCCTCGGTACAGACTCTCTGGAATCTGAATCATAGAATCTAAGATAGGAAAAAAGGGCAGTTCAGGTATTGGTTGCCTACTTTTCCTGACCTAGATGAAAATTCTTGCAATGCAAACAACTCCAGCTTTTGTACAGCTTTGCCCATAAAGAGTTTATTAACTTGACAGCATGCACATCAAGTGTAAGTTTCACTTTTTGCATCAAAGTAGTAAAGTGAAGACTGGCACTTAAAATGTTTTAAGTATGTTTAGCCTTTAATGCTGCCTTTCCTACATTTTTAATTGTGTTCTCCCTTTTTTTAAAATATACAAAAGATGGATTTACAAAATTAAGCTAAAGAAGCATGCTTTTTGATATATTGTATCATTACTTTTGAATGTAGTTACTATTGCTATTAACAAAAATGGTAGAATATTAAACAATATTAATAACACTACTTGGTGAGAATGAAAGCAAGAGAAGTACTTCTAAATCAAGTCATGAGCTGCCACCCAGGTTCTTGTTGTTTGTGGTGAGGAAATTATAACTTGAAGCTCAATTGAGTTATAATATTAAGTTATAACTCGGAACTCTTTTCCTGCAAGTTTCAACCTCCCTCCTTTAATAAAAAAGAAAATTACACAAAATTCTCCTATTTGCCACCTGCATTAAACAAGATAAATCCCCCAAATATTACAGTATCAGAAACTAGCCAAAAACCTGAAAGTGCATTGAAAGTAGACTTCCAGTAACAGTGAAGAAGGGCAGACATATGTAATATAGGGGCAAAATCTAGCTCCACAACTACTACAGATGCCCACACTATAATACATAAACATTTGTGAATAGAAGTACACGTCTGCATTCCCAATCTTGCCTCCATTCTGAGAATCTGTGCCGTTTAGCTAATAAGCAGCCAAAACACCTTTGTTGCCTGGAGACTTCAAAAATGCAGTCACCTGATCTCTTCTCTTTTAATGAGAAAGGAAAATCGAGGGCTTTCCCAGCATATTTGGAGAGCAAAGCATCAATATCTTCTATGGTGAAACCTATCTCTTGCCCCACCAAGAGCTGGTGCAGGGTCTGCACAGCCACAGCTGCCCAATCCACTTTCATGTTCATCAAGAGCTGTTCCAGCATAAGCAGCGGCTTGCAGGACAGGTGGGAGTAGCTACCCCGGTAAGGCTCAGGAAGAGTTAGTAATACCTTGAAAATGGAAAAGTAAGAATTTTTTTTTAGAAATTATGTGTCACCATTATCTGAAACAAAAAAGATCTTGAAATAACATATTTTGAGTACAGTAGCCTTGTGACACGGTCTTGAGAACTGAAGAGCTTCTGCTTACCTTTGATCCCATATAAAGGGCCTGAATTTCATTATGGCGCATAACTGTTAAGTGCTTGTAGAAGTATGTTGTGAGATAATCTGCAAGGAAATGAGAAGCTGCCAAGCTGGGATGTTTGTCAAGACACTGTTCACTTATGACAAGTTGAATGTCTGGATCCTCTATCCTTTGCAAGAGCTACAAATAAAGTAAACATACATATACTTTATTTAATTGTACACACACACAGTGAAGAGTCTAATTGTCTGTGAGATCAAGCATTTATTTCACCTCTGCGACCAAAAGTGGGTACTTCCATTTATCGCACTGCTGCCAACATCACTTGTGGGGGCCGTCTAGTTGTCCTGTGAGACCCTTTCTTCCTATCAGCATGCACTATTAAGTGTCTGAACGTATCTCTCCCTATGAACCAATATGAGAGTTAAGATCTGCAGGGGATGCCCTGCTCTCGGTCCCACCCCATCGCAAGTGCAACTAGTGGGGATGAGAGGCAAGGCCTTCTCAGTGGTGGCTCCTTGGCTGTGGAACTCACTCCCTAGAGATATCAAATTAGCCCCCTCCCTGCTGGTTTTCAGGAAAAGAGTGAAAACCTGGTTATGGGATCAGGTGTTTGGAGAGGCTTTGAATAGTGCAATACAGAACTGGCATAACTGTAGCAACATAAATGGCGACTTCTGGATTTGGTATTAGGGTTTTAACAGTTTTACAGTGTTTATATGCTTTTATCTATATTTGTGTATATGATGTATGGTATTGTATTTGATTGCAAATGCGGCATTGAATATTGCCACGTAAGCCGCTCTGAGTCCCCCTTGGGGTGAGAGAGAGTGGGCTATAAATATGGTAAATAAATAAATGAATAAATTTTACCTAAGTATCTTCCATCTTAAAATGATTTTGGAGACAGCATCAAAAGTACAAAACGGTTACCTGCAAAGCCTTTTCCATGTCTCCCATCTCTAACAAGTGAAGGAGATGCTCTTGGTGAAGGCTGATCAAATTGTCCCGTGGAACAGGATATAAGTCACCCCATTCTTCACATAATTCATAATCCTAGGGCAAAGACAATAACCTTGTATTATTGTCACTCATGATATTATAACTTGGATAAATGTTAAATGAAAAAAATATCCACAAGACTGACCCATTTATTCAGTGGTTAAAAGTATTTCTGCTGGACACGGAATGAACTCAAAGGGACACAACTTGTTTTTCATTCAAGAAAAGATATGGAAAAGAAAGATAGCACTAATTGTGAGCTCCTCAGAAGTAGTTAATAGTCCATTCTGGAGAAAGAGATGGTGGACCAGTGGAGCCTCAAAGTATTCTATTAAGTTTTTTAATGGAATAGTGAACACCAAAAAAGTAAAATAATGATTCAAAAGCCCATGTCCTACCTTTGCTTCTAGAATCATTGCTATAATAGTCTGGGGATCTTCCTTACAGGTTTTTTTCAGGTCCTGCCAGTCTTGCCATATTGGGATATCTTGCAGACTTAGAATCTGATTAAATAAAAGCAAATGCAACTGAATAATAATTTACATATTTCTGTTTCTTTTCTTCATAAGAGCAAGGAGAACAACTGAACTAACCATTTGCGGAATTTATTTTGAATCGCAAGTGAGCTGCTCCTAATAGAGCAGGAAGAGTTTTATTTTTTATGCTTCCTTATCAATGTACAATATCATTTTAGAATATAAGGAAAAGAGAGCAGTTCCCACTTAAATAAGAATGTACACATTAACTATGTTTGCCAAAAAGGGAGTTAAGAATGTACGCACCATATTTGCAAAAAAGGGAGGGAAGAAAGAAAAGAACATAAGACATAACTCTAGTGCAACTGTCCCCACAGGCATGTCATGGCTCCTCTCAACTTTGCACTTACTTGTCAAGCAAAAAATTATATCAGCTAAGTGTTATGTAAATACACTTTTAAATAATGCCCTTATAGCCCCAGGCAGTCTTGGATAGCATACACTTTCTAGACCAATTGTGAATGAGCTGCAGAGCAGGATAAGAGTTAAGATTGCTATCATCACATTGGCAGTGGGAGTGGTGCGTGTCCAAGAATGCTTATACAGTATTTCTATTCACAATAGAATGTACTTTTAGGCAATTGTTTTTACCCTACATATTCTATCAAAGGCTACAAATTGTTTTTATCTATAAAGTGTAGAAACTGATCAACTCCATTTTTGTCACAACTGTTTCCATTGTCATTTCACAAATGGAGCCAGAAGTACAAGATTTCAGCAATTCTCAAAAACAAAACAGTCTTGAGCCAGAGAGAGTATCATTTCCACATTCAGCAATACCTTGTGGCTATTAGCCATGGTCCCTAATTAAATGAACTGTCTACCTTTTGATAAACCTGAAGCTCTCTTGTTTTGCTTTGTAGATCAGATCTCAGCTCTTCAGACACCTCAGGATCACAGGAGCAATAGGCTAAGATCTCCAGACAAGCCTCCAGTGGCCACCGATCCAAAAAGCGAAGGGCTAACCTGCTCCTCAGCATAGCATCTCTAACTGGGAACAGATATTGCCAACTCTCCTTACCTAAAAAGGAAATAAAACCCACAAATGATATAGAAGAACGTGGTAACCACACTATAGGCAATTCCCAAGTTACAAAGAAGATGGGTTCTGTAGGTTTGTTCTTAAGTCGAATTTGTTTTTTCATAAGTGTAACTCCAGTCATATATAAGCTTTGGATAGAACCCCTGCAGTGTTTGTTTTGTTGTCTGTGCCCCTGTTCAGAAGATTTCACCTCATTTTCTGTCCCTGTGATAATTAGATTTTAAAAAAAATTGGCTTGTTGTAGAAACAAAGCTGCACTTGAGACACCTTTTTTCTATGACAACTCTTTCACAAATGCATTTCCCTTCCTCGAGGTAAATTTCTCTCACTTCCTGTTGTCTCACTCCTGTTCGTAACTTGGGTACTGCCTGTTTTAAGAACATAGAAGATGGCTTTTGGGCCAGAGAGAAGAGAGGATCAAATCTGAGCCACCCTCCAACATGCCACCCCTAAATAAAAACTATTTCCTGTTTACCGTCAGCAGCGGCACAACTCAGGACAGCATCCCGCACAGAGATTAGCTCTTCCATATCCTGGCTGTAGAGATCCAAGACTTTCAGGGCTCTGGGCCAATCCCCTGCTGTGAGCGCTTCCTCAAAGGTCTCCATCAGGGCCTCAATGGCCACATCAGAGTGCAATCCCAGGAAAAGCAAGGATATACAAGACTTGCCACAAAGCCCACTAGCCAAGCTGTTTCCTTCATCTTGAGAGGCCCGCAGGGGTTCATACATAGTAAGCAAAAAGGTCTCCAGAAGTGGGAACTCTTTTAATAGGGCTTCACATTCCTTAGTAATCTGATCAACAGACAGTGGAACTTCCCGCTTGCCTCGAAATTCCATCCATGACAGGCTCTGTCTGGAAACTCGCTGGACCTTTGATACACTCAAACAAGCTATGGCAGCAGTTAGTTTCGACTGAGATTTCAGGAAATTGAGGGTAGAAGCTGTGAGCATGTGCTGGTTCTGCTCACACAGAACGGAAGAGGGGTGTGTGTCAGGATCCTCAGGGTCCATGGCTGGATGATGGACTGGTATCTCAACATCAGGCAGACAATGATACGCATGCAAGTGTGCTAGACTGTTAATATTGGTCACAAGAGACCTTGTCTGGCTGCTTTGCCAGGTGCTACAGAGAGGCAGTGCCTTACAGCAACAGTTAATGATCACTTGCTGTACATTTAAGTTCAGTTCTTCATTGGCCAGCAGCAAAGACAACCTGCAGGATGAAAAAGTAAAGTAGGTCATAAATCAGGCCTCATATTTATGACAGATAATCCAACTGAATATACAGTCAACAAGGAGAGACAAGAAATTCTAAGCTCCTTGATGGGCACATTTGTGTGTTTATTTGATGAATGTGAATGTTATATTCAAGCTTTATATTTTCAGATATACCATCAAACATCTTATAAAGAGTGAGTGAATAAGCAAACTGTTATATTAAATAGCCAACTATTTTATATGATGGTGGTCAAACAATTCTTACATACTACTATTACAAATGACAAACAGAAGCATAATAGAGTTGCCGTGAGTTTTTCAGTCTGTATGGCCAAGTTCCAGAAGCATTCTCTCCTGACATTTCACTCACATATGTGGAATGTCCAGGGTGGGATAAAGAACTCCCGTCTCCTCAAGGCAAGTGTGAATGTTGCAATTGACCACCTTGATTAGCATTTAACCCCCAACCTCTGAGGATGTCTGCCATAGATGTGGGTGAAAGGTCAGGAGAGAATGCTTGTGGAGCATGTCCATACAGCCTGGAAAACTCATAGCAACCCAGTGATTCCAGCCATGAAAGCCTTCGACAATACAGAAGCATAAAAGTTGTAAAAGGTGAAAGATTTATCTGAAGAGAAACCAGAGTATGAAATAGTATGAAATATCTAAAATTCATCCATGCATCTCCATAACTGATTAAGCAAATAAAACTTTAAAATAATGGAAGACATTTGCTGAACAAGTAGCTTGGCTCTGATGTTACCCAAATATCAAAATACCTATTTCCAAGATCAGTTTGGTCATTTCCTGCAATGACCCATTCACTCTTCCAATCCAAAATAGCCAATTTTGCATATAATTCAGTTTGTATTACAGTGCTATTATCCAAAAAGCATAAAAGATTGTACTCATGAATTCCAGATTTCCAGCACTTGCAATAGGTACAAGATGTTTTATTGTTTGAGATTTTGTTAAAAATTATGTTTTAACATTTGATTGCCAAGATGAAAACTCCATTCTTCAACATGAGTGAAGACTGAGCTAAACTACATCATCGTACTTTATGCTGCTGCTTCAGAAAATATTGTACTAGTCGTGGGAATTGTTTCTTAAGAAGTACTTTACATACAATTTTAACAGAAATGAAATATTATACTGCCAAGTGCCATATTCCAAGTAGTGCTTCGAGTCCAAGATGGAAGAAAAGTGGAGTATTATATTGATACTGAATAAATAAATAAATAATCAATTGGCACTGCATTCATGTCCAAAAGTGACTCACCTGTCAGGAACAACCTGCTTTTCAAACAAAAGCTGCGAAAGCAAATGAGAAGGGCTCTGTTGCAGTAATATAAAAGGGTTTCCCACATGTACTTCCACAGATTGATCTGGAATAAAAGATATTGGTGGGAAATCATTTCTTGTTTGTCTTGAAAGAAACCTTCTAAATCTCATGCTGTGAAGTAAGACTTACTCTGCTATGAACTCATTTAAGCAGTCATTTTTACTGCAGATTACAAATTCATTTATTGAGAGCATTTGCCATATTTTAATGAAACATGGTTACAAACAGTCATGGGACAGGTTATCCACAAATGTACATGAAATACAAGTTTTCTTATTATCAATATTGTTTTGTTTCCTTCACTATAAAGATTGTTGGCTATTAAGTTAAACATGGATCAATTTTTTCTAGTAATGTAAAATCACTCACCTAGTTCTGGATTGAGGCTTCGGAGGACAATGGCAGCCAGCTTATTCATATAATGGAAAAACTTTTGCACATAGATATTCTGCAGAGGGCTGTCTTGCGTGTGGCTTTCTTGCATAGTCTGAGAATGTTGGTCTAGAGTTCTTAGCAAAAGTTTGATCTGATTGCAAACCGGATGTGCCTCTATTTCTGCCTGTTTCAAAGACGCCTGTTCCATCAAAGAGGCAAGGAGGTTCCCTTTGGAATCTATTATGATAAATATAATATGGATTAGACATAAAATGCTTTATCATCTCTTTTTCAATCACAAATTATATCCTTTCCTTCAAATAGACAAGACTAATATATAGGAACACAATCCACTTTTAGCAATGGGAGAAATTTCACAGAATTTATTCCAACAAGGAAGCAGTGCTATATAACAGTCTGTTTATAAATTGCTTTGTAATAATAATTCTGTCAATAACAACAATAGTTTGCTACCCTGCATATTGAATTCAAGTCCCAAACACGAATCAAGGAACATGAAAGGCACCACAGACTAGTTCAACCAGAGAAGTCAGCCATAGCAAAGCACTTGATGAACTAACCTGGACACAACATATTATCTGAGAACACAGAAATGGTGGACCACTTAGACTACATAAGAAGCCACTGAAATCCACAAGCATGTGGACAATTTCAAGAAAAAGGAGGAAACCATGAAAATGGACAACAACTGGCTACCAGTATTAAAAAACTCTAAAATCAGGACAGTAAATAAAGAACAACACTCAGAAAAGAGAGAAATTCCAGACAAGGGCCAGCTAACACCTCCCAACAAAGGCAGGAAGCAGCCAGACTTTGAAGCTGCAAAGCTAATCAATCCTAATCAAGGTGGCCAATTGCAACATTCACATCTGCCTCAAAAAGACAAGAGTTCTTTCTTCCATCCTCAGCATTCCACAGATATTAAAACCTCCCTTGCCTAATTTCCAACAGACTTCACAACCTCTGAGGATGCTTGCCATAAATGTGGGTGAAACGTCAGGAGAGAATGTTTCTGGAACATGGCCATAAAGCTCAGAAAACTCACAGCAACCCAATTTTTATTGTGTTTAAAACGGAGCAATTTGTTTAACAAGGAAATACAAACATTTGAAATCTGCATCTGGACTTCAGACCAGATCAGCTCAAGAACAAGAGATTTAAAAAAAAACAGCTAAAAACTGTAGCAAAGTGGGTTTCCCTGTTATAAAGACAACATACATTGGTAAGAAGCACTCCAAACAGTTGCCAAAGAAGTTTTTCATCCTGAAATATATATTTATATAAAATACAAAATGATGAAATCATCTTCTTTGAAATATCCCTTATAAATTAGCCAATATTGGGGGAAGTTCTTTAAAATTTTGAGGGAGAGATAACTTTTTAAGCTAGAAAATATGGTGTAACTAAGGAAAAAAATAACTCCTTAAAACACATGTACACATACCTGAAGAATCTTCTACATGTGCCAGTTTTTGCAGTATTTGGTCAAAGTGCTGTGATACAACAATATGATTAGTAATACAATTCTCAGTCAGGAATGGATAGCAAGACTGGAGCAGGTCCACAATGCTGCAGTGGAAGTGACTACTGATTTTCTCATCTGAGATTTCTGTTGGAAAACAAAATTAAAAGTCAATTGATAGCAATGCTCAGTTTCATTTTAAATATTAAAATTGGTATGTAGAAAACACATGCAGAGGTATTGTCAATATTAAATACAGAGAACTGAACTGAGTGTATATATTCTACATCAGCTGCCTTGCAGGAAATAAGACTACCACTTCCTCTAATTTGCACTGCTTACTTATCAGTTCCTGGTCACTCCAAATTGAATCCCCTCTTGTTTCTAGGGCTGCTTTAACATATTTATATTTTCTTATATGAAACCCAAGTTCACTATAAGCTAACAACTCAAGAGTTTTTTCTGATGGAGCTTTACTAAACAGGCAGGCAACAGTGGCTGCTGGGTCAACATGCTCACAGTCAGAAGTCTATTTGGTTCTCATGTCACAATGTTTGGTGGTAAAGCTTCAGTGGAGACACCTTTTCCCCACGATAACTCTTCCAGGAGTGAATTTCCCTTCTGAGGGGTCAGTTTCCTCTCATTTCCTGTTTTCTCACCCCCGTTTGTAACTAGGAGCCCAATGCATTTTGAGGACTGCCTGTACACACATGTGCTTCAGTAAAACTGTAGCATCTAATGTAAAATCAAAATGTATTAATTACCCTCCTTTCATTTTGGTTCATTTTCTCTATTTAAACCAGTGGTTCCCAATGTGTGGTCCATGGACCACCAGTGGTCTGCAAGAACTAACAGGGTCCACGGCCTCACTATTACTAGACCATTAGAACGAGAGCGACTACTCTTGCAAAACCCTCTTATAGTGCCAAGACTTATTAAATATGGTTTACTGTGGGTGAGCTGATGGTGACTACTAGGTGGCATATGTTATGTATCAGAAGCATATGCCAAATCCAATGCAATTTTCTGAATCAGCACCCCAAATAAGTAAACCAAATCTAAAGTTGACCAAAAATTTATTTGTAAGCTTTTGGTACTATTGTTGGCGAGCAGTCCCTGGTCAAAGTGGCCCTGGTCAACTAATCCGTGGTCAAAACAAGGTTGGGAACCACTGAAAACAAATGCTATCCTATTTTTTCCCTAACAAACCAAGGTGGCACTGGTTAGTAGTAATCATAATACAAGAACACAGCCATAAAGAAGGATCATAAGGAGGACTCATAGAAAGACCAGTAGCAGTAGGAGATTTACAAACAAAAACTCCAGCCACTGAATACAATCACTTAAAGAAAACCAGAAAGAACATAAGGTCAAAGGATGAAAGCATTTCTAAAAATAAAAGTCAGTGCCTTTGCTTGGAAGACTCATAAAAAGGATTGCATTCGTCTCCCTCCGAAGCGAGTTCCATGAGCAAATTCCAACAATGGAAATGGTCCTTTTGGTTGCCAATGAAACTGGTATGAATGAACTAATGATAAGAAGTAACTTAATTACCTGATTTAGGCTGTCCTTGTGCAGTATTGATAATTTTACTAATTTCTTGAAGAACTGCTGGGAAGCCCCTCAACCCATCAGAACAATTTAGAACAGAATCATGTCTTCGGCCTGTTATTGGATGAAAAGACAAAGTGAAGATGAAAACGTGAGGGGAAACATACTGACACAATTACATGCAAAATTTGTAACTGTCATGATTTTTAAAAATACTTTCAATGGAACACTTTTTTCAAAAAGCCAGTATAACTGACTATAAGAGGACACTTACCCTTAACATCGAGGCTGTTGTGCAACCTTCTCTCTGCAGCTTCTAAGAGATATTTGCAGGTTTTCCACAAGTGGCACTGAGTAGAAGCTAAATCGAATATGGCCATAGCGGAGGGGCAGAGGCCTTCCAGGACATTACACAATGGGTCAGTCTGTTCTAGTTGGAGGCTGCTGGCCCAGAAGTCTTCTTGTAACATAGGGACTGGGCTGTCAGAAGGGGCAAGCAGCTTATCGGTAACGTCCGAAATGGAATAAAACACCATACCTTGGGAAAATGAAACATAAAAATTGTATGAAGGATCTGGGCCAAAATATAACGATGATAATGATGATGATAAATGTATTACCTGCCTCTCCTTTCAGCTCGAAGCAGGACACAATATAACTAAATGCATCTACAAAACCACATATTAAAGCATACAGTAGTTAAAATGCAACCATAAAAGCATATGTTAAAACATACACCATACACACATTAAAATACCTGAGGCAAAAGTTAAAACACAATAAACATAGAATGTGATTTTAATGTAAATGTAATGTAAAATACAGTTTAGATTATTCTAATCCTGAAGACATAGTTAGGCTTCATTCTCATTTTGTCAAATAATTGTTAGCAAGTCTGCACAATATGGGCCTCGATAATGTCATGGGTTTATTTTATTTATTTATTTATTTATTTCTACCTTGCCTTTCTCAACCCTGCAGAGAACTCAAGGCTGCTTACAGAATTTGGCAAAGTTCAATGCCACATGAGCATAATAGTAAAACACAACCCAACAAACTACAAAGCAATCAAAACACATGAGTAATTAAAACACACAAACAATAAAACTGATTAAAAACCATATAAAGTGCCGGTAAGTCTTGAGCCTGTATTCTACACTGGTTCCTGTTCACTTTGTGGGATACATCCAAGTATGTTTTACTGAATACTGAACTATAATTAGCTTTTAAGTCACCATCACGCATATACCATCACGCATATACGGTCACAACAGTTTCTTATGGTTGCCTTTTAACTATGCTTTAATATGTGAAAAAATCTAACATTTAAAATCCATGTTCAGTTTTTTTTTACCTGCTGCTGCTGCACTCCCGATGGCCTGAAGTGTTGAGCGGCCACCACCAGACTGTTTGAGAGTTCCAGATCCCTCTGAGGACTGATGTTCAATCTTATGCTCTACATTTGCCAACTCCCGGATTACTTCTTGGTAGCGCTCAAAAAAAATTAGCTCTCCATAGGAAGCAGAATTTTCCAGCCCAAACATAATAGCCACCTGTCGTTGTGGAATTGAAAAGCATCATAAGTTCATGAGGTAAGAGATATTTTTCCAGTGTTTTTGTACGTTCTGTTTGTCAGTGTTTTGATGTTTGAGTGAAAACAGCATTTAGTTCAAACAGCATGTGAATATCAGTTACAGTAGTTCATGGGTGAATTCAATAAAGGTGTGGAATATTGATAGAATGTAAGCTATGCAGTTTCTGGTGTTAAACGGAAGAGAAGAAGAAAGTGTGCCATTCTTTCGTCATGATGTGATCCAGACTGGACGTTTGTTAAGCTTGCCGTAAATACTTTTGTAAATAAAGTAGAAAGAGCCACTCTCTTTGGGAGCAGATTTCCAGAGTTTATTTGAACTGCTTTTTCCTCGTGCCTTAAAGACAGAATCTTTGAAAGGTCTAGAACCAGAGATAAAAGCAGCTAATTTATGACCAGTTTATCTCAATTCCATGACACTGTTAACATAGAAGAATTAAGAATTTACTTCTACTGGAAAGCTTTTGGGGATAAATCCCACAGAGCAGAGCTTTCCAAACATTTAATGTTGGTGACACACTTTTTCACGACATAATAATTAAGTTTTACTAGCAAACTGGAGATTAAACTAACCCCTTATAAGGGATGCAGACACACACATAAATTTTAATAACACAATATATGGGGAAACAACATAGCTAAGCAAAACTTTTCATTTATATATATTTTAAAGGTTTGATTTATTACTCATTTTGCATAGACTCAGAGGTTTCTCATTACATTCACATGACACACCTATACACTTCAGATGATACACTAATGTGTCAAGACACACACTTTGGAAATCTCTGCCATACAGACACACTTCCAAAAAGTTGGTTCCAAGGAAGCTCAGTGAACCAGAGGATACTGTTTCTCTTAGGCTCATCTACCCTACTGTGATTCCCTTAAAGATGATTGTGGGTGCTCTATGCCAGCATTTCTGAATCCAATTAAAATATTATTTATTAATATGAACTACCGAACACAACTTTAACAAATTAATTATGTATTAGCTCAGGATTATGTCTTGGGCCAGTGGTACAAAATGTCATCAATGCCTTAGACTCCTTTTCTTGATCTTTCAGATACAGATCAAGCCCTCCATTTCATACTCACATACCCTATTTTAGCTCATCCATCAATAGTGAGAAGGGATAACAGGAAAATGCCAAATAGAAACCAAGACTAGAGTTTTCACAGACTCAACCATTCTCACTGATGTATATGCACCTCAAACACTGAGCATCTAGGGTTCATGGAGAATTAATCCACGTATTTTCCTGAATACAGTAGCATGGAAGCAGGGTACCGTATATTCTCAAATATAAGCCGACTCAAATATAAGCCGAGACACCTAATTTTACCACAAAACCCTGGGAAAACATATTGATGTGAGTATAAGCTGAGATTGGGAAATGCAGCAGCTACTGGTAAATTTCAAAATAAAAATAGATACCAAGAAAATTACACTAATTGAGGCATCAGTAGGTTAAATGTTTTTGAATGTTTACATAAAACTGTAATTTAAGATAAGACTGTCTAACTCTGATTAAACCATTATTCTAACCTTCTACAGTGTAAATGTGCTTATGTATCCATCCAAAGTAAAATAATAAATGAAATAAAAGTAATAATAGAGTAAAATAATGTAAATGTAATAATAATAATAATAATGAGTAAAATAATAAATATAATAATAATAATAACATAGCAAAATAATACTCGAGTATAAGCCGAGGGGACTTTTTCAGCCTAAAAAAGGGCTGAAAAACTCAGCTTATACCGAAGTATATACAGTAGCTTTCAGGAAACCCATTCATTTCTATAAAGTCTTGCAGTGGCTATGCAGTTACCTGATGGGCTTCTACATAATTTCCTCTCAAGATACAGGCAACAAGAAGAGATTCTGGTGGGGAAAGCATCATTGGGATGAGGGACTTCTGCTGAGGTTTTATCCTATATTCGGCATCACTCCAGTCAGAAAGGGTACTAGCACTTTCTTCTGAAAAAAAAAAACAAAACAAAAAGGAAAGAGGATTGAACATCCATCAGGATCAATACTAATCTCCTGATGAGGGGCGTATTTATAGCAAAGTAGTTCATGCCAAATCATGCTATTTTTTAGGAAGCTGAATAACGTATAGGAAGTTCTTTTGTTTACGTTTTGAATGTGTTTCCTGTGCTTCAGTATTGCTTCTCTCAGGATATTAACAATTAATAAAGATACTAATAACAGTGCTCCATGCAGTCATGCCTGCTACATGACCTTGGAGGTGTTTATCAACAACGCCGGCTTTTCGGCTTAGAAATGGAGATGAGCACCAACCACCAGTCGGACATGACTGGACAGGGAAAAACCATGTCAGGGCAAAACCTTTACCTATTAATAACCAAGTTATAAGGCATATGATTAAAACATTTCTAAAAAGATTTAAAATCATAAAAACTTACAATAGCAAAATGAAAATGTATTCAGAAAGTTTTAAAGAAAAGAAGCTATATAAGCACACAAAATATACAAAACTAGGCGTCAGATGGGTCTCCTTGTTGGGCTAAACACAGAATGCTCCATACCTGATGCACTGGTGATACTTAATTCGCTGCTTGTGCTCTCTGACACTGGGCTTGAAGCCTCCACCTTGCACTCTGAAGTAGAGAAAATGACACACTTGGTGAAAAACACCTCTGCCACTTATAGCTATCAATATCTTTTCATCCTGTATTTAATGGGAATAAAACGGAGTTTACATAATGGGGTGAGTTCACATTATATGACATTTTTCAATATTTCTGAAAGTTTCAACTCAAGGCATTCACAAACAAAATATTCTGAAGAAACAGTTTAACCCAATGAAGATTTTTTTAAAATTTCCCCATATACTTCACATACTGATTCATTGTTCCCGTTTTGTTTGTAAATGAAAAACAGCACATAGATACAGAACAGTATCTAATCGAGCCATAGGGAGAGGCAGGTAATAAATAAAATTTATTATTATTATTTTTATTATCATCATTATCTAATTTTGTATGAACATCTTGTCACATGTTTATGTGCTGTTCCTCATTATTCTAGATGGGACTAGAAATCATACTATGGCTATCCAATTCTAGTATCTTCTAGATTAGATTTACCAATCCACAATTTATTATATGGGTCTATTCTATTTGGGTCTGGAAATTGATTTAGGTCAATGTTTTAAGATCACAGTACTAAAAGGCAACTCCATTTATCCCCAGGAAGAAATAAGTCTCAAGTCTAAAATGAGTACTGAATGTTGAACATCCAGCATCAACGGTATTTAAAAATCCTTGGTGAAGAGAGCCAATTAGTGATAAACATGAGTTGCATCCTCATGTTTTGTCACAATGTCTTCCAGCTATGACATTTAGAAAAAGTGCCACATACAACATGGGGTCATAAGTAATTTCACTAGGAATGGAGAAGAGCTTTGCTGTAATGTTGTTTGTTTGTTTACAAACTCTGATATATCTAATGTATGGTCTGCATGCCTATTAATGAAAACACATGTAGATTTTTCAGAAAAAACATGTAGATTTTTCAGAAAACACATGTAGATTTTTCAGCTTTTATTTTGAAAAAATTATACACAGATGTACATTTTTCAAAATGAAAACTGAAAATTTGTTTTTAAAATACACCTGAACATACTTTAATCAATGGGGAAATTGTGTAAAAACTAAGGCCATTAGTGAAAGCAGATATCAAAAATAACATATGTAGCGATCAAGGGTCTTGCAACCCACACTGGTTGGGAAGAGAATGCTGGTGAGAGATTGAGGAATGACAAAACGGAAAGATTTCCACGTATTCAGATTTACCCCATTACCTGATTTGTCTCTCTGAGATCGAGTGTGCTTTTTCAAGGCAGGTTCTCTTGTTATATTGCGGTGTGTTCTAATGGAAGCACGCTGACTGCCTGGAAGAGCAAAATTACTTTAGGGACCTATAATCATTTTCCTTTCAATGCACTTTTGGTGAAAGGAAAGATGAGGAAAAACAACCAATCAAAGAAAAAAATAGAAGCTGCCATTAGTCTCTAGGTTAGCATACTGAGTAAAACCTAGGGTCTACATAGATTTGGAGATAAGGTGGTCAATGGGCTGTTGAGTGATCTCTGAGCCTGCTTTCAATGGCTCTTGGCATCCTCAGAAGACCCCTGAAAACCCCATGACCCTTCCTAAAAGGGAAGAAAATAATCAGCATTGTTTTCCTTGACCAGCCTGACCTGACCCTCCAGAAATGACAGGCAAATAGCTAAAATGAGGCCAAAAGGAGGCATTACATTATTTCTGGTTTCAGCACCAGAACACAGTGTGCCCCACCAGGATGTTGAGATGGCAGTAAAAATATTCTTTGCCTCAATGCAGTGTACTCTAGTTCAATAAACAATAACTTTAGTTTATGTATTTCCTGCAGATTCTTAACAGCTTGAAAACTAAGAATGGCTAGTAGATGGGAGACTGCCAAGAAATATCAAGTGTGGTAGGCTATATATCAGAGAAAAGCAATCTGTGATTATTACTTGTATAAAAGAACTAACCTAATACCTTTTTTTATCAGATCACTAATTTAGTAGATGGTGGGAATGCTGTAGATTCCATTTATCTAGATTTCAGCAAAGCATTTTGCAAGGCATTGAGCTTTTGAAGTAGCAAAATCCCTAGAGATTCTTACCTGCATTTCTGTTGCTCAGAACTATTTTGTGCCGCCACTGAGCTTCAGAGAGGTACTTGGAGAACAGCTGGACACGACACTCAAAACCGTCTCTATTTACAGATAAATTCAAACAATCCAGCAATGCTAGCTCCTCCTGAGCTGCATGTTTTGAATCCCAAGGGGAAGAACTTTCCACTTCTTTTAAATGGTCCTGGAGCATTTTGAGAAAAATCTCCATTGCTACATCATCTACTAAAAATCCACAGATATCATGGGTGAAATGTTTCAAGTCCAGATGGCTCAGTATGAAGGAATCAGAGTTGCTACCATTCATGTTCAATTCAGCCTGCTTTTGGACCTCATTATATTGTGGGGATGAAATGGCAGGATGCACTGTGGGTCTCCTTTCAGGGCCTACAGGATGTTGTGGACTTGCTGAAGCGGAGGAATCTCTACTGGCGCAATGCTCTGACTCCCTGTCCCCACAGTTCCTTGCCTCAAAATCAGCCCCTTCCATGTTATCTTCCCTTCGGAGCTCAGTATTGCAGAGGTCGCTGCAGGAAACAAAGAGCAAGGAGAAGATGTTCTCCAGAAGCTCCAGGCGTAGAGGAAGAGGTACTGTTCTTAAAAAATGCTGGCACTTGGAAAGATACTGAGAAAAGGTATCTGCATAGTCTGCATTTGTGGAAAGAAAATAATTATAAAAACATATGTAACTGTTTTCCCTCCTACTAGAAGTCATTCAACAGCCAAATCCTTTAAAGAGGGGAGGGGAGTACAACTCCTCTTAATCCCCATCATAGATCATGCTTGCTGGGACGGATGGAACATCAAGGGCCACAGCGTCAAAGCTGTGCCTGCCTAGATAGCCAATCACCTTGACCTGGAATATAATTGTCCCAGGACCATTCTTGATCATGTCCTACATTCATTTCTGAGAAATTCCACCTACAGTTGGCCCTTCACACTCATGGAGTCAAACATCCATGGCTTGAAAATATTTAAAATATTACAGTATTTTTAAAACCCAAAAGGCAAATCTTCACCATTTTCCATAAAGGACACTATTTTTAAATAATTTTCATTTCTAAAGGTAATTTTGAATTGGATGTAGATGAAATTTTGCTACAAGGAGGCTATTCCTTCAAAAAACACCTGTGTTTAATCTTTGCACGTTCAATGTAAAATGTGCATCAGAAGTAAATAATGTAATATGTTGCAATATTCCTGCTTCTTGGCATGGGGTTGGACTGGATGGCCCATGAGGTCTCTTCCAACTCTTTGATTCTATGATTCTATGACTGTGCTACACTGATTGGTAGCTACACTTCAGGTTTCTAACAGGAGAACCTTTTTATCTGGAGAGCCCAAGGATTAAAAGCCTGTTTCTACCACTAACTGACAACCCTTCTGATAACAGTTTGGTCCACGTCATCCAAAATATTAAATGCCACAAGCAAAAACCTGGAGTAGACCATGATCAATGTGTTGTTGAAGGCTTTCATGGCTGGAATCACTGGGTTGCTGTAAGTTTTCCAGGCTGTATGGACATGTTCCAGAAGCATTATTTCCTGACATTTCGTTAAGGGTTCTTTCTTCCACCCTGAACTTTCACAGATATATATACCTCACTTGCCTAGTTTCCAACAGACCTCACAACCTCTGAGGATGCCTGCCATAGATGTGGTTGAAACGTCAGGAGAGAATGCTTCTGGAACATGGCCATACATCTCAGAAAATTCACAGCAACCCAGACCACGGTTGTCTTCAACAAGGTTATCAAAGGTTGGAAATACATTTACCAAGAAAAAAAAAGGCGTGCAAGGCTAAAGAAAGCTATGCTCAAACTACCAGACCTGGGTGAGTAAGATGATGTGCTTGTTCATTTTGATCAGGCAGTTCTTCTGGGAAATTCCTGCTGAAACACCTTGCACAGTCTTTGCAATTTGAAGCCTTGTGTGCATTGACACAGAGTGCATAGATAGCGTATTTCATGGCACAAAATGCCTGGAAAAGAACTAGGTTGCGTCGCTGACTCAAAAGGCTAGAAACTGGCATCGCTGAATCTAAAGAAGAGAAAAATGGAAAAATTAATAATAGAGAAACAACTACCGTTTGGTGGATTTTCAGGTAGTTCTATCTGGTATTCTGCATGGGCCTGGACCCAAATGGAGTCTTAATATGGAACAGGGTGTTGTTTATGTAGTTTAAAGTAAGATTACACAGTCCTACTGAATACCCTAGGTTACAAACCCATAAATGAAATACTGATTGTGAACCAACCTTTTTAACTATTGAATTTCTCTGTAAATAGCATTCAGTTTTCTGAAACTAAATCAACATTGGTTCCACCTAGAGCAAATGCACTAAAATTAATGGAATTTGTTAGTCCCGGATTGTGAAAAGGGACACTTTGTCCATGCTGTGTCTTGCAGTACAGAATACTAGCTTGTTTTATAAATGTGTTATTCCCAACAGATGTAGCCAGTAGCAATCATCACTGGCTACAGATTTAACACTTTTCATTATGCTAGAATCCTTTGACCGGTAGATGGCCATTTGGAGTGCCTCTTGGTATTAATAGAATACCAAGCCTGCAAACTTTGTGTTTTGTTTGTTTTTTAATGCAATACAACTGTTTTGGTTCGCTCCTGACACGATAAATAAATTATGCTAGAATAAAACTGAACAATTGAATTAGTAAAAATATTGTGACTTTTGGCAATTACATGAAGTTACCAGAAATGAAGATAAAGATACATCATATTTCCCCCAAAGATTGTGAGGAGAGAGGCAGAGAACACCTCCCATGCCCCTTAACATAACATTATCAACAGATGTATGTCCCCCGTCTCTTCGTCCCCCAATCAACAGAGACATTGCAGGGATACTTGATTATCAACTCCCCTTACAAGCTTTTACCTTTAGACTCTGTTTCCCTGACTGGATTTTTCTGGAGAAGCTCAATAACAGCTTCTTCATTCAAGGCCAAGAGGCTTGTAAGATGATGGAGAAGGTAAAGGGAAGAATGGCTCTCCAAACTGTGCAGGTACTGCAGAAGAACATTTTCTGGGATAATATTACTGAAAAACAAAGGAAACTTGTTTTCAATGGGAACAAGATTCCCCATCTATTAGCAGGGATTCGTAACATTCCTAAATTTAATTTATATCAGTCTGCACAGAATCTATTGTTTTTTTAAATGCACATTTCCAAGAACTCTGTAAACAATTTGTAGATTATGGGCAAAAGTCACTAGAGACAAGTATGGGGATAAAAGTAAGAAATCTGATGGAAAGTTGAATGCTTTAAGGAGAATAGCCAGTCCCAGAAATAATTTCTATTACGAATAATCAGTAAATGAGTAAATGCTGGATTATGTCTATGTACAAGTATTTCTTAAAATGGAAGATAAAAGCCTTTGTCAAAATAATTGATCCAGGCACTCCAAGGCTGTGTTACCTATTCTGTTGAATGCACCACTCCAGGACCTCAACTTGAGCACAAAGCCCATCACAGAAGTCTTTCAATGCTGAGTCATTATAGAGACCCTGTTAAAAAGAAATGGGAACAAACTATAGACATACAGCCATTAAACACAAACCAACCAACACACTGCTCAATTTTTCATCTAGAAAACAAATCAAAACAAAGAGAGTGCTGTACCTATCCTCATGTGAAAAAGAAGGTATTACATGCCTGAGATTTGTGAAGAGTGTCCAACAGCATCTTGGCAGATCCTAAGCTGCGACACTGAGTCCATCCGAGCAATATCAGGAGGCGACTGAGATAGCTGAATTCCCGTCTCAACAAGCGGCTGATGCTGGAGAATTCTTCCCTTTTCATCAAAGATAACGCTGTGACCTTGAGAAAGAACAAGTTTTGAAATTTAAGACTAGGATTCCAGACTTGGAAGAGTTACTAAGATGAATTCTTAAAAGCTGTTTAAATGCTCTGAAATATTAATTCGGATGTTTTATGTTTAAATTCTATGTTAGTTATAATTTTCAATTGATTATGTTTTATTTATAGTTGTTATGCTTAAGTTGCTCTTTATGTGGGCTTCTTGGTTTTTTATATTTATATTTACTGTTATTGAGGCATTGAATGTTTGCCTTTGTCTTGTTGGAATCCACCCTGAGTTCTCCAGGGGATATAGGGTGTAATATAATTAATTATTATTATTATTATTATTATTATTATTATTATTAAATGGAGCAGCTGACAAATTGGGGAAAAGGGGTCTAAGTCTAGCTCATACAGAAGGTCTTGAAAACAGCTGATTGAGCATGCTACTACAACATTTCTATTTCATAGGCCTTAGTTCAGTTCCAGTCACCTATTTGTAGACTTGTACCACTCCTAATTATTTATTCCAGATGGTTAACTGAAATTCATTAACAAGCCATTACTATTACTGAACAGAGCTTGGAATGGCTCTGACTCTCAGATGCAAGGGGGTGCTGTCCTTATTTCTTGATAATTTTCCATTTAAAAAACACCTGCTCTGGGCTTAAAAGGGTCCAGGGAGACAAATACTTGGTCATCTGGATCGCTGCTGGGAGAAGTTTAGGGTTATTTGAGAGAAAAACAATTGGGCGGGGGTGGGGAGGGTGGACTGAACCTTGGTAATGCTGGGGTTACAAAACAGCCTCAATGAGCTGTGTGGATGGCATATTACCAAATTGCTTTACATGAAATGGGAAGGAGAATGCAGCACCAGTTTCTAAAAAAGGGGGCATCTTGGCTTGGTCCTGGTTTATTTTGGAGACACTGGGATCAGCACAACTTCTTATTCAACTCTTGTTTTATCTTATTAGAGATTTACCAGAATCTGTTCCAAAAAGTGCTTGCTGCTGCTGATACAGTAAAAATAGGCAGCTTTCCAAGAATAAGCTGGCTCATGATCTAGGAACAATGCTATCGTGGCCCGTTCAGTATCCAGCTGTTCTGATGTACCTGAAATAAATATAACTGATTTATGTATCATGTCAGAAATGAATTGAGAATACAGTTATAATGTATAGAAAAACTACAAACAAAGTTAAAAACTTGGCATTGTACTAAATTTCCTTTCATAGAATCATAGAATTGGAAGAGACCTCATTGGTCAACCAATCCAACTCCCTTTGACCAGAAGCTGGCCACTTGGAATGTCTCTGATGTGGCTGTAAGAATGTCCTCCATTGTGCATGTGGCAGGGCTCAGACCGCATTGTAGTAGGTGACTTGTGGTTTGTTCCTCTCCACACTTGCATGTTGTGGACTCCACTTTGTAGCCCCATTTCTTAAGTTTAGCTCTGCATCTCGTGGTGCCAGAGCACTGTCTGTACAGCTGATATTACTGATATTACTTTCGCATATACTGAAAGCATAAAGGGCCTATTCAGCATTAAAGCTCTCACACAAGTGAGGATTAAAATCACACAAGTGCAAGCAGCAAAACGTGCTCTTGGCCTCTGCAACATTCCTTGGTCCTACAAATTTAAGATTGATACAGAATATACAACTGCAACTGAATTACACATAAGCTCTGTTGGTGCTGGTATGAGGGAGGACCCTTCTTAAACAGAGACCCATTTCTCTTTTCCCAACCATTTGGTATATTATCCAAGTGGCCCAAGGTACAATGCACCAATCAAAGGAGATATGTAGGTGTCCTTTCTTCCATGATAAACTGCACCAAATACTTCATTTGCAAACTTCCCAGGGGAGGTGGCGGGTAGGAATTCTCCCATTTACTATAGGCCTGGGATGCAAAAGAGGTGGGGACTAGATGAGCACTGAACAAAAAAGGGGATAGGGGATGAACAGAATAGTATAAACATCACTGACTGAGACCATTAAATTTTACACATACCTTTTCCGGGTGATTTTGGCCCCAGAAGTTTCTCCCTTGTCTTCTCAAGAAACATACTGCTAAAGAGGCTGAGCAAGACATGGCTGCCTTTTCTGAGAAGGCAGCCAAGCAACCTCTCCTCCTTCAGCAGGCCGTGTTCACCCCAGCAAGCATCCAGAAGCTCCCTGCAGAGAAGGCGCAGCTCTCCTGTCAGGCTCTCCGCCTCTACATTCAACAGGCTAAGAGCATTATAGATTTCATCCACAGTCTTGCTCTGATCTGATTCCAGTAATTTTTGATTTAGCTGGAGATGCTTCAGATGCTTTAGGGAGTCCCAGAGAAAGTCAATAAAGATGTGTTTTGGTGAATAACCATGTGTTAGCACAGAGCTGTGCTCAACAAGCTCTCTCTGAAGCAGCTCTAATATGGCTTGCAGCTTCTGTGGAGAATGCAACAGCATCTTTCGGAGAGCAGCAGTCACTTCTGCACTAAATTTTGGTATAGATCCATCCCTTTGTTTCCTACTCAACACATGTATGTCTTCGAAGGTTTTGTACAGCTCCTGGAAAGGAAACATACAACTGTGATAAGAGTAAGTAATTTCTCACCATGAATACATTTATAAATATGAAAGAGATGAGAAGACAATTCAAAGATAAAATTAACTATCAATAACATCAACCAAGTGTACTTCCATAGCAAGGACTGGAAACTGTGACCCTCCAGACCTTTCTGGCTTCCTCCATTAGCCCAATCTAACACAGTTAGTGGTAAGCAATTATATGTGCTACAATCAAGAAATATCTGGAGTTTAGAAGGATATACAGTTATATAAATACATGACTTTTCTGAAGTGTTAAAAAAAGAGATGGATATAGGAGAATGTAATATGATGAAGTCTCATGTAAATAACACTAATTTACTAACAAAAGGAACTGATTCCTATGGGTTTATAGGGAAACAAAACTAGAACAATATAGCCAAAGAACCGGAAAGAATGTTGAAAGAGTACTGGATATGAGAAAACATGACAAGTGTTGACATTGGATGGATGAGAAAAAGAATGTATCTGTTTTTGTTATAGAGGACATTTGGAACTTTTAAATTTTTAGATAATAAATACATTTATTTACCCTGCCACCATCTCCCATAGGGACTGGGGGCAGCTTACAAATAGCACATAATGGTGCCACACAACATATAAAATACAATATATCTACATTAAGACCAATAACACATTTAAAACCAGACATATAAAATTAGCATGAGCCATAGAATCAAAATATGGCAAAGTATGGGTTAAAAATTCCATGCACTCAAAGGATAGTAGGCTGGTTGCTATCTTAAACATTATCAAAGGCCTGTTGAAAGAAAAAAGTTTTTAACTCTTTCTGAAAGTGCTGCAGTGTGGGGGCTTGCCTAAGTTCCCTGGGGAGGGCTTTCCAGAGCTAAAGGGGCCACCACCAAGAAGGCCCTCTCCCTCATCCTCATTTCTAGACAAACAAAGCCACTGACCAATAACTAGCCAAAACAATCACAGGATAAACAATCAAGATTTTAAAGAATCACTAGGATGGACATGAATGGGAAGAGAACGTGAAGAAAAGAACTTTCAGAATAAACAATCAAATGTATGGGAGAATTTGGACATCAAACAATCTCCGAAAGGAACAGAGTGGCATAGTCATACATGTAACTAAAAAGAAAATGGTTTCCCAAAATCACAAAGACACAAGATTGTTATGTGATAATTTAGAAGAATTCTCTTGGCTACAGTCACTGTGTATATAACAGTCTTATGTTCTTTGTATACATGTCATTTTTGTAGTATATAAGTTGTAAAAAATATTTACTTCTGTGAATAGTCATACTTGTGTCAGATCCATGTATTATCTTCTTTCAGTGTGCTCTAGTTTCCTATGATCCTTACCTAGGAAGGACTGGGATGGAGGTTAAGCAAATATTCTTAAATGTGTGCTGGCCTTATTTGCAATTTTTTACTACACACTGCTAAGAGAAAACTACATCAGTAGCCACCTATCCAGAAAGAAACATTTCGATTTCTTCTTTCACTGCTATTTAGGGGATTCCCAACCACAGTCATTATACAGCTGGCTACAAATATCCAAAACACCCCCATTTGACTGCAACTCTTAATATTACCATCCATGATTCCACAGCACATTTACTTGCCATCAGTGGAGAGGGAGGAAAATAACACCCTGGCAGCTTCTTAAGTAAGAACAAATTAAACCACCTGCACTATCTGGTGGTTGACCTCAGCCTTGTGGTATCTAATGCAGAACTGAAACTACTAAAATAACCTGTTGTTAGGTGCCCTACCACTACAGCCATTTTTGTGAAAATAAGTGGCTGTTCCCATTAGAAGAATTCTATGCAGCCGAAAACAATATTCCATTTTCAGAAAGCTGGCAATAAACTAAACATTGCAAGAAAGGAAGAACCAAAGTATATCAGAAGCAAGGTTTCACTGGTTATCTTCACAAAGATGATCAGAGACAAATGGATTCAGAGAAGCAACTGAAGAGAAGCAACCAATTCATTCTATTTTAGAGGAATCTCAACCATTGCTTTCCTTCCACTCCTGCTCAGCTTTCGTGCACAGGGGGTGTATTTACACTGCAGAATAAATGAAGCTTTACACTACTTAAATTGCCAAAGCTCGATAGTTTGGAATCTGGGAGTTGTAGTTTTACAAGTTCTTTAGTCTTCCCTGACAAGGAGTGCTGTTGTCTCATCGAACTACAGATTCCAGGATTCCACAGCATTGAGCAATGGCAGTTAAAAGTGGTGTCAGACTGCATGTTTTCTACAGTATAAATGAACTCATTGTGAAGCATCCACTGAAGCTTACATTAGATTTTACTCCTTGAGCCCCCAGTGGTACAGTGGGTTAAACTGCTGAGCTGCTGAACTTGCTGACCAAAAGGTCACCAGTTTGAATCCAGGGTGTGGGGTGAGCTCCCGCTGTTAGCCCCAGCTCCTGCAAATCTAGCAGTTCAAAAACATGCAAATGTGAATAGATCAATAGGTACTGCTTCGGCAGGAAGGTAATAGCACTCCATGCAATCATGCCTGCCACATAACCTTGGAAGTGTCTATGGACAATGCCGGCTCTTCTGCTTAGAAATTAAAATGAGTATCAACCCCCAGAGTCAGATACGACTGGACTTAATGTCGGGGGAAAACTTTTACTTTTACTAGTTCTACAATGCACTAACTTTTCTAATCAGACAATTCTGCACTAGATGTACTATGGCTACATCTAGATCATTTTGAAGAGGAAACTCCACCTTTAGAACTGTGTGAGGGACGTCCTTCTCCAGTTCTTCTAAGAGAAGTAAGAACTCAGTTTCTCTCTGGAGAGCTACTGGTACTGTTTTCTGCAATGGATAAAGAGATAAAGAAAAGTGCTAAAGAAGCATATTAAAGGATCATATAATTACATGTTACTTAGTGAGCTCTTACCAATAGGCACTTTAGGAGTTAGAAAGCTTTTAGGGATTAGGGGAGGACTATAGTTCATTCCCCAGTCTACTTTGATACTTTCTGCACAAATGATCTATTTGCAATTACAATTGGCAATAGCTATTTACTAAATAGCTATTTACTAAATTCATAGATTCCTCTCAACTATTATTGAAAACAACATCTACAATGAAAGAGAGCCATTGATGAGAACCATGTACATAGCTGGAAGCCCCCTACCCCTTATTGCCAAGTTTAACAGGCCGGTTCTTGTACAGACAGAAATTGGAGTTAGCAGTTTTTATATCTGTTATATTATTGCTTATGCAAAGGACTCTCAGAGCAACTTAGGGCCATTCCATACAGCACCATATCCCAGAATATCAAGGCAGATAATCCACAATATCTGCTTTGAACTGGGTCATCTGAGTCCACAATGCCATATAATCTAGTTCAAAGCAGATAATGTGGGATTTTATACAACTGTGCGGAAGGGGCCTTAGTCTGTGAAAGCTTATGCTACCAACTTGGTTCTTGCAATCTCTAAGGTGCTACACGATTTCTTTGCATACTGAAATTACAGACTAACATGGCTATGTCGTTGAATTTTACCACAATTTTCATGATGTCTTTCTAAATTAGGGCGTAATATCAAGGATCATTTTTCCTCAACCAAATCCCATGTAATTTAAGGGAACTGTCTTGGAAAAATTACAAGCAAAATAATTTTAATGTACTACTTTGTGAGCATGGGAAACAATTGCAGAAGCATCCTGCACAAAGGAAAATATTCAGCAAAACACAAGCGGGAGAGGGAGAAGCAGAAAAAGTAAGTCTGTGATGTGCTGCATAATAATAATAATAATAATAATAATAATAATAATAATAACAACAACAACAACAACAACAACAACGACATGAGGATTTAAATATTGAACTGCAAAGACTCTGGCACAAGCCAGTCAAGGTGAGTGGTGATCGGCACACTGGGTGCAGTGCCTAAAGACCTTGGCCTGCACTTAAATAAAATCGGCGCTGACAAGATTACCATCTGCCAGCTGCAAAAGGCCACCTTACTTGGATCTGCATGCATTATTCGCCAATACATCACACAGTCCTAAACACTTGGGAAGTGTCCGATGTGTGATCCAATACAACAGCCAGCAGCTGTGGACTCATCTTGTTGTGTTTCAAATAATAATAATAATAATAATAATAATAATGATGATGATGATGATGATGTTTATATTCCACCCTATCTCCCCAGAAGGACTCAAGGTGGATTCCAACCATAAAAGGCAAACATTAAATGCTCGAACACAACAACAATACACCCATGATAACAAAAATTGACAACCCAATATATTAAACAAATTATGCCTTAACAACTAAACTTAAACAAAAAACACAACCTGTTATACCAGAGATAAGATAAAAAATCAAATATTGAACAGAAGCATCAATTTCCCAGATTTTAGTTTTGCGTTCACATGTGACAAGGAAGCAGCAGGAATTGGAAGAAGTCAATGGATAGAGAGACAAAACAAAATGAAAAAGATTTTCTTTACCTTATCCCATGCTAGCCACTTCCGTAATACAAGGAGCCAAAACCAAGCAAGCTTTTGAGGACTTCGACTGGAGCTATACCTATAAGAATTTTTAAAGAATTAAATCCTATATCCATGTATGTAAAAGACCCAAGCAGAATTACTAATATAGCTAATTCTCACTTCTTGCTCCTATTTATTCTTCAAACACTATGGCTTTCAAAACTTCAGCCCAGAGGGATGTTTTGGAAGTTTACCAATCCCAACTGCCAATTCTAGATTGCATATTAGGATGGCTAAATGCAACCCTGTCAAGGAGGCCTAAATTGGGTCTCCTTGTGGAGAGAAAAAAATGATATAAATAAGCATAATAATAATACTTGTTCTGACTAGAATAGTGCTACAGGGGAGGAAATGGCTGAATGGCCAATCAAAATTTAGGCCCCTTCTACACTGCCATATAATCCAGATTATCAAAGCAGATAACCCACATTATCTGCTTTGAACTGGATTACTTAAGTCTCAATTGCCATATAATCCAGTTCAAATCAGATAATCTGGATTTTATATGGCAGTGTAGATGGGGCTTTAGTGTTACACATAATGCAACTATATGGGAACATTCAAATCCTATTTTTACGGCAGAAATCATTTGTCCAGTAAATTTCAACAAATGTATGGGACTACATTTAGGCAATAAAAACAAAATGCGCTGATATATAGAGTGGGTAACACATGGCTTGAAGACAGTACATGTGCAAGGGACCTAGGAGACCCCTCCTACACTGCCATATAATCCAGTTCAAAGCAGATAATCTGGATTTTATATGGCAGTGTAGAAAGGGTCGGAGTTTCAGTAGAACACAAGCTGAATGTGAATCAATAGTGTGATCCAATAGTTAAAAAAGGAAATACAAATAGGAGTATAGTGCCTAGATGGAGGAAAGTCTGACTCTATTCTGATTTAGCAGGACCTCACCTGGAATAGTGTCCAGTTCTGGGCACCGCAAATCAAGATGGATATAGACAAGCTGGAAGGTGTCCAGAAAAGGGTGGCCAAAATGACAAAAGATTTGGAAACCAAGCCCTATGAGGAACGACTTAGTTGGGTATGTTTAGCTTGGGGCCCTTCCACACAGCCATATAACTCAGAATATCAAGGCAGAATAACCCACAATATCTGAGTCCACACTGCCATATATCCCAGTTCAAAGCACATAATGTGGGATTTTATTCAGCTGTATGGACGGGGCCTTGGATAAAAGAAGAGGGAACATGATAGGCATGTTTAAATATCTGAAAGGTTGTCACACTGAGAAGAGAACATTTTTTTTCTGCTGCTCTGAAGACTAGCACACAAGGGATCAATGGATTCAAATTGCAGGAAAAAGGATTCCACCGAAACATTAGAAAGAACTTCCTGATGGTAAGAGCTGTTTAGTAGTGGAATATGTTGCCTTCGGGTCCTTTCACACAGCCCTATATCCCAGAATATTAAGGCAGGAAATCCCACATTATCTGATTGTGGACTCAGATAACCCAGTTCAAAGCAGATATTGTGGGATCTTCTGCCTTGATATTCTGGGATATAGTACTCCGTGGAAGGACCCATGGAGTGTGGTGGAGTCTGTTTCTCTGGAGGTTTTCAAGCAGAGGCTGGGTGGCCATCTGTCGGGAGAGCCTTAATTCTATGTTCCTGTATGGCAGGGGGTTGGACTGGATGGCCCTCATCATTTCTTCGAGCTCTATGAGCGCTAATCCAATCAAAAAAATAGAAGGTACTTCTGAGTAGCTACATATAGGGATACACTTCAATACATTTTAGCTGTTGAAACTCCCTCTTTCACATACTTTTTGCCTAATAGTAATAAAAATCACGACAACACTCACCTCAAATGGGAAGGGCAGACTATTAGCGCATGCAGGATCCTTTCCACTTTCTCAGAGCCATCCTGCCACTGATGTAACTGAGGGATGCAGGCCTGGGCAAGTTCCCACTCTCCCCTCCGTAGACATTCACAGAAAAACTGGAAAAGTTGCTCCAGGGATGCAGACTCTTCTTTACCAAATGGATGCATCCTTCTGTTTCAGAAGATAAATGTCACAAATCATTAGCTCTTACAGTAAAATCATAATAACCAAATAGTTGCTTACAATGCACTTGCTCAACTGTGGAAAAGGCAAAGAGGCAAACCTGAGAGTAAAATCTTGGTATGGGTTGAGCATCTCAAGTTATCCAGAATTCCAAATTATTTCAAAATCTGAAATTATCCACACCAATAGGTGAGATAGTGGCACCTTTGCCTTCTGATGGTTCAAAGCACACACATTTTGTTTCATGGACACAGCTATTAAAATATTGTATAAAATTTCCTTCAGACTATATATATAAGGTATATATAAAGACTTAAAAAATTGTGTTTAGACTTGCGTCTCATCTTCATGATGTCTCATTATGTATGTGTATGTAAATACAGGTATTCCAAAATTGGGGGAGAAAATCTAAAATCCAAAACCTGTCTTGTCCCAAACATTTTGAATAATGAATAAGCCACCAGTTGCTTCAGTGTTGGGCTATGACTTTGGAGACTGAGATTCGAATCCCTGTTCTCCCATCGGGAAGTCTCGAGCAAGCCAGACTCTCTCAGCCTCAGAGGAAGGCAACCTCCTCTGAGCAAATCTTGCCAAGAAAACCTCATTATAGAGCTCCTGTTAAGTCAGAAATAGCTTGAAAGCACACAACATCAACAATTCTGAGAGTTCAACCTGGCAAGCAACTGGTGCTATATCATTCATTCTAGTTTTGACATTAGCACTAAATAATAATAATGGCATTATTATTATTATTATTATTATTATCATCATCATTATCATCGCCACCATCACCATCCCCATGGATCCAGGTGGGGAACAATATTAAAATATATATTAAAACACAACATATATGCTTAGTTAAAAATACATTACCCAGTTAAAACATTACTTTAAAAGAACATATAAACCAGACACTCTTAACAAATGCTTGATAAAGAAAGGCTCCCTTTTTTACCATGACAATCCCTGGGATATCAAAACAAGGGATCGGAGACTGCAGAAAGCCCGGCCAAAGCAGGCACCTGATCTAGAAACAAACAGGATGTCACTCGCCCTGAATCTGGGTGGCTTTGAAACCACATCAAGGCTACAGGACTGGGAGAGAAGGGGTTAATTCCCGGTCTCCTGGAATCCCACCTCAAACTTCCTTCTGGCAGCACTGAGCATGCGCCAGCAACATCCTTCCCATTGGTTCCCTTCCATGCTGGATCATTTGAGGAGCTGCCCAAGCGGGTGTCAAGATAAGCCTGTATCCAGGGGTGCATATGCAGTTTGACTCCACGTTAACTGCAATGGCTCAATGCTATAGAATCATGGGATTTGTAGTTTGATGAAACACCAGGACTCTTTGTCAGGAAAGGCTTGAAACCTTGTGGAACTACAACTCCCTTGATTCCAGAACATTAAGCCATGGCACTTAAAGTGGGATCGAACTGCATTAATGCTACAGTGTAGCCTTACACAAATTTATTCCCCAGGAAATGTGTTTGTTCTTGATTATGGCATCAGGCTGTGAAGTAAAAGATTTGCACATTTATTACGCCCCAGTTTAATAGTGGAGGAGTGAGTTAATGAACATGTCAGCATACATTTCTGATTTTAGGGCAGAAAGTGTTGTGGGCAGATATTTCTTACACTTATTTCAGAAATATTTTATCAGCCTTTATTCTTTCTCTTTTAAATTTTAAATTGAAAAAGCATTGTAATTTGCAAATTGTAGGACTACTACAGTATATATAAAAAATATGGATTTTCATTTAAGAAGATTTTTACTTTTCCATCCTGTTTCTTTTTTAGAAAACATATTGAAATATATTTAAATACATTTGCATTTTACAAGGTCTGAGGAAAAGTTGGGTTTTTATTCTCTTAGTCTCTATTCTCTTTACTCAGTGGCGCAAAGGGTTCGGTCCTTGTGCCAGCAGGACTGCTGATTGAAAGGTTGGCAGTTCGAATCCAGAGAGCGGGCTGAGCTCCTGTCCGTCAGCTCCATCTTCTTATGTGGGAACATGAGAGAAGCCTCCCACAGGATGGTAAAACATCCGAGCATCCCCTGGGCAACGTCCTTGCAGAGGGCCAATTCTCTCAACCAGAAGCAATTTGAAGTTTTGTGATGTTACCTGGGAACCAATCTGAGTCCCCTCGGAGAGATGGAGTGGTATATAAATAAAGTTATTATTATTATTACTATTAGTTTCTCAAGTTGCTCCTGACACAGAAAAAAAACCCTTTACAATTCAAGATTGATGACAAATCCAGCTGATCCTGTTTGGAAAGGCAGGGGGCGCAGTGGGGTCTTGCAACAGGTTCCCACAAAGACAAGACATATCTGCACAGATTAAGGGCAATGAACTTCCCCAAAAGGAAGTATAGGATTATAGGAAATCAAGCGAGAATCTTTGAAAGGGGCTATTAACATTGTTGCTATTAACATATGTGAACAAGTGAACCTTTCCTCTGCTTATGAAAATGATCTTATTGGCAAAGGTATATCATCATTTAAGAAAACAATCATAAATCCGAGTCCACTACACTTGATGGATGCTTATCCATATTGAGGCAGCACCTACTTTACTGACTGGCAAGACACTGAAAGGCTAACGTGTACTTTTCTCAAATTTCTAGTTAAGGTTGTCAGGGAATTTATTCCAGTTCATAAAGTTTAAGCTATTTAAAGACAAATACTACCCAAACTATCTCGATGATTGGATCCTGGAAACTTTTTCACCAAAATACATTGCACCCAGCTCAGCTTGGATGGGGAAAAATTATGGTGCATCTACACCAGGCATGGGTACACTTGGGCCCTCCAAGTGTTTTGGACTTCAACTCCCATAGTTCCTAACAGCCTCAGGTTCCTTCCTTTTCCCTCTCAGCCGCTTAAGCTGAGAGGGAAAAGGAAGGGACCTGAGGCTGTTAGGAACTATGGGAGTTGAAGTCCAAAACACCTGGAGGGCCCAAGTTTACCCATGCCTGATCTACACTGAAGCATTGATGCAGTTTGGCACCACTTTAATTGCTGTGGGAATTGTAGTTCGATATGGCACCAGCACTCTTTGGCGGAGGAGGCTAAAGGCCTTGTAAAACTACAACTCCCGTGATCCCATAGCAGTTAATGCGGTGTCAAACTCCATTCATTCTACAGTGTAGACCCACCCTTAATGAAGCTTGCCATCTACAGAACTTGTCTCTGATCACCCAGAGAAGTTTCCTCTCGCTCCCATCCTCCCCTTTCCTTATAGGTGAAGGGCGAGGGCCTGCATTCAAGGCGCCCCTGGGCCTCCAAGCCTAACTCACCTGGAGAAGGAGGCCCCGCCGCCGGTGGGATCTCCGCTCAGCGCTCCCAGGAAGGGAAGAGTCCTGTTGCCGCCGCCATGTTGAAAAGAAAGTCAGGTGACCTAAGTGACGGGCCAAGAGAGCGGCTGATTGGAGCAGAGGGACGCCATCTTTCTCCAGGGCAGTGATTCCGAAATGGCAGTCTTCCAGGCGTCTTGGACTTCATCTCCCAGAAGCCTCGGCTGCTTGGCTCAACGATAAGGGATTCTGGGAGATGAAGTCCAAAACACAAAAATCCGGGTCTTTTCAAAAGGAGCTGAACACCTTTTGGGTAGTTTTCTTCTTCTGGTCTTATATGAGAGAGATAGAGATCTTGACACACCTTTAGCTTTCTTTTCCCTTCCCTTTTTTTGCTGCATTTTTGGGGGATTTGCATACACAGCCTGACCCACTCAGCAGTTTGATCCCAGTCTAAAACAATGGCTACCCTCCAATGGAGTCTTGAGAAGTGTACTTTGTTGAAATACTTTGAATTCCTTGGTATGCCACTATAGAGCTGAATTGTGACCCATTTAAGGTGGAATCAGGTGTCAAACAGGGATGTGTTACTGCCCCAACTTTACTCTCCATCTTCATTGCTATGATACTTCACCTTGTTGATGGGAAGCTTCCCACCGGAGTGGAAGTCATCTATCAGACAGATGGCAAGCTATTTAACCTCAGCAGACTGAAAGCCAAAACCAAGGTTACAACAACATCTGTTATAGAACTCCAGTATGCTGATGACAACGTCGTCTGTGCACATTCAGAAGAAGACCTACAAGCCACTCTAAACACCTTCGCAAAAGCATACGAGAAGCTCGACCTGTCATTGAACATTGAGAAAACTAAAGTGCTCTTCCAGCACTCACCAGCCAATCCCTCTCTAATACCAGAAATACAGCTTAATGGTATAACATTAGAAAATGTTGACCATTTCCGCTACCTTGGCAGCCACCTCTCCACCAAAGTCAACATTGACACCAAAATAAAACACGGCCTGAGCTCTGCGAGTGAGGCATTTTTCCGAATGAAGCAGAGTGTGTTTGACGACTGCGGCATCCATAGGGATACCAAGATGCTTGTTTATAAAGCTATTGTCCTCCCAACCCTTCTATACGCCTGTGAGACATGGACTGTCTACAGACATCACATGCAACTCCTGGAACAATTCCATCAGTGCTGCCTCCAGAAAATCCTGCAAATCTCTTGGGAAGACAAGCGGACAAATGTCAGCGTGCTGGAAGAAGCAAAGACCACCAGCACTGAAGCGATGGTCCTCCACCATCAACTCTGCTGGACCAGTCACATTGTCCAGATGTCTGACCACCGTCTCCCAAAGTAGTTGCTCTACTCCGAACTCAAGAACGGAAAACAGAATGTTGGTGGGCAGAAAAAGAGATTTAAAGATGGGCTCAAAGCCAACCTTGAAAACTCTGGCATAGACACTGAGAACTGAGAAACCCTGGCCCTTGAGTGCTCCAGCTGGAGGTGAGCTGTGACCAGCAGTGCTGTAGAATTTGAAGAGGCACGAATGGAGGGCGAAAGAGAGAAACATGCCGAGAGGAAGGCATGCCAAGCCAACCCCGACCGGGACCGCCTTCCACCTGGAAACCAATGCCCTCACTGCGGGAGAAGATGCAGATCATGAAAAGGGCTCCACAGTCACCTACGGATTCACCACACACTGCACACTGACCCTGGAGGACCATCCTACTCGGACAATGAGGAATCGCCTAAGTAAGTAAGTAAGCAAGCAAGCAAGCTAAGAATTCATTAAACTACAAATCCCAGGATTCCATAGCAAGGAGACTTAGCAGTTGGAAGTGGCATCAAACTGCTATAGTTGCACAGTGTGGACACTGGGGTTTCGTAACTGCAAGATTTATTTGTTTATGTGTTTTGTTTTATTTTATTTTACTCGAATAGGTCTATGCAACCTTTGAATATGAAGATGTGGCTGTTGAACTGCACCAGGTTTAGTTAAACATAAGCCGCTGATTGGAGAGGTGATCCTTATTGCTATAACTCAGCCCCCTTTCACACAGCTGTATAAAATCCAGTTAGAACTGGATTATGTGGCAATGTGGACTCAGATAATCCAGTTCAAAGCAGATATTGTGGATTATTTGCCTTAATATTCCAGGTTATATGGCAGTGTGGAAGGCCCCTCAAAAGATCCTGAGCAGCTTTTTTTCCTTTCCCAACAGATTTAGAGAGAAACAAGGCAGCTATAAGGAAACATAGAAGGGTTAAACATTCCATTCATGCAGCGCGGCAGGATGGTTACAAGATAAAAGCCTAATCTAGAAGTATCCTATGCCGCCCAAGCTAATCGCAAGCCGTGACCGCATTGTCTATTTTACTTAAAGATATGGGCATAGCACCCTATCAGGATTGCAAACTTTGTATTGTGGACATGAAGTGAGTCCCTAGTTTAGGTCTTGTTGAAATTATCTGTGATCCCATCTAGGAGCTTCCTGATCATGCTGGAGAAGATATGACAGTATTTGATATAAGTCATGTTTCTTATATCTCTGCCATCAGGCATTTGGGAAGTGATGAGGCACAGGCTGCTGGGGACGATGTGAGTGAGGGTTTAGCTTTTTTAAAACAAATCTATTTTCCTCATTTTTTAGTTTTATTGGTTTGTGCCATGTTATTGTTAGCTTCTAGAGTCCCTGTGGAGAGAAAGACGGGACAGAAATAAAGTCAATCAATGAATTTGTTCAAAATTGGATGAGAGGCTGTTTTAAAATACAGAATATCCAGCACCATTGTATAC